TAGTCCAGAAAGAAACAAAATCAGATGAATTTGATCCCAAGGAGTGAACAAAAAAAAAAAGCCAGGCATTTTCTGGATGTCTGTGTTATTACAGGGACAGGCAGGGATGAGCTGTTTGTCTCTGAGCTATCCAGCTGGTAAAGTTCTAAGAAATGAAGTCATGGCTTTCAACGTGCCCCACTTATTGCATGGATTTCTGTTTGAACTCTAAGGTGGCTTGGACTCTCAGAAATGCACAGATGTCTCAAAAGCCACCACCTACTTCTCTGCAAGATCAAAAGGGACCAAACCAACATTTGAGTTCACCTGATTTTAAACACCATTCTGTAATTCACCATCAGCAGTGTCTGACTTACCCTTTCAACACCGTGATTTTTTGCTGGCAGGGAGCAACTACAGTAAATACCTGAAACAAACCTCAAATGGTCTGCTTGTTGTCTCAGTTTTTGTATTTTTAGAGTTTTGCTGAACCATTGCATGAATTTGAAAGTAACACAGCATTTACTTGTTACAAGAAGATTCAAATAACCCCACCCTCCAAGCCTTATCCTGTTTCCCAACACAGTAGAGATGCAGCAACATCTTCTATTATTCTACAAAAGGGTGGCTGTTACCTCCTGTTTTGTCCCCCTACCCTTGCTCACAGTGATTATTTTTTGTCTCCAGCACAGGATTTGGGCTTGCCTGGGCTGTGGTGTTCGGGCAGCCCCATTTCCATTTCCAGCCCACACTCACTCATCTCCATCAACTGACATTATGAATCCACTCATTATGAATCTACATGGAGATCAAACAGCACAAACTCTGCTGCAAAGCAAATCCTTTTTCAAAAGGACTAATTGGAAAGTTCTTGGTTAATGGGTGTTACCCTTAAGATAGGGCAGAGGATCTGAACAGGCTCTGACCTCTCCTGAGATGGGTGCACCGGCAGCCTGGTCTGTGTTACAAAGCACTTATTCCAGAGGATACTCTGCATATTTAGCTTTTCCAGTTCTAGGAGAGAAACAGGACACCCTTTGAAGAGACATGTTTGCATCTAGCCTGTTTTCAAATAAGGACAACCCAAAATATGAGTGATCTGGTCATGTAATAAAGAGCCACTCCTGTGATTTGGAAGGGATCTGGGATGACTCCTGAACAGTCCAACTAAGCAGAAAATTTTCTCTGTGGCTTGAACTGCTGAGCTACAGGATCTGGAAGCATCACAGGCATGTCATAGAAGTGGTTTGGCTTGAGAATTACCCTAAATAGCCTTATTATCACCACCAAATGATAGAGTATTGCAACTGGAATGCAAAGCAAACAATGGAATGACCGATGGGGCTGTTTTTCTGAGGTCATCTGTTTGAACTCAGTATTTTTTCCCCACAGTTTTCACATGTGAAACCCCAGTAACACAAAGTCCCAGCTCAGAAGAGATCAGCAGTATATATGAGACATCAGCAAAAGCAGCAATGTGTTCTTACTGAAGTTCTCACTCACTCTCACTTTTCTAAGGCAAAGAGAAACACACTCAAGGTTATGCTCACACACAAACGTTTAGCTGAAATCACTGCTGATTTCACAAAGCAAGAGTTCAGCCTGAAAAAACAATTATGTGTCAAAACACCATCATCAGACTGGGCCTTCAGAAGCTGCACTGGCATTTTAGATACACTGTGTCATTTCAACTCAGCTCTCGTTAAAAAGTGCAAACAGAAGATGATTATTTGGAAGAGAGAAGAGGCTCATGCTGGTATAGCTGAAGGCAAAGAGTAATTGTAACTGCAGCTCACTAAAGGCACCTCTGAATAAACTTCAAACAGGTTCTGTGGCTCAAAGTGTCACCCCAGAGGCTCCAGGGCCCCAGGACTCTCGTGGTTTCCAGGAAGCTTTGGTGAAGCAGGAAGCTGATTTAAATCAGCTGCAGAGCTTCTGTCCAAAGGATTAAAGCTGTCCCTCTGCAGAAACAGTGAGAGCAAAAGGCTGCACTAAGCCCCTACTTAGTGGAAGAAAATGAGGCTGGTGCCTTAACAGGAGCAGTTACAATGCAAGGCAGAGCCAAGGCACTGAGCAGAGATTCTTGCAGATTAAATTCAACTCTGGAAGACAGGATGTTTGTCTAAAACCTTGGCAGGGAAAGATGGTTGTTCTTGGCACCAACCACGGTCACTGTGCTATACAGTTACCCATAAAGAATGCAAGTGATTGCTCTGGAACTGAGACCAGAAAAATGAATGCAAAAATTAATGTAGACCAGTTATGAACTAGATAGGAATATAAACATTAACCCTTTCCTGGACATGGATACTACTTGTGTGCCCAGTTCCACTGAGATCACGGCAACTGGAGTGGCCACTGCATTCAGGGCAACCTACCCTGTAGGTTTGAACAAATCATCTCCCTTCCTGAAACGTAATTTTGCCATCTGTAAAATAGGAGGGACTCATCTGTACTGCTTTAAGAAGTAAGAAATGGTCTCCAAGAGCAGATTATTCTTGTTAATGCTTGAAATCCACCCTGGTGATCGTGGAATGGGTATGATGGGGGAAGTGGTTCTAATGGGATGCAGTGAAGCACCTGGGTCATGCACTGGTGATGTCTGAAACACTCTCCTGGGAAATCTCTCAAGCAGGGGTTAACCCCAGTTAGGCCAAGCTGAGGTAACTATTGCAGACAGAGTATAAAGGATTGGGGTTTTTTAAAAATACTTTAAGTAATTAGTTCCAGCATTTGGTGAACTGGCACATAAATACCTTTTCTGTTTTGGAAGCAAGGCTGATAAACTTATTAAATTTTTTATTATTATTATATTTATGTATATATATTTATTATTATTATATCCTTCATACATGGAATGTACTTAATAGCAAACTGGGAAATGTGCAATACAGCACAGACACATCTGTAATACACCCACTGACCCAGAGGCTGGCCACGCTTTCCAAGGCTTACTCAGGCCAACAGTTCAGTGACTTATGCTCAATTAAATATCTTAATCAATAACTTGGAATATACAGCGCAATTTGAACGCAAAGATCATCAGCTGCAGTGCTGGAAGAAACCTCTGTATTAACCTTTTCAGTTGCACCTCACAAAATAACAACCAGCCCCAGGGAGCACTGATTGTGAACCACGCTGAGAGAAGATGGAGCATGGTACAGGCAATCATTCTCTAACAGAAGGGTTCTACTGACACCCTCACAGTGCAATATGTGATAAACCCCACATATTAGTGCTTCTCCTGCCACACCCAACACAGCTGACTTACACAGGTGGAAAACTGAGGTGTAAACACTGATAAAAGATCCTCCAGGAGGACAGAATGCAGCTCTCGTAAATGCTCAGAACAAAAGACAGAGAGAGGGGCAAAGGCAAACAAACTTGTGCAGGAAGATGAAGTCCAAAGGGACCCAAGCATGTCAAACACTGTGGGGTTCAGGCCCCAGTTCTTCAGGCACTACTGTGCAAGCAGAAAGCATTGACTTCCCAGTTTCTAAAGCAGGGCCTGGAATGTTTTAACACAAATTAAAATGGTGCTGCACAGAAAACAGGAACAGACAGCAAACCCCCCAAATGCTTTTTTAAATATTAGCTTAAAATACCTCTTTTCACAGATATCTTAAAATATTTTAGCCTAAAACATGCCTGGGGCCTCGACAGCCCCCAGTGAATTATTCAGCTAAGCATCACTGAAAGAGGAGCTTCTGCAATCTTGTTTCTGCCAAAGAGAGTAAGTGGAACAAACCTACCACATCAGAGAGACAATAACACATGTGGTGAAGCACCTGAGGAACACACAGCTTACCCCAGGGTCCCACCTGGACACGGATACAGTTATGGCAGAAACTGCCCCTTCTGTGGCAACACCCGACGTCCTCCTAATGCAGCTGATCACTGGCAAGGTTTCTGGCAGAGTTTTCAGATGGAGAACCTACACACACAGTTACATCTGACGTGGGAAAATGCTGAATGAAAAGGAAATCAAAAAATAGAAAAGCAAAACTTGCCCCCACCGCAACAAACCTCAACAACGCTGAGTATCCAACACCTTGAGTAGCTGGGGTTTGGTTTCTCTGTCCAGGTACCTGAGGCTCACAGGCACTTTATTTTAGGGATATTGAACAGCCACTGACATAGCACAGAGTAAGCAATTATTCTTTTGTCCAAGCAGCAGAACTTTAAATAGAACATTTTCCTCAGTCACCTGGGAATTCTGACTTTCTTGGGGTTAAAACTTGAACAGGAAGGGAAGACATTGAAGCCCCCGAAACTCCAGCACATCAACTTCACAACTGCCTTGAGCAGAAGGCTCTTCCACTGTAACAAAGTGCATTAATTAGAGAAAAAACAGGTCTCTTCCCTGCTTGCTTAATTTTTAAAATGTTTTTAAGTGACAAAATGGCACTTATTTGCAGCTCAGTAAATGGCAGCAGTTTGACCTGTCACTCAGTGACCAAACAGTTTCTGCACTTGGCATCATAAACTTTGTGCCACATGAACGTGCTGTTCCACCAACATGGCCAACCACAACATGTTTGATGTCAATAATGTGAATATGGAAAAGCAGGTTTTGGGAATCATGACAATTATGGGCAATTACCTCCCCAAAAAACCCTCAACCCTATACCATGACCCTCAAAGAAAAAATGAAACAAAAATTAAAAAAAACCCCAGAGGTTTAAAAATATGTAGGGAAGATAAGTACCATACTGCTGGGCTGAACATCTTATCAGTTTGGACTGAGGAAAAGCAAAAATGCACTCATGATCTAAACACATTTAGGTTGAGGAGGTTTCTAGATTATATATTCCTTCCTTCATTAGGAATTAAGTGATGAAGAGGCAGAAAATCCAAGGGAAAGGGAGAGATGGAACGAGAGTCTAGAATTCACGTTTTGCTTCAAAACTTCTCTAACTTTGAGGCTTCTGATGTATAAAAGTTTAGAGAAATGATAAAATGTTCCAGCTATTTTCTGAACAGCCATGGAAATGACACGGGACTATTTGTACACAAACAGCTTTGAGGCATTTTGTTTTTAATTTGCATACAATTCTTAAAGTGAATTCCACATGAAGAAGGGTGAGATACAACAGAGCTCATTTACCATTTCACAAGTTAACAGAACAAAGTAAACATCTGTCCTTCTGATTAATTAGCATCGACCCCTCACTCCAACTTGTCACTTCCTGCTGCAAGTCCCCCACGCCAAAGGAACGCACGGACCAGTCCCAAACTCCCCAGACATTCACACGTGGACTTCAGTGACACTGCAAATCATAACAGCAAGAAAAAAAATCCAAATAGAAAGCCTTTAGGTGACCTCATATTCTCTTCATGGTTCACAAACCAAGACCCGAAATTCTGAGTACAAAAATACTTCAGTTGTCCAGCTCAGCCATTCATCTGACTGTGGTTCCTCCCTGGAGCCCCAGCCAAGGGGAAAACACTTTCTGTCAGATAAGAGGGGGCATTAAATCAGAAACAGGGAAGTCTCAGAAGAACTGTGCTAAAATGGACTTCCCAAACAATTGTCTCTGGAACACAATTGGAACATGCTCTGTCCTTCCACATACTGAGACAGTTTTCTAGCTGTATCTCCATTCATAGTTGCATTCCACCAGGTTTTTGGCTTGTATCAAACTGGCAAACACCATCCTGACCAAAAGATATGACAACAGTATCACAGCTACAATAAAACAGTGGTGTCTTATTCAAGGCAGTATCATCTTCCTTCATGCTTCAAGGAGATCAGAGAAGAGGTTAAACACAGGGTGAAAGGGAAGCAGTAACAAATCTGTCTGGCAGACCTTTCCAAAAAAAGAGATGGGAATGTGAGGCCATCCAGGGAAAAAAGGAGAAAGACATAAGAAGCTGCAAAGAACTGAATCCACCAACAGCAGCAGAAAATGCCCATCACTAGAGCTGTCTTTATTTAAGTCTTACAGCAATAAACACCAGTTTAGCCTTCTGCCTGAAACTTTCCAGGAAGCCTTTTCCTTGGTGTGGGAGTTGAGATTCTGTGACGCTGTTCACAGTGAGATGAATGAAAACCAACCCAACTGATTGTGCTGAAGTGGAAAAATCACAGGACTGGGAATTGCACATGGATAGTTGAGGGTTTGATGTGCACACAACCTACACGTCACAGCACAGCTGGCACTGCCAGGGATTCCAGTGGGGAAAGGCCAATTTTTTGTTCCCCTCTCATGATTGTGGATTCTCCAGCAACTCTACTGAGTCTGAAATACATCAGTATCAGAGAAGAGACTCTAACAGTAAAAAACTCTGTACACTTGAATATGTATTCATTCTCTAGCAGTTTTTTGCTATATATTTAACACTAGCGTGACAAAATTCCTGATAACTCTATCTCATGCAGGTAACTTAAAAGAGGAGTTAGCACTACCTAAACTGATAAACCTACCACTACAGGGTTACTTGGAGCCTACAGGACAAGTGTCTTCTGCAACAGTGACAGCCAGGCAGGGGTGTCCCTGCCAAACAGGCTCAGCTGAGCGCTCCTGGCAGGGATCTCAAGGACAGCACAGCCTTCAGAAGGGCTGGAGGGGCAACATCCTTTGGGCCAAACAGACTTGCCATTGTGGTTTGGAAGGGCTCAGGTGGAGCTGGAGACGTGTTGGCAATTGGTGGTGGTGTTTCTGTAGTCAGGCAAACAGTTTAGCTTTTCTAGTTGAAGTTGCTGTGATTGGTGTTCTCTCTTGGACAGAGTAAGATGGGTTACTCTACCCAAATTGCTATTGTTTAGGTCACAACTGAGATGTTGAGAGCATACTGTACCTTTCTGCAGCTGAAGACAAAGATTGCTGATAGATTGCTGCTGTTCCTTCTCTGCAATGCCTTGGTGGATACATTTTCATCAATAGCAACTATGAAAACAAACTCCCTAGAGTCCAAATTCTTAAAAAATATATTACAGGAAGAGTCTACTCGTCATTCACTTATTGTTTTCTCCTACAATTCCCACAGGTTTCAAAGCATAATCATTATAAATGTAAATTATTCGAAGAATAAGAAGGGTTGTGATAGTCTTCTGCTGTACTGGGCATTTCCCTTTTTTAACTGGCATACATTCTGACAGAAACACCACAGCACGAACCAGAGCATTGCAATTAAAAAAACAAAAGGCAAACCATTCAGTCCCATGTTAGAGCACGTGTATGTGTGTATAATACTGCAAAAGTAGTCACACATCAGAGGTATATAATTGACAACAGCATTTTCTTCCATGAACCTGCTATTATTGAGGCAGTGACAAGGTTTCCATTTCTTTGTTTTCTGAGCTCTTTACAGAATGGCTATTGCCACATCTTGTAAACCTAAATACTGTCCAAGCAGAAGCTTGTTGGTATCAGGTGAGGAGTAACACTACTAGTGCAAACAGGTGCAGAGACCACTCCTCCAGTTGTGGGGTGAGCCAGGTGTGTAACACTGACAGGACAGGCATCTTCTTCCAAGCGTGTTCTCCACTCAGCCACACCTCCTTCTGCACCCTGGGCTTCTTTTCACAGGGGGGGCTGGGGGAGCACCCCCAGCTCACGGGAGATTGAGCACAGCAAAGATTTCTTGACTGTTTTCCCACTAACAGCACGGACGTCCTCCGAGTCCAGGAGCGATCAACACCTCAAGCATCAGGCGAGTGACAATAATACTGACTTCGTATCTTTAGTAAAAAGCGAGACATTCTCTCCTGAGATATAAGTCAAGGAAGGAACAGGAATGATGAACCTAACACTGTACCATTATTTGATCATGATGCACCTCAGCTGAGCAGATGGGAAAGGACAAGTGGTCACTGCCCTCTGCTCATCCAAAGCTGTGACAGGCAGTTGTTCAGCTAAGTGCTTGGCATGCCAGTATGCTGGCAGAGCAGTTCTCAGTGTGCTGTCCCCCCTTTAGCTTATTTCTTTAAAAGAAAAAAAAAAAAACACAAAAAAAAAAGGCAAGAAAAAAAAAAAGACAAAACAAAAAAGGAAGAAAATCTCAGCAGGTTAACCCTCATCTTCCCTCAGCTCCGTGGGCAGGAATTTGTATTGCTGTTGGCGGATCTGGGCCAGCTTTTTCCTTGCTTCTTCCAGCTCTCTCTCCTTCTTCAGCATTTCTTCCTGGGCTGCAATGATCTACAAAACAGAGGCAGGAATTATGACAGCAAGGAATATTGTTTGTAAGATCAGATTCCTTCATGAGAGCAGCCACAGGAAGCCCATGAGCATCCTCCCGAGAAGCACCAAATATCATCACCATCAGGAACTGCTCAAGTTTTTCCAGGTCCCAGGACTGTGCCATCCAGAACAGTTTTGTATTCCCAATGTTTCTTAAAGAGGACTTAGAAAAAAAAAAAGGGAAAGAGAATCTACCACCGCAGTTTTCCCATGGATCCATGCTGGATTTTATGGCTCTGTGCTCTCCCTCATTCCTCAGGGGGAAGGTTTAGCACATGCAGAATAAGCACCATGACAATGTTTGAGTGGCAGTAAAACTGAACACTCATCACTGGGGGCATCCACAGGATTTTCCTGCCTCTCACAATGCCAAAGGAAAAGTGACAGTAGTACAGATATGCAGAAATAACACAAGTCCAGTATCTTTCAAGCAGCAACTGCAGCATATGGTGCACCCCAGGAAGCTGGCACAACCTCCAAGCCCTGAAATCTATTTTTAAATATTTTTATTATTTCCCAATAATTATTATGCTCACAGTAAGCAAAGTCATTGGTTTTCATCTCTAAACCACTGTTCCATTAAAACACTTAAAGTACCAGAGAGAAGCCTGAAAAGAGCCATTTACTTAATCAGAAAGAGAAGTAAAATACATTGGGCAGTGGTAGCTGCTGTTACAGCAAATGCTCCACAGAGAAGTGGAGACACCACCCAGCAAATCACTGCTGTTGTCAGTGGTCACATCACACTGAGCATCAAGTAATTTATCACATTTCTGAGCAGCTCTGAGCAGCTGCAGTGCAGATGGGCACTGTAACACTGCTCACTCCTGGGCTGGTTCCCCCCTGCTCCAGTCTCTGTACCCACCTGAGCGATGCCACCCACGAACTTGGTTTTGACCACGACGTCGTCGTCCTCTGCTTTGCCAAAAGCTGCTTTCTGGGCTGCCCTCACAAGATTGTCTGATGCACGTTTGACAGCGTTGCCTGCAGCCTTTGAGCAAGACAGAGCAAATCTGGTAAGAGTGGAAATGCACAACCAGCATGGATTCATCTCAGCATCACAATTAAAGCATCTCTGCTTGACTGCACTGGAAGGACGTGTTTTGTTTTTCCTAGTAAAAAGCAAATAAATCTTGGAAAATCCATGGTACAGAAAGGAACACCATTTTTTATTTAAGAAGTTGGAAAAGTCACAAATGAGATTTTTTTTTCCTCCTACAGCTTGACATAAAACAGTGGATGAAAACACAAGTTACATCACACACAACACTGATCAGCCTTTTTTTTTTTTTCTGAGCAAGAACAGAAACTGAAAACTAGTGTATAAACACATTTTATAAGACAATTAAGTTGCTTGGACAGATACTTAATCCAGTCACCATTTACATCTGTCAACATCTTTTAAAGTGAAGAATAAAGCAGGCAGTGAAATGAGCTGTAGCTACTGCTGAATAACAGCAAATGCACAGTCACTTCATCCAGGATTAATAAAACATCCCAGAATCCTGCAAGGAGGGGAAACAGAACCAAAATCTGAAAGTTCAAGACACTATTCCTAAAATCAGGGGTTTGCTCCTGCAGCACTGAACCTGCAGCACTCACACAGCACTGCTCTGGGTTTCCAGGAATGAGCACACAAACCTGCAGCACTCACACAGCACTGCTCTGGGTTCCCAGGAAGGAGCACACAAACCTGCAGCACTCACACAGCACTGCTCTGGGTTCCCAGGAATGAGCACACAAACCTGCAGCACTCACACAGCACTGCTCTGGGTTTCCAGGAATCAGCACACAAACCTGCAGCATTCACACAGCACTTCTCTGGGTTCCCAGGAATGAGCACACAAACCTGCAGCATTCACACAGCACTGCTCTGGGTTCCCAGGAATCAGCACACAAACCTGCAGCATTCACACAGCACTGCTCTGGGTTTCCAGGAATCAGCACACAAACCTGCAGCACTCACACAGCACTGCTCTGGGTTTCCAGAACTCAGCACACAAACCTGCAGCCTCCTCATGGCCTCGGAGTCGTGATCAGCCTTCACCTTGCAAGCCACCAGCAGCTGTGCCGTGGAAGCTGCCACTTGCTTGGCAGAGGAGATGAGCTTCTCCTCGCTGGCGTGGCCCTGCACCGAGGCGTTGGCTGCTTCGCACAGGTTGCTGGTTGCAGCTGCCACCATCCGGGCCTGCAGGACAGCAGAAACCAGCCCAGTCACTGGGTGTTCCCATCACTGCCCCAGAGGAGGTGCTGGTTTGCTCGAGAGAAGCAGTTACTCACAGCGGAAATGAGTCCCTGAGACCACTGTCCATCGTCAGCTGCGTTGGCAGGGATTGCTCCAACCTGAAAAGACAGTTCACAGGTGGCTCACAGGGAAACAGGAAACACAAGTGCTTTGTCTCTGATTTAGGCAAGCAGTGACCCCTGGAGAAAGGAAACACCTGTACCTGTGACTGCCCAGCACAGGGAGGAGCAGAAAATCCAGCTGAAATTACTTGCCACAGTAAGTGTGTTCCCAGCACACATCTGGCTGCTCATGAGTGTCCAACTTGCTGTACTGCTTCAACTGACCCATTCTTGGAACATGCTGAAGTAATTACCAGGGTAACCAGTAATTCCCACAGAAACCAGTAATTCCCAGAGAACTGAAGGCTGAAGCCACAGCTTTGGCCCAGGCAACAGCTGAAGCAGTAGTTTCCAGTGTCCTGGACTTGGAAATAACTTATTTCTGTCTCCATAACATTTGAATTTACATCATTCTCGAGTATCTTCTGACTCTGGCACTGTGGGAAGGTACAAATCAGAGAACTTCCCATGGAAGATCCCTGATTGCCTCTGTGCCACCTGGGGACAGCAGCCACTTTTCTGCATGGCTTATCCACTGGAGTGCTCCTGGACTGGCAGTGCCATCAGGACACAGTTATCTTCCCACATTCCAGGAAAGCAATGGAACTAAATTCTACAGCTGCTTATCAGCCCTCACCCCCAGCTACCTGGGTGTTTTTGGGACAGAAACTGGAAGATGTGAAGTGAAAACATGGTCCAGAAACTTGCTTTTTGAAAGAAATGGAAGCAAGGATTCCTGCATGATGAGAATCCCAGGGAATGAACTGAATCCTTACATGTGGCATCAACACAAACAGAAGTTGTGTTCTGTTATGGTGACACCTTTGTATAACTAAAAAATCAGCTATACAAAAGCAAACACTAAGTGCCAAATTATCTAGGTTAGATCACAAGACCTTCATGAAATGAAAACCACCCCACAAACAGTCAAACCCCCCACAACTGAAACATCTGAGGAGCCAAACACTTTGGTTACACTTGTGAGGTTTAAAGAAACACAACTGTGGGATTTCTTTAAACACAGCCAGGTCTGGGCCACGTGTTGTGATGAGCAGTGAAAAGATTTACATTGTCATCATCGTTCCCAAGCTTCTTCCCTACTGTTTTAATGGATAACAGTTGGAAGACCAGGTTCCATTTCAGTGCTTTCCCCCACCACTGTTTACCCACCTTTCCCTGGGCCACCAGTTCCCTCTGGGCTGCTGAAGCCGACTTCACCAGGGCACTGGTAGCAGCTGCAATGGATTTAGCTGCTTCCAGGATCTGCTCTTCAAAATCCAGAGTCTCATCTGCTTGCTATAACCAAGAAAAAACACTGTCACACATTCACCCAGTTATGCTCTCAAGACTGAGGGCACATACAAAGCAAGACAAGCTGATTTTGGGACACATCAGGGAATTCTGTGAAGGAGTTTCATGTGGACTAAAGCTGGAAGTGAATTTAAGTATTAGGGTTAAATTAAAGAATTGCCACCCACACTCTAATACATTATTTACAGTAAGGCTGCTCTGAACTACACTCAGAAAAGGGCAGGTCTGAAAGGAAATTCTTGCTTTTCCTCTCAAGGTTGTCTCTGTAGTGCCATAATTCTGCCTTCCAGCATTGCTGAACCAGCCAAAGCATCTCCTAAACACTTAAAGACTTTCAGCACTGAGAGAGGACAGTGCTACACATGCATTGCCTCACTCCCCTGCCCCTGGAGATGCAGACACCAAGAAGGGCACAGATTTAACAGCCTCTGGTAAGAGCTGTCATCTCCCAGAAAGCAGCTTTGAGAAGCAGTGCAGCTGAGTGATCCTGCAGATGGGAAATTCCAAAGCTCTGCCTGGAACACTTCAGTCATCCAAGCTTGTCTTTCAACAAGCAGGTGCAAACAGAGAACTCAGCTGTTCCTAGTGGGGTTTCTTACTATTTAAAATGCAAATCTTTTGTTCCATAATAGATTCCCTGACTTGCTAATCATTTAAACAAATGCTGAAAACATTTATCCATTTAAGCACATTTTTCTGGGTTCTGAACAGTTAACAAAATAGGTGGAGATAAATGGTTATTGTTATTTTAAACAGAACCAGGCCTGGGCCGTGCATTCTGATGGATTTTAATCCAAAATAATCCCACAGAACGTGTTTTGTTTGTGATCCAATCATCAGCCTGCCAGAACCCAGGGCAGGATCACAAGTGGGGCTGGTGGCTACAACATCAGAACAGGCCACCTGGTGAGATGAGCCTTTGGAACTCCTGCTTTATTCTGTCTTGGGCAACCAGAGTGTTCTTGTGCCCAATAACTAACCAGAAACACCAGCCAAGAGACACAAAACTGGGCACTTCACTTGCAAGTCTAAGGGCACCCATCTACATTTAAGTCAGGTTTAGTTCTCCTTTTACTGCAGTTGGATGAAATAGCAGTCAGTGATAAAATAATAGAAGACAATGAGTAATTACAAATCATTACAGAATGGCCCATCCAGCAGCACTTGGTGCTACAGCAGCTCAAAAACTGCCACAGAGTCCAGCAGATGAACCACAGGATCCACAGACACCAGAAAACCTGGGTGAGCTCAAAATAAAATCTGATGTGTAAATGAAGTTGTTGGCACTTGAAAGTTTTTCTTGTCCTTTAGGAAAAGCCACTTAATGCATGGAAAAGTATTTCTCTTGCCTTGCTACTGGGCTCATTCCCATCAACTGAAGCACATCTTTGTAATAAAGGAAACTGCTCTGCAAAGTGAGCGAGTCACAATCCACAGGAAGATCTGGCAACGTAACATCCTAATTGTTATTATCCAATATTAATCCTAAGGGGTTCATCACACTGCTCCTGGTTTGGTGCAAAGGCCAAGAATGCCACTGTACAGTGGCTGGATTAACTTCCACCCTGGAGCAGCAGGTGAAGCTCACAGGAAAACAGGCACCTAAACCTTAGTGTCTCATCAGGTAACAGAGTGTCCCCCTGGGAACCAAATGAATTCCTTTCCAACTATATTGAAATTTGGGGGTTTGGAAGAACAAACCATAGGCCAAGTTTCTCAAGCTTCCAAATCCTGCATTCCCTGACATCTCACAACTTCTTTTATTTCTGAGGAAAAAAAAAAGGTAAAAACAGTTGATCCCTTCTGTGGAGGATTTATTATTTCAGAAGCAGCCTCACACAGCACTCCAACTGTTCAACTTCTGTTGGCTTTGCATCTTTTCCAACAAATCCTTCTTGTCTAATCCTTCCCAGCAGTTTTCCCTGCAGCATTCCCAGGAGTGACACCCAGGGTTGGATACTCTGGATACTCATGTTTGAAATGGGCACCGTGGGCACCGCCTGGACTCTCCCAGGGCATTCCTGAGCAGTGAGGGCAGGGAGCACCCCAGACTGAACACAGCCAGACACCCCAAATGAGAAGCAGTTATTCCCATTCCCGTTATTCAGGAGTGTGTCCTGAGCTGCCTTGAGTTCACACTCCTAAAGAGCAGCAGAACACGGGGCAGTTCACAGCCTGCATGAATACAGAGCAGGGATGTGATACATGGCAGAAAACATCCCCTGCTGAGACTTTTGAGAGGCTTCCTGGGTTTCTTTGGAAAGCCAGGCCTCTGACACCAGTGATCAGCCCCTCCTTCCTCAGGCAGCCCCTGAGGTTCAGCATCCCATCTTCCTCAAGCTCAGATTAATTTGCTGTTACTGGCTGTGGGCAGGGATAAATGGAGTGGGAAATGAAGTCACCACAACAGACAAACCAACATTAGCAGGCTAGCTACACAGTCTGAACCATGAGATATCCTCAAAGTGTTGATGATGCCATTTAAAACAAAGCAAACAAAAAAAGGAGATTTTTTTTAAACCATTTTTCTATGGCATCTCCATTATTAGAGGTAGCACAAATCAAATCAGGGTGGATAGGGAAACAAATGAGCCCCCAATCTCACTGCTAAACACTAGCAAAAATTACAAAAGACAAACCACTTTACTTTCAAGCAGCTCTCATCTTCCATTTCATGGAGAGAAGACCAATATGAGAGAGTTCCTGCACTGAGCCACGGAAAACACAATCACCAGTGGAAGTCACTTCTTGGCACAGCTGCTGCCCACTACCACCAAAAGCCCTGCACAACTTGAGAGTCCCTCCAAGACAAACTCTACTGCTAAAGGAGTCCCCCATGCACATATTTTAAATCAGATTAGATTAGGAGTCTGCAGGAAGTCTTCTAAACCTGCTTGTGAGTGAGTGCACTCCTCCTTATGGCCTTCTACTCTGTCACAACCCCCGGAGACAGGGCAGGACACTGTAGGAATATGTTTGATATATAGTTGGATTAAATAACAACCTAATATATCAAACATATCACACAGAGTCCTGCAGGAAAAGGCATCCAGGTTTGATTCATCTTGGGGGGGAAAAAAATTTAAAAAAAAAAAACAGGACAAAGTGCTGAAAGCTACCAAGAAACTCCTGAGGACTTGTAAAGACAGCTGTGCTGGAGGGCACAGAGGCACAAAGAGCACCAACACAACGGGGCAGGACAGCAGGGCTCTCTGCTCTTCAACCTCACCTACCCTACCTCTTGCTTTACAGGTATTTTTCCCCACTATCAGCACGTAGTTTTTATTAGATAAAATATTCTCCTTCTTCAGAAAATCACTGTTTTGGGGAGTTATAAATTTACACCAGTAGCACATTTGCAGAACAGGAGGAATGTGTGTCTGCACTGCCAGACACCTGACCCTCCAAAATGAAAACAGAAAAAAACCCCAGAGTCTATACTCAGGAAAAGTGTGTTTAAAGGAAACCTGACAGCCAAATCCTGCTTGGTAAATGATAAAGACCTCCTTGCCTCACAGATCATTTCCCACCTTGGACACTGCAAGGAGAACTGAACAGGCCTGGTGTTACAGGGAGTAGTAATAACATTTTTTTTTTTAGAGATAAAAGACACACTGGAACACACAAAGATGAAAGTTTCAAGCCTAAATCAAATGACTCCAATTCCCTGCCCCAATTAAAAAAAAAAAATTCCCCAAAAAAATAGAGGATCACCCACCAGCTAGTAATGATGGTGATGGAGGATTTCCTGCAGGCAGATATTCTAAAATTACCAACTAAGGACTCTCTGCAAGTTCACTGGTGATAATTACTGATAACCAAAGCAGGATATTGGTCTGTTCCACTGCAGAACTTAATTATTCCTGCATTTCATAGACTGAGCATAAGAGAAAGTGATTGTATCAACCCCTTCCCTGCTCTGAGCTTTCCTACTGCAACCCTGGGTACACTCAAAGATGAGCATCAGAAAGACAGAGCCTGTTCAGATCAGGAAATCCTACTCTGGGAGGATACAAGCCACAAGTCTTCAGCAGAAAAAGTGGGGTTTGAGCCACTCTGATATTCCTAACATCTTTTGATGTGTATTACAATGTGAGGGAGATTAAACAGCTGAAAAGGAGGCAAAGGCAGCTCAAATCCCAACCCAAACAAACAGCTGGACATGAACTGTAGTTTCAGAACAGAGCAGTAAATCACAGGCAGGCTGGATACTCCAATTAACATGTTAAATGAGGAGCAGGTGTGAGCTCTGTATTCACAGGGGAATTACAATGGCCCTGAGCGGCTGAGGTGGTGGAAGGGACCTGCTCCCCAGTCCCCAGGCAACACACACCTGCCACTGTGCAGGATTGTCCAGAGAGGGTGATGGAGGGCTCTCCCATCCTCAGACTGGCCTGTGTCCTCTGCTCTGCACAATCTCATTAGAAAGGACCACTTCTCTTTGTAAACAAAATGGATGTACTTGTTAAAAAATGCAAGACAAAGAGTATTTCTTTGTTGTGAGTTCATTTATTCCCATCATTGGATGGGGGGTGGGAAGTCCTCAAAGGCTGAAGCTTCCAAGAACTATTTCATCTGATGCTCCTGAATAACCAAATACCACCCTGCACCAAAACATCCAGCACTGAATGTCCTTGAGGCCCTGCTTTTTAGAAAGACCTCTCATTAGCTTCACTCTGAAAATAGTTTTGCACCTACAAAGCAGCATGAACAGGAAAGCAGAAACACAGTCCTCTCCTGAAGTGAATTCCACAGCCAAAGCATGATTTTTCATTTTAAAGAGATGCAACATGGCAATTTCTTCTAAAACCTGCCTGTTACTCAACACCAGGCAAAAGGCAGCAGTTCTCCTGGATCCACTCGTGGGAGTTCTGCACACAGGCATTGGGAACAGCAGTTTGACACAGTCCCTCTGCACTGCACATGAAAATAGTTGGCTTCATTTTATAACAGAGACACAGCTGAAATGACCTGGTAACATGCAACACTGTTCGCTGTCATAACGAGCTGTAATTTCATTTCCCTCAGGAAAATTAAACAGAAATGGTTGTACCACAGACCTGATTTGACACTGAAGCAGCTACTCTTAGCATGGCATTAAATCCTATGTTTTTAGCCTTAGAAAATCCAGCAGGTCTTTTGCCTCCTGTTGAATCCTTTCTGTGTTGCTGCTGCTTTCTCCTGCCCCACTACAAAATTCAGGTGAGGACAAAGGGCCTTCAAAGGAAAGCAAGGGAGAGCAACTTTCCACATCAGTAAACTGTCTTTGGAAACAGAAATGTGAACAACCAACAGGAATTTCTGCCATAACTCTCACAAGCATTTCCAACATTTGGCTTTTCTTCCTTTGCCTGCTCGTGGCTGGTGCTCGACTGACTCCCTGAGAAGCACCTTTTTCACCCTGTGCCTTCAGGGTGAGAGCCCTCCAGGGCAGTGCCTGGTGCCACTGACACTCAGGTGAGGTCTGATTGTTTCCACCCTCACTGTGGCCAGTGCCAGGGCACACACCAGTCCATGGGCTCTGGGCATCCCCTGCTTGATTAACCTCAAACAAACACTCACCTTGGGCTTGGCTCTCGGTTTCAGCTGCTCCAACTTCTTTGCTGCAGCCTCAATGGACGCTGCAGCCCCCAGCAGCTCTGTCTCTGCAATCACCGTGGGGTCTTCGGGATCCACCCACTCTGTCCCTGAAAAGAACGGAGATGAGGACAATGACTGTAGTGGCACTGAGAGCTGCCACTCACACAGGGCACTTACAGTCACTTGGCAGGTGTCAAACACAGAAAGCACATCACAGAAAGCTGCTTTTAATACCTTACTAGCCTGAAAACACTGCATTTTATGCCACAGAGCATGTAAAGCAGAGGGGGGAAAGTACTTAGCAGCATTATTCTGTCATGAAAGTAACTTCTTGAAGAACTGTTTAAGCAAAGAAGCTTCAGAAAGGTAGATTGTCCATGTGGGAAACCAAACTTGTATCAGGGCTCTTCCTGAGATGGCTCCTGACTTGACCAAGTCCTCAGGTACTCACAAGTCTGACAGGTGGTGGAGAGAACAGGACACACATAACACAACCCAGCCCACGGTGCCAGGGTCTGCTTGGCAGTGGGTGGAGATGGAGGGGCCCTGGCTGAGGGAAGCACCCTGTGGGCAGTGAGTGTCTGACAGCAGTGGGGAGAAGCCAAAGCACTTTCTGCAATATATCCAAAGGGCAATTTGTTGTTGTTGTTATTGAATTTTTGGCATTTCTCTCACCTCAAAGAAATTTTATAGGCCCACAAAAGGAATACTTGGCTGGAAGTGATCTCAGACTTTTGGAAGTCGTCAGGGCATTGTAATTTTTGATTTCCTAACAGCACTCTCTGAATTTCAAGACTCAGAAAGCACCCACATTCTGAAGGGAGGGAAACAAGGAAACAGCCAAAAGGAGTTCATAACCTCTGTGGGCATGGTCTGAAGACCATTTCTCAGCTCAAATGGTGCACAGGATGAAGACATTCTATATTTATTTAATATTATTCTATATTAAGCCCTAAAAACTGGAGATAAACAGGGGGGAAAAAAGAAGAGATACAGGCAGCAAATATGAACACAGTCAAAAACAAACTTGTAAAATGTAGCAGTTCCTCTTCACAAACAGGCCTTTCACAAAGGTGAAAATATTCACATGTTGAATTTGTCAGGAGACAATTTTATTGTGTATCTATAAATGAAAACTGGGAATGGTTAAAAAACATTACTTTCCACAAAAAAATCTTCCAGAGTGAATCAAAAAATGCTCAAAAGGCAGTAAGAGAAAAAAAAACCCAAAACCAAACCTGATCTTTTTATTTTAGTGAATATGAATTAAAATGCAAAAATTGCTGGAAACTAATGAATGTCCTCAAAGAGGAGGACAATATAAGGATTTTTAAAAGCACTTAGGAAATAGAAATATTCTGATACTGGTTTGGTTTGTCATATGAAGGAAGGCAGGAAGGTAATAATATGAACATATGAAAAGTGCTTAGTTAAGGTTCATTTCCAAGGAACATGTACTGGTTATAGCAAGGAATAACTGAGGAAAACCTGCACTGTACATTGCACAGAATATCAGAAAAATGAGTACAGAGTCCTCTGAATTAACTTAGGAAAGAATGATGGAACAAATATGGATTTACTAGAAGCCTTTACTGGGGGGCAGAATTTAAAAGCAAAAAAAAGGAAGTTTTAAAATAAAAATGTCTAAGATAAAATATAATTTTTTAAAAAAATACAACAGTGCTTTATTTAAAACGTTCTATTACCTATGAGATTAGAGTGCTCATAACACCATTCTGATGGCTGTGAGATTCCTTTAGCCTGCAGTTCCCAGGAAATCTGGAGTGGCTGTGGTCTAATACTTCATACCACACCCTCAAATGTATTTATCTCCTTTAAAATGCATAATGTTAGAACTGTGATTATAAGAGTTCACATGCATTACTGGATAAAAATTTTACTAAGCCAGTAACTTAGAAAAATACCATTTATTATAAGAAGAGTGACCTTGGGATGGTTCTAAGAACAGTGGAATATTCATTGCTTATTTGAGTGCTGGATTTATATTTGCCCACAAGTTGTTCAACTGTAAGAGTTCAGGAAACCATCCAGACAACACTTATTGAAATCTCCTTGTTTCATGAACACACTTTGCCAGGGCAGGACCCGGACACAGCACTGGGAAGCACCACAGACCTAGAAGTGACAGCATTGCTGAAGGCTGGGTAGATCAAAAATCCAAGTGTGTAAGTGATGGCATCCCCTGTCACCTGTAGCTGGAGAGCAATCAGCACTGCAAAGCAAAGGACTTCTTCTGACTGCACTAATGGGGGTGTGAGGAAAAGACCCAGCCAGGAAGTGAAGAGGGTCAGACAGACTTGTCCACCAACACTGAGTAAGGGAATGCCAGCAGAGAAATTCAGGGAAGGCAGCAGGTGGTACCAGCACTCCTAGGGCACACTGGGAGGGGGTTTGGTTCAAATACAAAAGTGCCAGGTGATCCTCTCCCCACAGTGGGAGCCAGGCCCCCAACTCACCCTTCATGGCCTCTGCTGACTGGATGAGCTCTGTCACGGCACCCGCCACGCGCTTGGACAGCGAGGCCAACTGGTGCTTCAGCTCTGGAGTTGGCTTCTGCAGGATCTACAGACACAGGGAAAAGGTAATAGTGCATATTAGTGAGGGTTCCAGAGAATGCTGGAGCATTCCCAAGGCACACCAGTGAAGGATTTACTTTACACAGAGATCATCTGAGAGAAAACACGAGCCCAGTGAGAGAACTCCAACTGCCAGCGGAGCTCTGGGAGCCACGGCTGCAATGGGGATGCACAGCAGGGAGTGGCACTGCTGCAGCCACTGACAGGACTGGCTGCAAGTTCTCAATGCTCACCCCAGGGCAGAACGATCCAAACCAGAGGCACATGTGTGAGAATGTGGCAGGAACACGCAGCTTTGGCACTCCAAGCTCAGGTATTACAGTCACCACACTATGGGCCAGGCTCAGCCTTTCTAGACTGCTGGAGAGGAGCTGATTTTCCAATATTAACAGATTGGTTGTTCACCATTTCTGAGAGACAGGATGACAGAGTTCTGGAAGCTAGCTCCCTGTTCTGGAAAAAAATCAGAGACTGGGGACACAATGGAAATGCCAGTTCTGGGCAAGACCCTCAAACAAAAGGGACAGACAGACATTTCTGAGCTTAATTTCTATCAAGTATTAAACTGGGCTTCTTCAAATGAAAAACAGTGAGACACTCAGTGAAGCTCAGTTCTTCCCCTGAACAGGCACACTTTCAGTTTTAATTACCATAATTCTGTATGGTCAAGAAAAGCCAACTGCCAGCAGGATTCATGAGCTTGGATTTGAGTGCAGAGCTCTGGGGGTGTCCTGGCTGATGTCCTGGAGAGCTCTTTGTGAGGCAGTGCTGGCTGAGGGGTTTTGGGGTGGCACTGAGCAGGTGTGACAGCAAAAGGTCTGGAAAAGTCTCTTCATATATCTCACATAACCCCTTTGGTCTGGGTTTAAAACACATCTAGTGTTTGTTGTGGGCTTAAGAGAACACTGAAATGTCTTATTTTAATTTTTTTGTCAGGGACCTTTTTTAGGTCCAGATCTGCTCCAGAAAGCAGTTCCACTCAAGTCCTCCAGTGTTCCTTCTGTCTCTCAGTTTGAGCTGCAGTTCTGGATTCCTTTCGCTGCTTTTCCTGAACAGCAGAACTGATCATAACTGACGACAAACTGACCAGAACGTGTCACTGGCATCACTGCAGGAAGAGGGCAGGGAGATGGCTCTCCCTGGCAGTGATGCAGGAGCTGCCTGCAGAGCATCCTTACCAGGAGCACGTGTTCCAGGAGCTCCAGGTACCCCAGGGTGCACTCCGTGCCAAAGCGCAGGGCTCTCTCTCGAACCTCTTGGCTCACATCAGGGTGGAACGACGCTTGCTGAGGAGGCAAAACAACATCAGTACCCACAACTGCTCCCACAGAGGAGACACAGGGCAAAGAGAAGGGGAGAGGTTTTCTTAGAGTGTGCAAATGCCATTTGAGCTGGAGGGTCACCTGTTTCCACTGCCAATTTGTAAGCAAGTTGTGCTGGAGGAGCAGCAGAGCTCCCCTTCTGAAATGGCACTGGGAACACTTTCCCTTTTATCAGCACATTCTCCTGTCTGGGTGAGCATCTGCAGCCCTTCTTAGTGTCCTTCCTCAGGCACTACCAGCACTAATACTGCTTCTTGCTGCCAGCTAAGAACAAACACAGAAACTCTTGAAGAACCATCTGAAAATGGAGTTTTCTTCTCTGTTGTGATTTCTCCTAATGCAAATAGTGAAAAGCATCTTGGGGCTCATTGGGCTCTTGGATTGTGTAAACACACTGTTCTACCCTGCAAAGGTTTTATTAGTGTGGCTCTTCTTTTTTACTAATATTAACAAAAATAATAATTGTAAGCCCAGTTTTGCCACCCATAAAAGACCATTTACATCTTACATAAGCCTTACTAACTCAATTTATGTTTAATGAGAAGTGAGAACTATAGCCTCTTGGAGCCTTGTATTTTCCACAGTAAACTTCTAGAGAATTCTTTTATTGAACAGAAGGACCAACTGTTGACAGGTAACACTTCCTAAATATTCATAAATTCAGCGTTTCCTCCCACAAAGCATCTCCTTCCACTCCTGCAGCCTCTTATCTTCCCTTAGGCTGGGGATTATCTCACTGCTCGCCTATTTTAGGCCCTTCCTGCAACCCACAACATCCCAAGCAGCGCTGGGCTCTGGGCTCCCTCTGCAGGGAAACTCAGGATCAGCAGAGCAGGAAAATCCTGCCAGCAAGTAACATAAAGGGTGAGAAGATGGGAGGAGCCAGCACAGGATTCTCCTCATCCTCAGCCCCACTTCAAATGAGCTCCAGAAGCCCAAAAAATTCAGAACAGTTTTTCAAAAGTTTTCAAACAGGGCAAAGGGTCTCCCAGTGTTTCTCATGAATATATTATAAAGCATCCCAGAATGTCTCCTCTTCACTTAATTTTACTGTAGCACAGGCAATTAGAGCAAGCATCTGTAGGAGAGAAAGTCTCCTGGCTGGGCAATGATCTCAGTGATTACTCATGCAATTGTTTGCTATGGTTTTGATGGACTTTTCATATCTGTTTCCTTTCCAGCAGTAATCACTGCAAATACTGATATTATGCTCAGGTTACTTACTGCATAGTCATTATTTCATACAAATAGGTAATAAAGAAAGTAATTGTTGTTATCTTAGGGCCTGCTCTAACCTCCAATAAATGTAATTACAGTGTTTCCACTGACTTTAATGAGAGGTGTCTTGGTTCATTACATCCCCCAAGCAAGCTCATTGTCTTTTGAAATAGCATCTACTTATAAATACAGAATTAGTAATGAGCACTGTAAATTCATGTACAGCAGAAGAAGCACAACCATCTACACAGTTGCTCATAATTCCAGTCCCTTGTACTACCTGCCTTAGGCAACTGGCAATGAAGTAGAACTTGCATTTAAATTCCTGACACCGGGGAAGTCAGAGCCACGTTCTGTGCAATTCTACCACAGATCACACACACACTTCTGTCTTACCCAGAGGACATAAAAATCCGATGGTTTATCAAGTGCTTATTCTACAGATCAGCTTCATAACCCTAGAAATGGCTCCAGTATTTGTTAAATGCCACAAAAGCCAAGTGGCACTGCATCACACAGCTTTTACAGCACAGTGGGGCTGACTGCTGGTTCCTACCCCTAAAGCTCCAGCAATGTGGCTTAGCATGGAAATGCCCATTTGTAGAATTAATGGAATAAGATTTCTGAAGTCTCTGAGCAGAATTTTCTTATTCAGGACCTAACCCAAGATTTTCTAAATCAAGTCTGGGTCAGGCTTTGTATTTAAAAGCTTTTTTAAGTGACTGATTATTTTTCCTACATTTTTAGATAATGCATAAAATTAGTATTCCTGAAGACTTTCATTCCTCTTTGCCCAATAAATGCTCTTGACCTTCAGAAAGCTAAACATGACAACACTAGATCTGCTGCCTTGGCACTGTATGATTGTAGGTAAGGAAAGTGATTCCCAGCCATTTTCCTCTCTTCATCAAAGCAATTCCCTGGGAGATCACAAATGCTCTTCCAGCACCCCAGAGCTCCACTGTTCACTCTGCAGGAAATTCCATCCCCTTGGATGCTTGCAGAGCATGAACCACTCAGAAACCATTTACATTAACTGGGAGCAAACATGAATATAAAATAGGAATGTTCATAAACCAACGTTCCAAAGCGAGCTTGTGATGTTATTAGAAAGAGAGGACTCTGTGCCTGAGAATTTGCTGCCTGTTTGGAGGGATGGAAAACTAAACTGTGCCTGCATTGGCCACTTGAAAATGCCAGAGGATGTGAATTGATGTGCATCTGAACCGATCTGTCAGAATGTTGCACAACTATAAACTGTTCTGAGCTTCCCTGAGTGGTTTCAATTAACTGGATTGTCCCTAACACTAATTAGGCTATGGTAGTTCTTATGTAAGTAGTACAGTTTAATTTTCCCATGCAAATTGGAGCTGCTTTATTGTGCTGATCTTCTGAGGTTATGGAGAGGACAGAATCAAAATTTGTGGGGGTGAAAAGCAGTCAAGAACTGTGAGATGCCCAAAAACCCGTTAGGAAACTAAGTCAAGATAAAAAGCTTTATTCAGTGGTTTTGTAACAATCCAGTTCTAAGTTCTAATATAACTTGCCCTTTTGCATGAGGATCATTTTAAATGCAAAATTAACCCTTCTGTTTGGCAGCATTGGGTTAAAAATTAACCTGGGACTGAGCATAGGCAGTTAGGATTTGACCAAATGCTGGAAACAGCACAGAGAGCACCATTATTTCACTGTCACCTTCCACACATGGAGATGCAGAAGGAAATATGATTTACAGGTAAAGGCACTTTACTACTACAGTTACTACTGAAGACCAAAAGGATCCTTATAATCTCATTTTTTAATTCTTTATGCCTAGGTCTTTTCTGTCATCAGAACAAAGCCAAATGGCTTCAATAGTTCCCCCCAGGTCTGGCAGGGCAGTTTGTCAAAGTTGTCCTGCTCAAGCAAGTGCTGAAAACAGGGCACCACTATTTTTAGTGCAAATGCAAAACATTTTGGGAAAGCACAGAAGAAACTGAGCAAATGGACAGGTTTGCTTAGGGGGGAAAGGAATACTAAAAATAGACCAGAGGGATTCCTTTCACCATTCCTTTCACTGTTCCTAGGAATATTGAAAGGATATTTGTGACCACCAGATTATTTGTATATTCTGCCACTTGCACAGATTATTTGTCTTCAGACTGGAAACGAGGAAATTTCAGCTCAAATAGAATTTCCCACTTTCACAAAAAGAAAACACTCAATATTAATGCACAGCACACAAAATCCTTCAGAGAGACATTCCCTGAAGATTCTCTTCACCATTAACTTCCTCAGTGAAAAGCAGAGCATTAACACAAAGCAACTGAACACAAACCCACACTGTTCTATGGATTTCAAGGCACAGGCACACACAGAATCTCAGTGTTAGGAAGCAAGTGAAGTTCATCTTTACCTTGCAGGCTGTCAGCATGTCAGCGACCGCCTTGCGGCTCAGGTTGGCTGTAGCGATCACATCCTCCTGCCTGCACGAGTTCCCAGCTGCAACAGCTTTGGCCGTTGCCATGGTGATCCCCTTCGTCATCCGGATGGACTCCTCGGGGGATGATGTCTTCTCTGGAACCTCGCTGGACTGGAACACCTGAAAGTGAAAGCGGGAGGGAAGTCTGAGAGCGCTCAGGTGACGGAGCAGCCGCGAGGAGGAGGCGGCCGATGGAAGCAGCCCCTGAACAGCAGGAAATGAGAAACATATCTGGAGTGCTTGGATATCATCCTGGCTTGTCATAAGCCTGGATCAGATAAGCCTGCTCACCTCCAGACACCAGAGGGAAACAATAAGCTGAGGGAAGGATGTAATAAAAGGTGTTAACCCCTTCATCTCACCTGCCACGCAACCACCCGGCTCACAGTTGTTCCAGACAGCTGTTCAGAGCATTACAGGATGATAAGAAAGACTATTCCTGTATTTATACTCTTTTTTTTCATCCTGTCTGCTGTTTAGGCTGGTCTGCTCACCTGAGCAGATCCTTCCCCTGCAAAGGCTGGGCCCTCCCAAGCCCTCGTTGCCAGCACAGAGCAGAACAGACCGAGAGCATCATGAAAACATTCAATGTGTCTTAAAACAGCAGAGGTGGAGCGTTGTCTCTTCAACTATATTTAGTTCCCCCTTAGAAACCTAAAGATATCATTTTGCAGGGTGAATTGTGTGAAAATAGTTCCAATTATCTGGCAGTGCACAGTACTCGTGAATACTGGAACACAGGAACTGCAGTAATGCTACGTAAGAAATGCTGGGTAACCTCACTTGGATCTTGTATTTTCCTCTCCCAGGCTTTAGTCTCTATTTATTTGCCATTCTTATGAAGTGCAGGGACAATTTGGAGGGCACAGTGAATCAGGAGAGGTTTCTTGGCTCCACACAGAGCAACCTAAGCAGGCTACTGCTTTCAGAAGACAAATGTCTGGACAAAAAAGAGCCAGGTCTATCCCGTGCTCCCAGTTCATCAGTTTTTCACTTTCCAGAAATGGAAGTAAGGTTAAACAATGAATTCTAGCTGAGTATGTGAAGGATATTTGACATTGCTCAGATTCAGTCCCTGGAATTCCAAATCAAACCTGGTGCATTTCCTTGAGCACATCCTTGAGCCCTCCCCTGTTCCTCCTGACCCCCCTTTACTCCACCTTCCCCCAGGACAGAAGTGGGACAGCAGCACAGATCCACTCCTCACCAATGCTGGCAAAGGCAGAAGGAGGAACAGCTCAAACAGGTACCAAGCAAACTGAGAAAGCAGAAGTGATAATGCACAATCCTCCAGGGCCAGATCTTGTCAGGCTTTAGCTCAGTGACGGGCAGGGATGTAAAGCCAGGCCCTCAGGAGCATCACAACAACAACAACATGCACTGGATGTGGTACAGAACATTCCTGCTCAGGTACCAAGTCAGGAGGTTTTACCACTGCCATGTAAATAATTTAAAATTAATTTCTCCATTGCAACAGCATTGCTCACACAATCAAAACCCATTGTTTTATGGAGAGCACTTGACAGAGCTGTGCCAGTGCCATTACAGTTAAGAACTGCTAATCCACAGACTACACATCAAAGAATTTTCTGCTGAAGATTGTGTCAGAGAGCTTTTTAAATAAAAATGACTAAGTAAAAGAAGGAGGAAAAAAATCAGGTTCCTTCACAAATATGCAGGTATTATTTATGGCACTGACTACTGTGCTAGTAAAAAATAACAACTGAAAGCTGCAGCTGGAGCCTGTATTTTTATACCTTAAAGAGGAAGGAAAGCAACTGTCATGGCCTAACATCTCATTTGGGAGAGAATTCCATGCTATCTTTAATTCCTGCTCGCCCAGAATATCAGACAGCAGGCTGTGTATCCCTGGTAGTATCACTTCATAATAAAGGAAAACTAGAAACAAGATAAAACTGCAGATGCAGCTGGGCAGTGATGCTGAGGAGACTCTCCCAAAGCCAGGATCAAAAAACAAAAGGAGCAGCATCAGACTCAGAAAAGAACATCTGTAGGGAAAGCTAAAGGTCTGGAGAGAAGGAAGCAGTTGCTTCCAGTTCTGTACTTGACAGGAGCATCTTCAGCCTCAAAGTGGGGACTGGTAAGGTGTCAAAGTGGAGGGGCTGAAGTGGATTGTAATTGCACTTTCAGAGATGATTTGCAGCAGGCAGAGAGACCCAAACTGCACCCAGTGCAGTGCAAGGCAGTAAAGCACAGGCCTGGTTTAGTGCAAGGATCCACTCCCAAAAACCACTTCCAAGGGCTGTGCTGTTCTCACCGTCAGCTCCTGCTTGATGTACTCGATGGTGGCCTCGAGAGCTCTCGTCCCTCGAGTGGCTTCATCTTCCACTGCTTTCACAGTCTTCAAAAGGGAGGTGACATTTGTTACCATCACCTGAAGAGAGAAGGGAGCACAAAAACACATGGATGCTTCCTCCCATTTTTCAGAGGTGAGAAGCAAGGCAAGGCAAATTCAAGTAGGCAGCATTGTTACTTCTAATGAGACCTAAGAGACTCCTTCAACTGTACTTGTTTCACAGGACTCTTTGCCAGCTCTTGTACTGGCCACATTCTGAGAGCGCCTCACAAGCTGCACAATTAACTGCACAGAGATACTATCTGAAGTGTGAGTGTTCTGGCAAAAAAATTACCAAAGAAATGGAAAAATCACAGCTTATTTAGAGCATGTCATTGCCTTTTCCTCCTGCACATCTCACACTGCAGGCTGAAGGGGACAGGAATCGAGGGAGGGTATTGCTTTCTGAAATGTGTCCAGAACATTCTCTGCAGTCACATAAAACCCCAGGTGAGCAAGGGGTCCAACACCAGCCTCAAGCCCAAATGGAGATACAGGATCAGTGTCACTGTTCCTGTTACAAACTCAGTAGTTGTGATGCAGAATAACCTCACTGTCACTGCAGTAGTTCCATCCTTCCTCCACCCCAGCATGCTGAGGTACAAACAGCAGCTACAACGAGAAAAGGAGAGACAGAAGAGCCAACTTCTTGACAATGATGACTTGTCAAAGACACCTCTTCACAGTGGGAGGAGCCAACAAGCCATTTTTCTTGACTATTCGAGTTATTTTCCAAGCAGTGCCTCAACAGAACACTGTTCAGCATGTCCTCTGAAAGGCAGAGAGGAACAGCTCTCACAGACAGGCAGATGTGAGAGTGCTTGCTGCCAGCCAGCATTGTCACAACAGGAAGGGGGAAACAACACCACTAAGATCTCCACACCTGGAAATACTTTGGAGACACAAATCCACAGGATCTCCGTGAGGCAAATGCAATCAACACACCTCAGGTGCAGGGAAAACAAAGGTATCACAGGTATGGCATAATCTCTGCAAGTTTTGAGCTTTGATACCTATGTAATTCCTGCAAAGATCTAGGAGGGAGGAGGTGGAAAAGCACAACATCCTCACACAGAGCTATAGGAGGTTGTTTAATCTCCCTCCCTCCCTCCCCAGGCTGCAAGTTGTCAATGAGGAGAGCCCCTGCTTATCCTGAATATTCATTATTTAGAATGTAGTATCTAGATACCATTTTATACTGGATAACCTTTCATCTATACCATTATGAAAGGAGAACCTGCCCTCAGACATGGGCCTGTAGAAGAGAGAAATTTCTCTTCAGAAAGGTTACAGTTCTGTCACCAACACCACAGAAGTCATCTGACAGCCTAGAAAACTGGAGCTTCATCAAAACTCAACAGCATCTTGTTTTTCTTTATCATCCCAGCACGATGATGATGAGTTTTCAGGCAGTCAGAAATTGCCTGGTCCAAGCTCCACACGTCTATCAAACGTGGTTACACAGACACTTCCAAACACAGTGCAAGGAGGAGGTTTTACCTTGGCAGCTCCTTTCAGCTGGTACATGGAGGGATCATCTGCTGGTTTGCTGGCAGCTCCTTTGGTAGCACCAATGAGATCAGAGAGGGCCTTGGCAACATCCTTGATGGCGTTGATGAGGACAACCTGCAGGAACGAGGAACAGCCGTCAGGATCAGGCACTACAGGGGAGTCTGCATCAGGGTGTGATTTTTAGGACACAGCTGAAAAATACCAACTAAATAGTACCACCCTCCCCTACCCCAGGAAAACACAACATTCTGGAAGAGGAGAAGCTGTGCTGAGAGTCACAGTGTTCCATCCACCAGTCAGAGTCTATAAAATTGACAATTCCTGTCACAGGAAGAAGTTGAAATGCTGATTCCAGATAGGATTTCCCTCTGCTCTGCTCCAGCCTCACCTCGAGGACTTGTGCAGTTCTGGGTGCCACAACATAACAAAGACATTAAGCTGTTGGAGAAGCTGTTAGGTGAAGGCTCTGGAGGAGAAATTGAACTCTCTGAGAGGTTATATGGAATTAAATGCTGAAAAGTAAGGAAAAATCTGGAAATATCATCTCCTCAATTTGAGCTCAAAGACAAGAATCCCAGGCATTGTTAAATATTTCAAGGTATTACTGGAGTAATTCTCTCCTCCCAGTCCTTCTCCTTTGCTCTTTCCACCAGCAGAAAAATCAGATGTTTTAAATATTTTGAGTAGAATTCAACAGAGTTAATTCTAAGGAAAATGTGGAAAGATGCATGAAAAATAGGAAAACTCAGTAAAAGAAAAAGGTTATTACTAGGAACAATCACCACTCAATAACTGCATTTCTGCAGCATTATAAATAATAATTAATCAGCCTCATCTTTTGTGTTTGTAGTTCACTATAACTTATGTAACAAGAAAGGTCTTTGCTTTTTCTGAGTTCATTTAACTCAGAGCTTGGAAGCTCTTTGACCACATTAATAAGAAAAAGTCTGAGAGACAGGACAGACTTTTGAGGTTCTCTGGTGTCCAGCTGCCAACATCATGGGGCAGCTTGCAGCATAAGCCACTTGAAACTATCACACCAGGTAAAACAAACGTTACTGCTATGAAAAAAAATGTGGGAGCATCATGTGCTGCAGAGTTAGGACACACGAGGCACCTACAACTTCCAACTGGCAACACAAAACTGCTCCAAATAAATAATTACTTGTGCACAACAGCTTTTATTTTAAGTACTGTATTCTCAGCTTTTACAAACAGAGAAAAGCAATGTGTGATAAATGCTCTGCAGATGTTGCTGATTTATGGAAAATCTCCTGGTTAAAAGAAAAAAAAAAAAAGTGCTTCCAGCAGAATATTCCTAGAAGGGAACATGTCAGAGGTTTAGTTCATCACACAGGTCAAGCTAAACAGAACACACATCTCCTTCAGAGCATCATCCACACGAGCAGGGGGTTTCAAACTGCTCTGCTCCCACCACAGGCCCATCTGCAATGTGTTGCCAACCTCCATTTCACTGAGATCCAAACAAACAGCGGAAGAAATATTAGAGATAATCCACACTGAAAATTACCCAAGTTAAGTGAAAAACCAGTGAGATACAGGGAGAGGATGGCAGGAGCCTGTCAGCCCACACCAGTAACAGTGCCCAGTACAGCTGAAAGCTTTAAAGCAGCTTCAGGGACATCAAACCCTTTAGAACAAACATGGGATGAGCCAGGGGGCCAATCACAAGTTAATAAAAACAAGCCAAACCCTTTGCCAAAAGCATCCCAGCTGGAACACAGCAGTGAAATTAAAGCACAAGTGTTACACAAAGGCACAACTCAGTGTTTTAACCTCCTGACTGTGTTCTAAAACACCAGTGACATCTGAGCAAACCCAGACGAGTCCCACGGGAGATGAACCCGATTAAGATGCTCAAAAGCAGAAGTCCCACACAGTTCTCCCAAGTGAAAACTGTCTCTGTTCTCCTTCAGACTATCAGAAATATCTTAAAACATCTCACCTGTGTTTCAGGATCATCGGATCCCAAGCTTGCTGCTCCCAGTTTTACCACCTCAGCGAGCTGAGTGATGGTGTTGGCTGAGGACTGAGCTGCTTGGGCCAGTTTGTCCTGACTTGAGGCAGCACCAGAAACCAACAGTTTTGTGTCTTCAACTAAAGCTTTTGCTGTTTTCAGGATATTTTCCCTGTAGCAAAAAAAAAAGAGGAAGCAGGGAAGGAAGTGGAAAAGGAGAAGAGGAAAAAAAGGTGTTTTCCAATGTTATGGTGACTAACAGCTCCATAAAGGAGCTGATCTAAGCCATCATCATCATGCCAGTGTCTGCTCATAATATCCCACAGGTCAGGGTGGGACTTTGGAAAGCAAAAAAAAAAGGTGACTATTAAAACAGTAGCAGAACATTTTGGGCAGATGCAGGGCAGTTTATTAAAATGACCCCATCTTGAAAGGAAATTAGATAGGGCAGTAGCAGCAGAGAGCATTGGATTTGAACAGCAAAAGAAAATCTGGCCATGCTGTGGTAAAAGCACCAGCTGTTGAATGTCCACGTTAATCAGCATATTGTAAGGAAGCTAAAATAATAATAATTTACAAGGAAGGCAATAGCAAGAATGGCAACAGACACAGGGAAGGTGTCCTAGTCAGGGTTCCCTCCCCACTTCCCCTATATACATGTTGTGACCTGTCAGGACAACAAATCCAAAGCAACATCTGGATGAAACAAGAAATCATTTTCATTATGTGGTTCACAAACAAGTCAAATGAACTGAAACTGGGACCATGTTCATGTAAAGTGTCAGCCTGCAAATAAATTAGTGACACCTGAATGAAAACCCCTGACTTTGAGTCTGCAGAGCAGCAGCTCCTCAGACACCTCAGCATCTTCCCTCTTCCTTCAGCATCTGGGGAGGAAGGAAATAAATGCTGGCCATGCAATAGCTGTGTGGGCCAGCCAGGCTGTGCAGCAGGAAGGCAGTGCCTTGGCTGTGAAGCCTGGGCTTTACTGTAAAAGAAACAGTCAGATGCTGTAAATCTGCTAATGGGATGGCAAATACTGTGGGATTATTTTGTCCCAGGTGCTGCTTGAGAGGAACGCTGGGTTTATCTCTATGATAAAATGGAAAATGCGTGGCATGGCTGGGCTGTTTCCATCCCTGCTGTCCAAGCAGCATTAACCATGAGCATGATTTAGCAAGACAAACAGCCAGACAGTCGAGAACAGCTGTTGGAAAAAAATATAAAAGATTCCTCTTGGATGTCACGGACAGCTCATTTCCACTACTGGAATAACAATGCATGGCAGTCCATGCAATGACACCAGCAAAAATGCCAAAATAGTGCTATAGTTGCAGTCTTCTGTTGGAAGCTCTGTCACCAGATGTTCCTCAGCTTTTTAAAGTTCTTTCATCACAGAAGGCACCCAACTCCAGTTTGCTGTAGTCTGCTGATACCCCCATTTCCCTGTTTCTCCTCTCACTCATCCAGTTTCACTCCCATGAATCCAGACAGGTAAAAATTCATCCCTGTGTGCCAGCCTCTCCTGGCACAGTGCCAGTCCCAGTGTTCCCTGAGCACCTGCTCCTCCATCCCCTCAGTTCCACTGACCTGTGATCTGCGAAGGACTCGTTGTTCTCAGCATTGAGGGTGCCAGCAGTGGCAAACATGATGGTGGTGTCCAGGTCTGCGATGATCCCTGACACGGCACTGGCAGCAGTGATACAGGCTTGGGTGCCTTTGTTCCCTGCCTGGAGGGCAGACAGAACCAAGGACACCTGCAAACAACAGAAAGCAACAAGGCAGTCGTTGAAAGAAAGTGGGTGCTGTCAATCATTAGGAGTCTCTTCATCAGCTGTACCTTTACTCACAAGACACTGTCCACCCCTGCCTAAATCTGGGGTCATTGCTACTCCTGGGGCACAGCTGAGAGCACACCAGCACAGGCTGGGCCAACAGTGTTTGGTGAGGTCTGAAAGCAGCTGACACTCACTCTCAATGTTCATGGCCAACAAAACAGTCCAGCCCATCCAAGCCACCCAGGCCATCTGTTTGAAGGAGATGTTTCCAAGGAACAAGAAGTCCCAACAGGGTGAAAATGGAGCTCAAGGCAGCTACCTGGGCCCAGTCTTAAAAGGGGAGGATGTTGCTACATGAAACCACGTGTCATGGACCAATCTCATCTCAGTAATTGTGGCCAGGGGGTGTCCCAGAGGGCTTAAGTGCCATCTCATGTCTTGGGATTTAGTTTTGGACCGATCTCCCTCTCACATGAGGCAAGGCAGCAAGTGAGGGCTAATCATGTGCTAATCATGTGAACTGCACTGAGCACCTGAGAGAAAAGTAAGAACTCTGGGTAATTCAGACACTGCTGGGCTAGAACGTGAGGTTAAAAGACCCAGTTCCCCAAATGCCACTTGGCTGGTTCCCTCCCGTGGCAGCACACAGGGCTGTCCCACCTTCTCTGTGACAGCGCGAGCACACTCGATCAGCTCCCTCTTGGTGTAACTGTCCGTAGGGCAAATCTGCAGAGCTCCAGCTTTCTGCACAAGGAAGATGCAGCCGTGGCCAAGCTCCTGCACCCGAGTCCTGATCTGGAACCCGATCTAGATGGTAAAGGAGGTACAGGGAGAAAGGAGTCAAGGGCAAAGCAAATAAACAGGTGTCAGTGCTGGTACACTGTGTCAACAGAAAGGGAAACACGGTCGCTCTGGTGAATCTTTGGTCACCAGTATTTGCCCACCACTGCACACTCTGCAGATACCAGAAACAGAGGACAGATGGAATTCCAGCTATGCATGAACCCCACTGATGAAACAGGAGCACCAGGGAACCAGAGACAGGGAAGGAGAAGGGATAAGGTGTGCAGTGAGTCAGTGGGAGCTGTGTTTGTACAGTGTGGGAGCTGTATTCAAGGGGCATGTGATGGGTAAAAAATACACATTTTACTACAGTCTACACCAATTAAAATGGATCAAGAAGTGTGTGACTCTGGTTTTGAACCTCACACAGTCTGCAGAACCAGCCACGTCCATGCAGAGCACTGAAACATGGACAATCCTGCTGTTGCTGCTTGTGATTTATTAATAATCCTACATCATAAGATGAGTGGTCCCTGTTTAGAAACACAGGTTTAGTTTCAGTACCTGCATGTACTTAGGCACACAGGTGTGACTGGGGATTAATAAATGAGCAGGGATCACAGCCATTAGCATCACAAACAGAATTATTTCAATCTCAGGCAGAAAATAACGTGCACAAGTGGCAATTCAATGTAAGATCAAGGCAAGTGCAAGCCATTGCTTTTCATGTAGCTACTGAGCATCAAACACTCAGAGCATCAGCAGGATATGCAAGAACAAAGTTAAAAACTCTTAGAAGGTCTTTTATCCAAATAATCTGATACACCTGGAGAAGGTGAGACAACCTCTTATCCCATCTCAACACAGCCTGTCTGTGCTCCATAACCAGGGGCACAGAGAAAAGAGGGGCAAAAGGGTTGCTGTAGTTGGGCTCAGAGAATATGCAGCAACTGCCACAACAGGTTAATGAACTGAGGTGAACAGTCTGTTTTCCTCATTCAGCACGAGGCACATGAGACCCTTCTCACAGCCCACGTTCTGACTCTGAGGTACAGAACATGTCCTGTCAGCAAAAGAAACTTGTGCTCCTACCACCTGCCTGACTCTCACTTTCAGGACAGGAAGTTATCCTTGAAATCAGCTAGAGGCAAGATAAAAAAGCCTATGTAAATGTGTAACTTGTCAAAGCACGTGAGACCGAAGGAAAGCTGTATGGTAACAAATCAAGAGCTTTCTTTGCATTTGCAAGTTGCCTGTAAGCAAAAGCCCCAAGGAGGAGCCCCCAGTTCAGGAGGTTCTGTCCCAGCCTGTGGAATCGCCCACTGTTATCCCAAGCTGTTTCTTTCTGAAGCCGGACAGAGGTTTTGCCTGAGGGTTTCTGTTCTTTGAGTGGTAATTGTCACAACAAGGCCTGTTGCCTCTGCTGTACTGCCTGCAGTAACAGCACACCCACTGAACCCCACCACGCGCAGAGGATGAAGAGGCCCCAGAAGCGCAGACCTCCTCTGGTTCTGCCGTAGCCGCAGCCATCCGGCCCTGCAGAGCCAGATGCCCATAGTCATTGGTCATCTGCGAGGCCAGTCCTCCCAACTCCTCCGGGTTAGTAACCGACTTAGTCATCTGCAGAGAGAACACAGGCGAGAGAGAAACGACAGGCGTGAGAACAACCGGTTAACCCGCTCCGGATTAGAGGCACCTGGGGAAAACCCCGGCCCTGGAAGGGACCTGCCCTCCAGCCAGAGCTCCAAAAACACCCAAGCAAACATGCTTTATTAGAGTCACAGGAACCAGGCACTGGCTGAACACACGGGGCAGCGAAGAGCAGCAGTTAGAGCCAGTAATTCACTCCTGGGCACAGGGGGCCGGGTACGCAGTTATTTGGGCCGGGAAGGGGAGCGGGTTTTGTGTGTCACAGCCACCTGGTTTGGTCAAAGGTGACAAACCTCTGTCAGCCTCAGCTCTGATGGCTCAGGAGCACGGACATGGAAAATGTCTGAGGAGCAATGCAAAACACCCCTCAGGTGTGGGGACAGGATGGAGAAGAAACAGGCAGGACTACGCAGGACATCTCAGTACAGTGTCAGGATGTGTATCAGTATAAATGCTGTGTATCAGTATAAATGCTGTGTATCAGTATAAACACTGTGTATCAGTATAAACACTGTGTATCAGTATAAACACTGTGTATCAGTATAAATGTTATATAACAGTATAAATGCTGTGTATCAGTATAAATGCTTTATAACAGTATAAATACTTTTTATTAGTATAAAGTACCACCAGGAGCAGGTCAGTCTCTGCTCCCAGCAGTAGGGCAAGAGGACAACAGTCTTAGGCTGTGCCAGTGAAGGTTTAGGCTGGACATTAGGAAGAAGCTCTCCACAGAAAGGGTGATTAAACATTGGAATGGGCTGCCCAAGGAGATGGAGTCACCGTCCCTGGAGGTGTTTAAGGACAGACTGGATGTGGCACTGAGTGCCCTGGTCTGGGTGACAGGGTGGTGTTGGGTCAAGGTTGGACTCAATGATCTCAGAGGTCTTTTCCAACCTGGCTGATTCTGTGAAATAACAATCTCTCTTTAGAAAAAGCTACCATATAACAGAGATATTTCTTCTGTCTCAATTAATCTTAGTAAAAGCCACAGAGTTCCATTCTCAGGACAAAACCAGTTTTAGACAGATTTATATTGTCATAGATAGAGGAATCATCAACCTGTCTGGACTGCAAGAGCAATGGACTTCGTGACAAATCCTGCCTGTAACAAACATCCCTGTCAACTCTCCTGAGAACAAATGAGCAACCACACAACTGTGCAGAAGGCAAACACATGAACATTACTGTGAAACATGAGTCAAGAGCAGTCTCCATCCAACAGCTGTCCCTTTTTGCTTTTGTTCAAGCCAGTGGATCACAGAAAGGCAAGGAAAGGACAAGGTGAGATGCTGATCTGCATTCTCTCACTGAGTATTACAGGGCCCTGAAAACACTGATGTTATTGCCCAGTGTGAAAGGGTAACCTGAATTCATCAACCAACAAAAGGTGGTATTTCAGCCCAATTAAACAGGCTGATGAAAAAGCATGTAGGGGAAAAGTTTTCCCTTTATTTCTCCTCAAAAATGAGCCAGATAAGAAGGTTTTGTGCAGAAGAGCCACAACACAATCCAGCATTCCTCCCACAGAGGACCCCCTACAATCACACCACTAAGATGCAAGAGTTAAATTGACAAAATCATCGCTTCTTCCTCTACCCCTAAAGAGAAATTTATTGAAAATTTGATGATCAGGAGTGTCACAACAGTGCAAATAATTCCATATCCACACAGTTTGCCCCCTGTTGTAAGCTCATTTCTTACCATTTCCTGTGCTGTTACAGCAATGGCTTTGGAATATTTCACCACAGTGGTCTGATAATCAACAAAGGTTCCCTTGGGATCTGGAGGTGAACCTTCATCCAGCTGCAAGCAAGAGGGAAAACCACAGCATTAAAAAAAATCACAACCAGCAGCTTTAACACACAATAGCAAAATTGTATTATACATCCCATTTTATAATCCCCTCTCTCTCAAGACACACAAGTGACCAGGGTGCACAGAGCAGCTCAGCAAATACTTCAGCCCAGGTTATGAGCATGGAAGGCATGCAGAATGTACAGGGCAGAGTTTCTGAGCATGAGTCCACTTCTCCCCCAAAGTCAAACCACCTGCACTTCTCAGCTAACACAGAAGGGAAAGTGCAACAGTTACAAAGCAAAATGTTTGTGCCAGAAGATAAGGTAAGATTTCTTTGTGTGCTAAAGTCTTCATTTCTTAAGTCAGGATAGGAAAAGCCAATTATTTGGATTGAACTTATGTACATTTTGCAACTATACATCTTCAGCAGAATGCATTACAAAGCACAGCATGGCATTTAAAGCTGAAAGTAGCTTGTTCCAAGGTTCAATGCTGTTCATTTAAGAGACTGACATGAAAGCCAAGGAAAAAAGGAAGCAAAAATAAGAGGCCACTTGACCTAAGTTAAATGGCAGTATATAGCTGAACAGAAGTATTTTGTAGCAATTCTACTGACAGGTACTGTGCAGGTTGTAAACACAAGCCCCATGGTCCACATTAGTTTTATTTCACAACCTGCAAAAGTAAATAACCTTTAGGTTTCCTGTGACAGCGTGTCACGACTGACCACTGCCAAATGAATGAGCTCCTCCAGAGCCCTGCAGTGTGGATCAGCTGTCAAGCCCAGAGTGAAAGAGGGGTCAGAATTTCCATGCCCACCTTGCTCATTGCCTCTGCAATCGAGTCCACCATACCCCCGACCATGCCAACTTCACTTGCAGCTTCATTGAGGGTGACCATGATGTCATCCACAGCCTCCTTCATCAGCTGGGCAGCCTCAGTGATGGCATCGTGAGTGTGAGAGGCCTGAAGGGACAGAGTGAGCAAACAGCCAGTCAGAAACTGCTCCCTGTGCAAAACAACGTGGCAATCAAAGGTAAGAAATGAAAACAACAGCACTGCAAACAACACTTCAGGGCAGAGATGACAAGTAAAGCACTGCAGCAAAGCAGGCAGAACAACATTTGTTAACTCCTACAAGAAGCCATGGCACACAACACTTTAAGCCTCTTATATAAGGCCCTGCAGTCTTTTCAAATATCCTTTAAGGACTGTGGTTCTTTGTAAGAGCCAATCACACCTGAGTTATAAACTGTGATGTGCTGCTGCTCCTCCCATCTCTGGTGTGTTTGGTGATGGTCCCCATGCCATCAGGCCATGGACCAGGCAGGCCCTGGTTTTTAACCATTTGCTTTGTGTATTAGAGCCTGGGAAGCTGCTGTCACCCCCTGCCAGTGTCCCCGGAGAGGATGTGTGAGGCAGAGTGCAGCCCTGGCTTGGAGAGATGTTCCCACTCTGACAGGAGACATCAGGAGAGCCATCAGTGGCATTTCCACTGCAAGCATATCCCTTGACTGCACAGTTAGGTAGGTGCTGGTTTCCCTGCCACACCTGCCTTCCCCTCTCGCCCTGAACTCCACACAAGCACCTTACCTTGGGGTTTCCTCCCCCTTCCTTGGCAGCATACAGCATCTGTAAGGCAGATTCTGCGAGTGTCTTGCTCTGGTCCAACACAGTCATCTGCTGCTGATGGTTTAGTGTCTTGGATGCCACACCAACTGCAGCTAAAACCAGGGGTTCAAAGTAACTTGCCAGCTGTGTCACCTAAGAAAGCCAGAACAACCACAGGAGGACATGAACCCCATTTCTCAGACCCCACAGCAAGCACTTGGTGTTTTCCCCTCAGTAAACAGCATTCAGCAGGAAAAGCTGGCTCAAAGAAAGTGCCACCAGCTTAGGTCAACATTCACCTCACAAGCAGGAAGAGCAATGTGACTCCCTGACCACCCACATCTTAGCAATCCCAATTTGTTGCACACCTCAAAGGTGTGCAAACCAAGGATCAAAGCTGCCAGCAGTTGAGACATTATGAAAAATTCGGTGATTTTCCAAAGCTAAACAGTCACGTACAACTCTGGAGGAGCTCTCTCACTAACAGAGCAATTCCTTTCCAGTATTAAATACACTGACACAGAAAACTTGTATTTCATTTTCTCTCAGGAATATATCATGATTTTTTGGACAGACATCTGATAAGCATGAGTTCAACCATACTTACTCTCCATTCAACAGAGGGGCACATTTACACAAAGCCCCTCATCAAAAAACCTCCATGAAAATATCTTTCCTCTGGCCCCAGACGTAAACAGGTTTATTTGGTCTCTGCTCTGAGTGCTTGAAAATTCCAGATCTCCCCTCCTTACACCTGCTTCCCTCTGCTCTCCCATGGGCAGAGGAACTGCTGACATGAGGGTATTCCCTGCCATCCAGCTCAGAGATGTCCAGTGCCTCTGTACCTTGTGCCCCAGCTGAGCCGCCTCTCCCCGGGCTGCCGTGGCTATGGGATCGATGAGGTGCCCGATTTCCTGCACCACTGATGTCAGCTGCTCCTGCAGGGCCTAACAGAGAGAGAAAGGGTCAGTGGCTCCCACAGCTGGTCCCTTCTCAGGCTGCACCACACTGTGACAACCACCCTCGATCAGCCGACGCTGTGCATGACCCGCTCTGGTGGGAAGCAGAAATCCACACTGCCAGCTTTCTTTGGGTACTTGCTGCTTTCTCCTTTACCCTCTTTCAGATGGGCCTGCTCCTCTTTAGGTTTACATGACAGGTGTGGGAAGGTGGCTCCTTCCCACTCCAGCACATCTGGGGTCGGGTGTCCTCTCTCCCATGACGTGACCAACGTCCTCCCAGTCTCCCAAACCACTCATGCCCTGACAAAGCTCTAGCACTGCTGTTCCAACCAGCAAAGTCTGCTGCAGACTTTGAGGCTCACTGACTAAGGAAAGCCAGAGGAAATTGTGCCATCTCTGAGGGACAGAGATGAGCACTGAGCTCCTGAGTACTGCCTGAGGGACAGGAGCAAAGGAAAAGCGTATTAATGGCCTGGTTGAGACACAAATACTGGCTTTTAATCCAGAGGCACTTGATGTCTCAGCAGCCACCAGGATTTAGCTCACTCTCGAAAGGCAAGAGAAAATAAATACCATTTTGCCCTTTGTAATATTCCACTACTGCTTTATAAATAAATGCCATTTTTGGTAACGTTTATTTCAGTTCCACGTGCTGTCCAAGATAACTTCCCCACTTCAATAAAAAAGAATTCCAACATATTTCCTGCAATAGCCTCTGCTGCTCAGCTTCATTTGGCCTCACATGTTTCTCGTGCACAGCATTACAGCCCCAAGAAACCACTTGAATAAACATGTGATTTCAGGAAGCAACAATATGAAAAGACCAAGCTGAGAATCTCAACTCGAACTGCTGGAGGAGGAGGAGGGAAAGAGGGCAGAGAAGGGGGCGGGGGAGAGAAGCTTTCTTTATGGGAACATATCAATATCAACTTCAAAGTTTGCTTTTTTGAGGACAAAATAGGCATTAAGGAAGAGGACATCAACAACTGCACCACTGGACTTCTAGTAACAGATTGAATTTCAGGAACATCCTGGCTTCCAAATGGCACAGCACCACAGGAGCTCACATTCTGTCACGTCAGCACAGGAAATCAGAGTAACACGTGGGTAGCACTACAAAATAACTGCTTTCACCTCTCCTTTTGCCTGGTGATTCCAGCATCTTTCCAGAATCTGAGCACTGGGGGCAGTGGTGGTTTTGCCTACAAAGGTTCCAGTAAGGACACTCCTCCCGTCAGTGGCAGCAGATTGTGCTGAGTGCTCCACATCTCCCAGTGCAGAGAAGAGCAGCAGGGTGAGGGAGGCTGCCCAGCACTGCTGTGCCTGTGCCCTGTCCCTCACCTCCACGGAGATGTCATCCCTGGTGGCCAGGCTCTGGCTGACAGCGGCCAGGGACGCCTGCTCGATGTCCCTGATGCACCTGTTGATGCCGTCGATGGAGAAGTCACATTCTCGCTGCCCTGGGGCCTTGTCCCTGCAAGACACAGACACAGCTGAGCCTGGGGAAGGAGGCAGCTCCCTCATGGATCACACAGGGGTGCTGAGTTACCTGACAGTGCATAAAACACGTGGCAGGAGAGCAGGGAGGACCAAAGTCAGCTTTGTTCTACCTACAGCACTTGGGTACCTGTGCAGAGTGCACTGTCACACACACCGACCCCACGCCTTTCTTAGTGGTTACACAGAAAAAAAGGGTTGTCTCAGAAGAAAAGTTGAAATTCAATCTCCTCAGGGCGGCCAGACTGGCCCAATAATAAAGGTTACAATGAAAATGGAACAGACTCCAGGAAAAAAACATTGACATTTGGGTACAGTGAGATCAACTGCCTCAGAAAACAATTCCTCAGGTGTTACATTCAGTCCAGCTGTCTTTGACCAAAGAATATTTCTGAGGACTTTGCCCTGACATGCAGTTTGCTATTTCAGTACGATCATTATCAAGGATCAACAAAACTGTGAACACTGCTCGCTTCACTGTTTTCATGCCATCAACATAAAGAGGTTAAATATAAAGCTATGCTTTAAAATTTTCCTTAAAAAAGGGACAGAGAGGTTCAGTCCAAAGATAAAGAATATTCACTTCTTGCTGCAGCATTCTTGCAACTACACAGAGAACACTATAGCAAAGAACAGACAGCAAAGGTGTCTGAAAAATACACTGTCTGACCTTAAAAAAAAAAGAAAGAGCTGTTTCCCAGGTATTACACATTGGTACATGACCTGCATGGAGGTAATATTAGCTGCAATTTTCCTGTTGTACAGCATTCTCTATTTCATTTACCTTGGGAGAACAGAACCCAAAGCTAGAACAGCCCCAGTCATCAGTTCTGATTGAACACCAGTGTAAATAGGGAGATGTTGTGCATCAGAGTCACTTCCACCCGTGACAAATAACACACTGCCAATGGCCATGTGGGATTTCCTTGCTGAGCAGCTGCTCAGCTGTTGGCTCCTCCCCAGGTCCTACCTGATGGAGGTGATGAGGCTCTTGATGGAGTCTGAGACCGTGTGGGAGTGCCCGGCCAGCACTGACCAGGTGGGAGGGTCCTTGGGGTTGATGGCCAAGGAACGGGCAGTTTTGATCAGCAGCGAGGAGCTCTCCAGCATCGTCTTGGCAGAGACCAGGATGGGCTCCTGGGCTCGTGACCCCTGTGGGCAGAAAGGGGGTGAGCAGAGAGAACAATTAACTGATTATCTGAGCTTGTCCACGCTTCCTGCTCCTAGAAGTCTGTTTAATTATCAGCATGAAAATGGCATTATAATTTCCTCTGTGGTACTATTCAGAGAGTCAACCCAGAAATAGAAATTAAAAAATCACAGTCCAACAGCTTCCTCTAAAACATGCTTAAGAAGCACATTTGGAAAGACACCTTCCAGCTGAGAAACAGGAGAAAACAATGACACTTGTGTAATCACAGACTACAGACATGCCATTGAAAATACACTTTATTTGTCACAGAGCCTGTAATCTTTCCCAGGTGTGTTCTTTTCCCAGGAATTAGTTGGTTGGACTACTAACTCTGAGTGCTGGCTGATGACTAACGGGGTCATCACCTCTGCATCCATTTTATTGCTGGTACTGGTGGTAAACTGGGGTCCCACAGACCTGGAGGACACACCTACATTTCAATCACAGCCCCAGAGCTCTCAGGCTGCAGCAGTTACTGCATCACCTGACACTGCCACTGGGAACAGAGCCTGACAAAAGCAGGGAGCAGCACTTGCACAGTCAGTAACAATACATGACCTCTGGCTTTTATGAAGCTTGAAGGATTGATTTTTTTCATCTCTTTTCCTCACAGAAAAAAACCTCAAAACCAACAAATCCTTTATTAGCCTCTTCAGATTCACTCTGCCATAGCTACAGGGTTTGAGGATGGAGAAATTGTGAGTGAAAGAGAAAAGAAACCAGCGATGTCCCTTCAATCCTTTTCAGAACCAATGAGGTTTCATTTGTTTAAAGCTGCTATTGAGGGGAAAAAGGATAATTCATTACTTCAATTTATTACTTTATCACATGGAAGAATCCAGCTACCAAGCCATGCAAGTCACCTCTCTCCCAACATTTATTGAACATTTTCAGCTTTTGGAGGGTGGAAGTGCAGCACCTGCCTTACCTCAGTGCTGATCTGTGCTGGGATGCTGACAAACTCTGGATTGGAGGCAAATGCTGTCAGGTTTTCCACAGCCTCTATCAAAGGGGCAGTGGCAATTCTGCACTTGTTACGGTTCTCTTCAGAGAAATCTCCGTCCAGGGCCTGCAAAGGAAACCAGGACTGAATTCTGTCTGAAAGGGCTTCTTAGCAGAACTGAACTTGGTTTAATTCTTCCTAGTGTTAAACTGCTGGGTGTTTATATTTGAAAGCTCCTCCACAAACAGGGCTGATGTAAAGAATGTCATCTTTTAGGTGTGTGTTTCTTTTCTTAGCTGGTTATCGACCCTAAACTTTAAATGCTGCTTTGCTTCACGAGACTGAGTAAAGGTCTTTCTGTCATTGCACTGCCATCACTCTCCCAAGCTGTGTCTCAGCACCTCATGCTCCAAAGGGTGGAAGGGCTAAATGTCCACCTTTTTGTGGTTTGTGAAGGTGGTTGTTTCCTACAGACCTATTTTTTAATTTTTCACTGTTTTTGTGGTTTTTTTAAGCAAACCAGTAATTTACTGCTCCCTTTTCCACACAAGTCACCCAATCTCTTTCACAATCTCATAGCAAACATTTCAGCTAATGAAATCAGATTAGATCTGTCAATGGCTTCCAGAAGGGTTTAGAATCTCAAGTCCTCTATGGCTTCACAAGTATTATTTCTGCTTCCATGATGAAAAACTACCTCCTGCCAAACTGCTGGCAGGTATCTGGAAAATGAAAGATTACTATTAACAGGAGACTATTAGCAACATAAATGGCTTCTGTTTGGTTCTCAGTATTAATTCTTTTTTTTTTTTTCTCTTATATTTATGGTAATCTCCAGATATTAAGCAACTTAACACCATTAAAATCCTTCCCATTCAGTTATTTCTAGACTATTCTTATGGTGCAAGCTCATTAAATACATCAGTGCTGAGGGGTTTCATGCTGGGTAGGCCAGCTGCCTCTCCTAATATTAGCATTAATATTAATATTGCCCAATTTTTCCATCTTGACTTTAGCAGTTTAGCACTGACCGTGTTTTCCAGTTCAGGTCTTCAAAACTGTAATTAGTGATTTTTTAAACCACGCACATCCAAGAAGGTAAGAAGGGATTTCTCTCTGCTCTCATTCTGCCTCAACAGAAATTAAAAAAACCCCAACCCCTAAAAGCCCTGAGGAAGAAAGAAGCACAGTGAAAAAAAAACCAACCTTGATGGTCTTGACCAGGTTGGCAGTGCTGTTGGCCACCTCCTTGGCAGACTGCACGAAGTGCCTCTTGGCCACGGGGTTGGCGGTTTTGGAGGAGGCGATGCGGCACGCGTTGCACAGCGCTGATGTGTGCTTGGCCACGATGGTGGCAGCTGACAACACCTGCAGCACAGACAGCACACAACAGGCACAGCGTCAAAGGGCTGGCACAGCTGCCACGCTCCAGCTCTGCAACACTTCCAAACCGAGACCCCCCTGCTCGCACAAAGAAAGCAAAGTCAGGGGTCCTGACAACGGTGGTCTCGCTGCCATCCTCTGGAGTCACCTGTGATGGGCTGCTTGCTGGATCCACCAAATTCTGGCAAGCCATCTGGATTGCTTGGTTGGCTCTGGCGAATTGGATTGGGTCAACAAGACCCTGCTGACCAGCCTGACTGTTTGGATCCGAGATACCAACCAGGTAAGCGGCCTAGGAATGGAGAGAAGGAGAAAACAATCCTAAGGAATTACGCTAAATCTGTCTTGGATTTTTGATGAGCTTGATATGTGTCAAAGCACACGGTGGTCAGAGGTTATTCAGAAATCATACTGTGAAGTACAACTGCCATTTCTTTTTAGCAATAAATCCACTGAAACCAAGAAAACTTACTCTTACCCTTGACAAATTCATTTAGGCAAAACAAAACAGTCCATTGTTTAGACAGCTGGTGTCCCTGGAAACATTCCTTTCCACTGGCATAGCCAATGCAGAGAGCCTTAATGGTCACAGCTACGGGCAAATGATTTATTGCATTAGCCAGAACTGGAGGTGCTGAGGGCTTTTGTCAGACCATACCTGCAGATTTCTTGTATCCATTACAGATACAATTACCTGTCACCTCATTATGGCAATGCAGGGTCAGATGTGGAGGAGATCAGGTCCACTCTGAGACATGACATATGTGGGGAAATCAAGAAGAGGTTTTCAGATGCAGAGCACGATCCCCCCCAGCCAAACCCTTCACTGGGGAGGTTGTACCAGCTCTCCACAGTTCAGTTATCAGATCAGTGACATCACAACAACCAGACCCTCATTTGTTGCAGCAGCTGAAGAATTTTGGTTATTCCTTCTGCAGAGTGCAGCAGAGTGTGCACAGTTCCTGGGGATCTACACAAGCACACCAGGTAGCACAAGGTCATCATTTACTGACCACATGGAAGCGAATCTCAGATTTACAAACTCACAACAAGAGCTTGCTAAGAAACCAAAAACCCTACTTGCTTTACAGACCTCAGTAGCTTACCTGAGCTGCTGCCTCTGTGAGGCCACAAAGAGCCTTGGAGGCGACTCCAACACATTCTCCAAAGACCAAAAGATCCCCAGTTTTTGCGTTCTGGGAAATGCCCGCCATTGACTCTCCGAGAACCTCGGAAACGAGAAACAAAGATGATTCTCCAAGGACTTCAGGAACTAAAAAACAAAGTTATCTCCCAAATTTCCCTCCCTGTCACTCAAAGAAAAGAGAGCCAATTCTGGCCCCCAAACCTCTTGGACTTGGCTTCCTGAATTTTGAGCCAGTGAAAGACTTCCCTGAACATGAGCACTATTACAGCTCAAATAGTGAGGAGGACACAGGATTAAGCCTCGTTGTTTTTGTTGTCATCCTCCAGTCATCCCAGCCAGCCTGGCATTTCACAGACTGCAGAACACAACAGCCAGTCCTGCAGATGCTGTCAGCACGTCCAGCATCATCTCTGTCCCTAAATTCAGAACCTCAGTGTAAATGAAAGTGCACCTGGACTGCTGGCACCATCTGACTGTCAGAACACACATTAATTCCCTCAGTGTGTCCCACTGAATTCAGTTCACTTTGTTCTAAAATTCCAAAGGAGGTCTGACTGCAGAGCATTAGATGGAAGATGACATGCACACCCATCAGGCACTTCCTTTTTTCTTTTAGAGAAGGAAGGATCTGAGACAATTTCAGCACATCAAATTAAAAGGACACCAAAAGCAGGCTTCAAAGAAAGATGTAAAGCACAGGAAAATTAAAAATAACTTCAGAGATTTCACACAGATTTTGGGTGTGTGGAGTGTCTGGGCTGCTCAGATATTTCCCTGAGCTGTTGTGCACAGAGTGACACAGTTGTGTTTCATTGCCAAGCCTCCCATTCATGCCTTGGGCCATTCTTACACAGGTGCAGTCAAAATACATCACCAAAGTATGATGTGCTTGTCTAATGCACAGGAGAGGCAGGGAGAAAGGACAAACTGGAACAGCACTGCACAACAGTCACTTAATTAAAATTGTCTTACCAAGTGACAAGCCTTCTAAGTGACCAGAAACTGAAATTACCCAGTCAGACACCTATCTCAGGCTGAGGTTCATCAAGGAATGCAGCACACAGCCTATAAGTACCGACTGCATCTCCAGCATATTTGTCATGCTCTTGGAAACTTGTGAAAATTCCAACAGGCTTTGCAATTGGCACAGAGGTGGGAAAGAAGAAATTACCTTTGAGTTTTCCATGACGCCCTCAATACAATCAAAATAGGAGAGATCACTCACAGGCTCGTTGGGATTGTCCAGCATCCCCTTAACTGTCTGAAATAGCAAAAACACCTCTGATTACTGACAGAGCCTGGAATACTGAGCTGGGAAGAACACCTTAGTGCACATGGATGTGCTGGTACTACAGGCTCCTGTGGTTTGCACCTCCTGTTTGTGAGGAGTTAATTATGGTCAGCCAGAGGGGCTCAACTGGCACAAGGCAATCTGCTTTTCTGTCAGTTGTCACCAGTCTAATGCATGTTCTATTTGAAATTCCATAAATGGAATTAAAATATGGGTAGGGAAAACAGGTACCATTTGTTGAGCACTGTGCAGAAACACAAAGGGCTACCAAACTAAGTGCACATCCCCCAAAGTGGCTCCTCCCTCTGTCAGAAAACTCCATTGGTTAGCTGGGTTTAATTCCTTTTTCTGAGGTGACTCTGAGTCCTGGAAATAACAATGTGACATCAGTCACACATTCACTGAGAAGAATGAAAGCAATTAGGTAACAAGTTTGTAAAAAGCTGAAAAAAAATGCAGGAGACCAATTCTTTTATTCATAAAAATACCTGCAGTAAGCCTTTTTTTTTTTCGAGTTTGGGGGAACACTGTTTTTCTGCCAAATATCAGGCAGAAAAGACTTTTAATCTTGCCAGTAAAAGTAAAATCAGTCAAGTATAGATCCTAACAGCTGTATCTGGCATTTGCTTTCCACCTAAAGGAAATCAAGGCATGATTTTAAACACTTGGACTTTTCTTCTAACACATCAAGACACACCTGCAGTATTTTTAACAGCTCAGTTGTTGCTTTTTTTTGCCAAAACTACAAGATGCTCACCCAGGTTCTACTCTCACCTCCTATGCCATTAAAGCCCTGCCACAGACAGCGAGGGAAAAGCAGTGACAGCAGCTGATCAGACAAAGGACACAAAGGCAGCAAACCCTTGGGGTTCACTTTTATTCACAGGAGTTTTTGAAATACAGCAATACCTCCAGTTCTCTGAGGGCATTGTCACATTCCTTCTGGCCAGGAGCTTGCTGGGTGCACAGAGTGATGAGCTGGTTTATGCTCTCAGTCACAGCTCTGGGGAGAGTAGAAGGAAAAAAAGGTGTATTTGAAAGTTAAACTGTTCCTCTTAGCAATTCAATAGGACTGCAGGTCCCTGACTCAGTTCACTGTCCATAGCAGAAGAATATTTAAGCACAATATAAATACCACAGAGAAAAGCAAATACCTCAGGAAAAGCTCAAGAAAGCAACACATCCTTACCTTGCTGCTGCTGCCAGGAGGTTCTTGGCATTAGGAGCTCCAGGATCCACAGAGAGGGACTTGGCAGCCAGTAAGAGCTTGCTGGAAGCCATCGAGATGCTCTTGAGGTTACCTATGACTTGGATCTGGTCCTCTTTAGTCTGGAAAGCCACAGCAGCAGAACATTAAGTGCAGAAACTGCAGCAATGTGTTAAAACCACCTTTGGAAAGGCAGTTTGTTGATCCACCTGAAAGCACTGCCACCCGTGAGCCCACGGGGCAGAGAAGGGGAGGGACCAAAGCCCCTGTTCACCCCAACAGGTGCCTCCAGCTTCACTCACACCCCAGAGAAACAAACCCACACAGCAAAGAGCCTGCTTTCTAACAATGCCTGCATTCAAAACAAGCAGTGGAGAAACTTTACTACTTGTTGGACAATGCTTTTGTTGTGGAGACTCTCGTGTGTCTCTGCCTGGCACAACTGCTGCCCATTATGCAGCCAGTGTACACTCTGTGTTCCAGCATCCTCTGTGTCCCCACAGGCTCTCCAGCACTCACTGGGATTACTCCCAAAAATATCCCTCCACAAAGTGCTCTATCCCAAGAAAACAAGTTCCTATAAGCCCACTTTGCCAACATTCTGACCTGGATGTTCTCTTACTTATTTTGAGCCATTGCTTGAAAAGGGAAACCTGCATACAAATATGCAGAGAAGTACTGCACTTGCACAGCAAACAGCTGTGATTAGATTCTTCTGTCAGCAGTCACTAGCAGTGAATCCATTCTTTCTAAAAGTCTGTTCAGGGTTTTATGTAAAGATGTTGCACATTACTCAGTTAATGTGAATAGTTTTTATTTTATATTTACTACATTCTGCTTCCTCCCTACCCCCACATTTTGCTAGGCATCCAAAATACTGGCATGGCATCTGTCCAGGCCAAATAACTAGACAGGCAGAGGGCATTCTCTTTTGAGACATCACCCATTAACAACTAAGATGGTTATCATCCTCTATGGTAGCAGGATAAGCAAATTCCTGAGGGCCACAGGGCCACCAGCAGTTGGAATTCTCATTTCCAGCAGCCATTTACAGTCTCATTTCTACCTTTGCCACCACTGAATTGCCTCAAACAAAACATTGTAACAGTCAGTGAGGTCCACAGCTCAAGGGCCAGCCAGGTACCCAACTCCTGCTCAGTCTCAGAGCTCCAGCTGGATTGGGATCTTAACTCACTTAACAGAGCTGGAACCCAAATGATTAAGTTCTGATGGATAATAGCCAGCAGTCATTGACTGACCTCTCTACTCAGCTCTATCTACAAAGTATCTGCTCTCGAGACACTTCATAAATGACTTCAAGGGACTGACACACTCAAGACCTTCTGGCCAGTTCTCCTTTGACAATCATTTCCCAAGTTTGCAAGGTCCTTCTACTAACTAGGGCAAAACTAGTTAGTAGTCTCTAACTGAGAGAGACTAAATCTCTCCTGATATGGGATCCTTTTTTGTTTGCTGACATTTGTTGTTCTAAACCATTGTCAAATGACCAGTTAGGGTAATTCAGCACAACTGTACCCAGTTAGACAAAATGAGGCACCCAGACTATCAGCAACAATCTGGGCAACATGGGACAACACTCCTGACTGTGATAGAGCTCATCAAAATAGAACTCTGCCAGATTTTAAATCACTGAACACAAGTCCAGGTGCCTGCTGTCAGACTCATGGCCCTCTTCAAATGTTTGCTCCACTCTGCAGCAGGTCCACAGCACCACAGAGGGATAGCAACATAGTTTTCCTCCCTCTACCTAAGCATTTCCAAAGTAGCCAAGTAAGGTGACAGATTTTGAACTGTGTTCACATAAATTATGTTCCAGAATAGAAGCAACCCTTTCCATAAGCTTGGAGAGGTTCAGCACACCTTTGTACCTTCAGATAGTGCAGCTCAAATTGGTTACCTGCCCAAACCAGACAGGAGTACAAAGTCGTTATTTCTGACTGGACACAGGGACAAATACCAATATCCTGGGGAAAATACAAATGCTGAGGTCACTTCCCTCCAGATAACCAGGCAAGGATGGCTGCTTGCTAACAAACATCTCCTGTCCTATGTGGGTAGGCTCAACCAGCACGCTGTGCTGCTACATGACCAATAAACACACTGCACTGCAAGGGGCTATGGCCAAGATAACCCTTGGGCTCAAGTAGCACAGTCAAGAACTTACTTGTGCTTGGCCAGCCATCTCAATACCAGCATCAAGAAATTCATCAAAATCATCGCTGAATTTCCCCGAGGCTGCAGCCAGCTCCCCACTTTGGCCCCGTGTGGCGTGGACAACTTCTCCTGCTGACTGGTTGAGGTCTGCTGCTGCCTGGTTCAGTTCACTCTGAGCTTCCTGAAATGACTTGGAACTCGGAGGTAGCTGGAAGAGACCACGTGGTGCATTTTAGTGCCTGTCATGTCCTCAGGACTGTCAAGTTCAAGGCAGTTTGAGAACCCAAAATGCAGCAGAGAAGGGAGCTTCACACGCAGGCTGGAGCTGAACCCTGCAACAGCTCTGGGTGGGACAGCTGTCAGCCAGAAATCTGTCCAACAGCTGGAGTCCTGGTGTGCCTCTCAAGGGACAGACAAGTCTGTAAGATTTTCTAGGGACAGAGACAACAATGGCTATGTTATAGTTCAACTGGGAAACTCAAAGTGATGAGCTCAGTGGCTAAAGTTGGAGGATTCTGGTCTCCAAGTCGTCATTCACTTCCATAAACAAGATTTTCACAATACCTCACAAGTATTGGCAGCTCTTCAGAATGACTCTGAACCTTCTTTAGTAAAGCAGGTTTGGGTAAAAAACCCCTGGTTTTACCAAAAGGCATTGTACAAATATATCAAAATACAATTCCTCCTCCGTTCACAGGATAGCAAGGTCATATCACCTTCTGGCAAATTACCACTGCAAAAAGGGTTTTTTGACACAGATGCAGTTAAACACAAGTATAACAATTCTAGTCTTGCACCTTTTTGATAGGTCACAATGCTCCTTCAACTGAACTGATCACTTCTATGTGGGTGAGGGACTATAATTTTCTACTTTTCATATTCTTCAAAATGTTAAGTCATAGTTGGCATTTTCAAAAAAAAACCCCTGGTACCAAACTATGACAACAATGTCAATATTGCCTTCACAAGTCACTCACTTCACCTTTCCCATAAAACCAGAGCAGCATTTCAGTCAAAGCAGCAGCTGTTTAGAGGTGCATAAACCAAAACAGAGCTTTCATGAAGAATACTTAAAGCACATTTACTAAATAATGATTTGACACACGAGGAACCCAGATCTGCTCTTGAGTTCTCTGAAATGCATTTCCATCTCACCGAATCAACAAGGAGCTTCTTGCTGGACTCCCCGATACTCTTCAAGGCCACATCCACATCCTTCTGTCCAGGCAGGCAGTTCACACAGTTATTCAAGGAGTGAGACACTGCTTTTGCCACCTACAACACACAGGTAAACACATTCACACTGAAGAGGTCACTGATAGGAGGCACAGCCTCTATTCCACAGCCAGCAATTCCTACATTGACTCCTACAAGGCCATTTTTGGGGTTTGTGATTTCCCTGGTTTGCTGACCTGCAGTCCTGCAGCACTTGTTACTGATGTTCCCCCATTAGACAGGATAATGTTGGCAGGGCAGCTCCTCAGCTGGCATCTGGGATAAAGGCAGATGAGGGAATGCCCCTGCAGTTGCCCACTGGGAACTGCTAATCACAGAAATTCTTAGGATGCTACTTTGTAAAAAGTCCCAATTAAACCAGAAGTCTCTTCATAAGAAATTGTTTACAGTGCAGGTCTATTATAGTACTCTTCAAATCAATAAAAAACCAACCTGGCACTCCCTAATGCCTTCAAAAGGAGTGGTGCCACATGTGCAGGAAACATGAACTGGCTTTGTGAATGTAACATGAATACAGATCTTTTATTTGATAATGATCAGTTTAATGGCTGTTTCATTTTTGCAGTCAAGCAGTCTACCCACATGTGTTGTGAGTAAAAGCATTTAGCTGCATCTTGGTGTATTTTTCTAAAAGATGACTAAAGCACCACACTTCAGACCATCTGCATTGTTTAACATACACATGATGTAACTGTCTGAGAGCTGAATGCTCCTCTCCCTCATTTAATTTCACCGGGTGCCAATTCCCGGAGCTGCTCGAGTTGGAGCTTACCTGGGCTAATCTCTGCTGACTGTCTGCATCCCCTGGGGCAGCCAGGGCCTGCTTGGCCTCCTGGATCAGCATGGCAGAGCCTTCCATCACATCCCTTGCTGAATCCAGCATGGCATGTGCTGCCACGGGGTCACTGGTCGATGCTGCAACCCCTCGTGCTGCCTGAGCCAAAGTCTTCAAAGCCTGAGCGGTTTCTCTGGCAGCAACTCCTGTGTGGAGATTTCACCAAGGATTCCATCAGCACCCTTGAGGACAATCCTTGTTATTTTATGACAGGAATTTGCAGGCAACGATCCCATTTGTAAAATAACCTCGCAAATGCAATTTGAAAGGAAAGCTGCCAAGGTGAACACATTGGAAATACCCAGCAGCATCTGCTTAGAGAAATGCCTGCAGTGAAGCCATAAAACAAATATCAAAGACCAAAGACCACGTTCTGGGCACAGCTCCATACCAGTGACTAAATCTTAGCAAAGCACTGAAAAAGAAGAAAACCTAAAACATGTGAGGTGAGGAAAAACTCCCACTCCAAGCTGTGGGGGAGAGCGATTGTCTGCAAGAGTGGTGCACGTGAGTTCAGAGCCACAGCATCCCTGCCCCTCTGAAAACCCAGCTTTGGATTTTTTTAGAGAATAAACACAACAATAGTTGAAGTTCAAGCAGCTAAAAAAGAGATTATTTGCAATGGTACAACTTGATATAACCTGACACCACTGTGAATACAAGCATATAAAAACAACTGAATGAAGTCCCAGAAAGGATGCCATGAAATTAGTTTCTGTGGTGTGTCAGGCCAACATTAAAGGTCACCCATCAACTCTAGCACTAAAAATGGTCTCATTCTTCTATTCTTGAAATTTTTGAAAAGGAACTCATTGCTTTGTAGTGTTTCCTACAACTTGATGCTAAGAGAGCTACTAAATTCAACTATTCATTATCAGCTGTACTGATTTATCTGAACTCCTCTGCCAGATACCCTGTGCTAACTTCTACATAACTGTGTGACAGAATCCTGAGCCATCTCAGTGCAATTACATCTGCTTCAGATGGAAGGAACTAGAAGTTATGGAGCCCTGATGTAATTATATCCAATGAAGTGGTAATTGCCACAATGCATTTAAGCAGTAAGATTAGCCAAAAAAGAAAATTTTACAGTAGCACTTGTATCAACAGCTTCCACTTCTTACAGATATGAGAAAAAAGAACATTTCAATATTGAAGAGCAAACTTTTGTCCCTCCTGCAGGAGTGTTTTCCTTATGAAGTGCTTTTGGTTTCTGAAAGGGACAGGTACAAACCCAAACTGCAGGATCCCTGTGCCCACATTCCCTGTGGGCTTTACCTCACTCTGTGCCAATGTGACCCATGAATCAGCCACGTTGGACATGGAAACTGGGAACATCCCCTAAGAGCTGCAGCTCTGAAATCACCGAGCTCTCCCCACGGGGTTCACATCCTGGTGCTTCCAAAGGACCCTTGAAACCTTCTGAAAGGACAGAGCAACGTTTCCAGTGGCACTGACCTTTACACTGCAACGCATTTGAGCTCTGCCCTTCACACAGTGTCAGTGGCACACATTTACCAAAACAACAGATGTCCCAGTCCGTGCTGAGCAGAGAACAGAGCAGATTGCACCACTGCTCTTTTACAAAGCACATGAATCACACCAGCAATTCTTAGTAACTCACCACAATTCACTACCAGCACTAAAAAAAAAAAATAATGGAGTAATTCCTAGATTTAAGCAGCCTGTGATAAGAAAACCTTTCATCAAGTATTTACTGGAAAGCAGAGGTTTCACAGAGATATTGTGAATAAAACACTACCTGTGTAGTGCTCGTTGCCCTGAGCAGCACAAGTTAACAACTGGGCCATTGAAGATCCAACTGCTTTGGATGTGCTTCCCAAGTCCTGAGTGCATTTCTCAAGCTGCGAAAAATTGCAAAGGACAAAATTCTTTCAGTTTAAGCTCAACACACTTGTTTTTAAAATAGTACTAAAAAATTCCTCATTCCCCAAAAACCCCAACTTTTACCTCAGCTACTGAACACAGACACAGTTTCTCTGAAAGCCAATTAGCATGTGTTCCCTGTCCAGGATAAAATAAGTTACCACATAAGATAATATGAATAACAAAGCTATTTTTTAATTAGCAATGGAAATAAATACCTTCATCTGAGGAGAAGGTTGTTGTGGTTTTTTGTGGTTTTGGTTTTTTTTGGTTTTTTTTCCCAAATAAACCATTTCACTTCCTAAGCCTACCAGGACTGGCTGTCTTAGAACTACTGAGTTCTCATCTTTGTCACTATTGAAAAGAATTCTTTTTGACAAGACTGAAACATTACTGCTACTAAATTGTAATTTGTACAATAGAGAAGGAGGTCCTACAGTCCTACGAGTAATTCTACTACAGATCACGCAGCTGGAGTAGCAGTAACATATCCTCATTTTAAAGAGAATTGGTGCAAAATCCTATCAGCATCATCACTATCCAAAGCCTCACGACTTGCTTTGACTCTGATATTTAAATTTTTAACAGCTAACTTTGTTGGTTTGTTTTTAAATGAAGAACATCCGTCCTCAATTACAGTTTCTCCGGGGAGGGGTTTTAACTGTCCTTCCACAGCCGCCATCTTCGCGTCCTGCAGCTCGTTTTTGAGGGTCTGCACCGTGTTCAAGGCAGAATCGATTTCCATGGGACCACAAGCTTCGTGAGCCTGCTCCACAGATCAGAGCAGAGGCACTGTTAGCAGCTGTAATCAACTATCAGAAACGGTAAATGCCTCAGGTATAACCTCCCCCTCCCACGTTTTTTCTCCCGTTGCTTTCTAGGCCTCTGTGGGCACTCCAAGTGTTACACATCATGGATTGCAACCTCCTGTTCTTAGGCTGGGAAGAGAAGAACACACTGGAAAGAGGCACCAGGGGAATGAGATGCCCTCAGGCTGGGTACACCCACCTTCACACTGAGAAAACAACTGCTGCAGCCTGGACTTCATCTCTGACCAGCAGCCTAACTATGGATCATGACTAAGGTCACCCTGAACCCCCTGATGTGGCAGCCCACAGCCATCTGTGTGAGCTGGCAATTTTAACATCAGCTCAGGTGTGGTCACCTGCATGCTACAATCTGCTTCTGGGCCTCAGGGTGCACACACACACAGAGAACAGACTTCCCTCTGATTTTACTTTTTAAGCCCCCATATAGTTTAGAGATGTGTGTGAAACACAGACAGCATCTGCTTCCCTGAGTTGTAGAGCTGATGGCTGCAGTGCTCAGTTCCAGCAGTGCCACAGCTGGGCTCTCTCTGGTTTGGCTGCTGCAAAACTGCTCCCTGTCCCTGCTCTGCCTCAGATGTAACAGCAGCTCAGAGCCTTGCTGTGCTGCTCTGCACTCCCTCCTCCTGTTTTTCTGCTATGGAAATGGCAGCAGCACAAGCTTTTCAGTTCTCTTGTCACTTCTCCCTCCCCTTTTTTATGACTCAGGAGCCACCTGGGAGTCTGAGCAAACTGCAGGAAAAGCAGCAGTGAGGACAGTGCCTGAGCACGAGCCATTCCCTGGGGGAGGCACAAAGCCATCCTGCCTTAGCTGATGAAAGCAGTGTTTACCCACCTTCTGGGAGGCTGTTCGGAGCTCAGCCAGGCTGGTGGCAAGGTTCTTGGCACACTGGCTGAGCTGCATGGCTGCTGCTTGATCCGTCACTGTGGGCACTGCAGCCTTGGCAGAGGCCACCATTTTACTTCCAGGCTGTTCAAAGGGCAACAGTGAACACAGGGGGTTTGACCAGCTCATTTGCCTTAAAACAGGTTTAAGATTGAATAAACAAACTGCTTCCTTCCTCCACACTCTCAGGAGGTTTCTAGATTTTTCTTTAGTGACCATGCACATCCCTTAAGCTGCAGCACCCTGTGGGAATTCCACATTGCTGAGTCCCCTGCAGCTTTGCTGCTACAGTGACTGCCCCACTGGTACCAGTGTCTGCCTGAGGCCTTTGGTGCTCATGTAGACTGCTCAAAAATACTTAACTGTGCTCTTTTGCCATCCAGCATCCATGTGGCACAAGCAGGTCCAGGTGGCACAGATGGCAAATGTGTCTCTGTGTTTCTAAACATGAAACTCTGCCAAAATTCTATCAGTCAAGAACTGCAACTCAAGCAATGACTCTTCACAGGGATTACTGCTAATGCAATTAAACACTTTGCTGATTCTTCTCATCCCCACTGTACACACCTACAGCCAGAGGGGAGATGGATTGACCATTTAAATGGCCCAGAGGGAATCATACAGCAAAATACTTAACCAGAGCAAGGGCGTGGTTCAGGATACCTCTGCCTACATGAGACCACAAAAACCTGCCAACAGCATTTCAGGCAGGACCAACTGGTGCCAAGTAATGATCATCTCACCCAGAGAACTGCTTTTTTCTGTTTGTTTCTTGTAGTGTCAACAAGAAACTCAATAGTTTTGTTATCAATGCTCGATATTCTGTCTTTCTATTCTATTTTTATATGTTTTGGGAAACAAGCACAGAGTCAAATTTTGTGTTTTGTCCAACTCTTTCCCAATAGGCAAGTGCTACAGCAATGAATGTTCCTTGTCTATAAATATCAATTTTCTTGTTAAAAGTTAACTATTTACTGTTTATTTATCACTGCATATACTTCAGTGATTGGTTCACTTCACCTGGAGGAAATTCTGGCTGGAGTTTATTAAAGCAAGCTGGGCACTGAGGTCTTCTGCCTGAGCTTGACTTCCTCTCACACCCTGCACCAACTGGGGAATGTGGTCTGCAACATTCTAAAATAAACAAAGGGAAAAGATTTCAGTAAATAAAGAAGAACTCAAAATGCTCTGACATTAAAACAAGCACTGTCCCCGCTCCCCTTAAAGACAACTGGAGCATTCACAGGCAAAACACTCTTGTGCCTTCACAGAACTCATTTAGGACTCTATGAAACCCAATTAATATACAATAGGGTTTTCTTAGAGGTGTTCTACTTCGGAAATCTTTATTCAAGCTACTTTTTAGGTTAAGGATCCTACAAGACAACCCAAGATTTTTATGCAGAATTACATGTACCAAGTATTTTTAATTCCTTCCTTTGCATGTTCAAATACAAGTGGCGGAGGTGACACTTTTTAAAAGAGACTGCCCTGCTTTCAGACAAACATTGTCTTTTACCCATAAGTACCTCAGCCTACTTTGCCTTGATTTTCAACAGCACAAACTTTATAGTATGGCAAGTGTGTATTGCTACAACTTTGCTCCTGCACTGTCCACATTCATGGGCCTTGCCCATCCATTTCCCAGTAACACTCCATTCAGCAGGGCAATACTGAATTACCACCCCCACAGAAAGTAAAGGAGGAGATACTGGATCTTCTCTGCTAATAAATGAGCATCAGGACAAAATTAGATTGAACTGCCAACACTACAGTGAGTCAGCTTGCTTTTTTATTTAATTCATACTGAAATAGCAGCTCTCTCCAACACAGTTTTGAGATGTACTTGAGCTACCTTATTTAACTCCAACATTTCTCAGAATTGCCACCATGACAAGAAGTAATTGCTGAGTGTTAATGTGGCTTTTAACAGCACCTTCTTTAGTGGTTTTGTTCTTGTTCCCCACATAACTGCTCTTTGACGCAGAGAAAAATTCTTCTGTATTCTATTGTCTTTTTTAATTTTTTCTTATTTAAATGTAATTTCTTTATTAGTCAAAGCCACCAGCTGATGTGCCAAATATAACTTAAACAGCTTCTCACCAGACTCTGAACTGCAGCTTTGAAACCACAGGAATGTGCTTGACTTCAGGCCTGCCTTGAAATCCATGGTCCTGACAGCTTTAACTTCAACCTAGGAATCCTGCTAACCCCACAGTAAAGTCTAAAACTTATTTTTTATGGTGACATTTAAGGTGCCAGTTTCTTGGAGGTGGAATATCAGAATAGCAGGATCAGTTGTTAGTTATATAACCAATTATATAACCAATATGTTAAATAAGAACTTCACCCCATGATAACATAAATCACTGTTGCTCTTCCATCCCTCACAGTGGAAAATTCAGGGGTTATTTTATTCCAGCACAGACTTCAGACCCATTACAACCCCTGCAGTGAGGTGTTTGCAGGGTTTGTATATATATATATATATATATCAGCACACAGTAAATATGGATAATATAGCAAACACAGGTGCACATGGGTAGTGCTGGGGGGTTTATAAATCTCTTTTTGAGGTTGCAACAGCATTACAGAGGGTGATGCTCAGCTCCCCACAAGGCAGAGTTGAAGGGTTATTATTTGTCAGGGGGTTGTGCTGTGTTTACCTTACAGCTCTGCACAAGCTGCTGGTGAGCTGCTGTGTTCTTGTTGGAGACAGCTGCATTCTGAGAGGCTGCAATGGTCTGAGTGGCAGCAGCTGCAGCTTGTTTGGCTGCAATCTTTGGAGGAAAAGAAACAGTTAAATCAGCAGTAAAAGCCTGAGTCACTCAGAGGAAGAAATACATATTACAGGTACCTTTGAGAGTAACAACTTTGACAGATTAATACATTATATCCCTTAATTCGATTTGCTTAAGGAAACTCGGGATTGCTCTTCTCTCAGGGTGAGAATGATTTGAACACTGCTATCCATCTCTAACTTGCCAATAAAGAAAAAGGAAGAATTAGAAGGATTCTACACTCTCACTCTTCCATAGCTTAGGTGGCAATCTGAGCAAAAAAAGTCAAATACAAACATCAGAGATGGTCCAAACAATTGGTTCCTTACAAAGGCCAGAGCAAACAGGCAAAGGAGATGCAGGGCTTCACTCTGCTACATCAACACCTCTGACCAAGGGCTCAAGGGAGCCAGTTCTTACTGAGATTGCTCTATGGCAACAGAAAAGTTACTAAAATGATGCAGAGATTCCAGAATTCCAGAGTCTAAAAAGACCTTCTTCAAATATCTAGAACTGTTGTTATCAACATGTCCCTACTACAAAATTAGAAACTGAACAATTTATGCAAGGTATTTCAAACATACCAACACCAACTGGCCCACTAAATACAACCAGGCATGAAGCAGTTTCAGCTCAGCTGTTTTAATTTTCTGATTATTGCTTTCTGAGTGAAATCCTTACACACTTCACTACATGAGTGACACAAAGTACTCCATTTTCTGAGGGCTGTGGACTCACACCCTACCATGTCTAACTCCAAGCCTGAGTTTGTGGTGCTGTCATTCCATGCTTGGCATTTCTACTGAAATAGCCATTTCTACTTTCCTAAAATCATCTACAGATCTTAAGTTATCAAAAGGGAGCCAAGTGAAAATTCAGCAATATCTGGTTTCCAACCTCCAATCTGTTGACAATCTTCTTCTTGATGGCGTTCTGTGCAGCAGCATTGGTGGCCACCCGCAGCCCCTCTGCCGCTTCCCTCAGACGCTGCTGCTGGTCCTCGTTCTCAGGATTGGCTGCAGCTCCCTGCACGACATTTCAGAGCACAAACCAGCAGTCTCAGTAAAAGTTATTGGAGCTGAACAGTTGCTTCATGCACCTTTTTGGGTGCTTGGGAAAACAGCCTTTGTAAACTGCTTCCCCTGGGATCTGTAATAGTGGATTTGGAGGAAAGGAGGTTTGGGGAAAAAACAACCAGTTTTTAAAATTCCCAACTCCATATGCAAAAGTTAAAGTTAAACACAGTAGATTTTCTCCATTTGAACTCTGACAAATGACTGGGAAGCCAAGGAAATGCTCAGCAGCCAGGCACATGGACTGGAGTCCCAGCAGAGCACTGGCCCTGCTGCTGGAAAACCCATTCCAGTGCAGGATCTGGGAAACAATTCAAAGGGAGATATATTATTTCTCCCTAATGGATTTAAATAGGTTTCCAGCAGAGAAAGGAAAGAAAAGGTTAAATTAGCTGGAGGAAACTGTTCCTGAGCCAGAGGAGAGTTGCCCTGTTAATGGTTTCTATAACAGACTGCTGTGCTTCTGCTGTTCCACTTGGAACTGGTACAAGACTTTGCATCCCAGTGGTTGTGGCTGGAGGTTCTGCCCTGGATGGCCCGAGTCATGACCACCCTGCACACAGGAAAGCAAAGCAGTGCAAGAATGGGCTTTTAAAACAAAAAAACCCCTCCAGGTAACTAAAAAAATGGTTTTTTTGGAACATGCTTAGGTTAAGCCATTAAATGCTGAACATTTACAGGGTAAGAGGAACCATCTCCCCTCCAGCCAGATCCCACCTCCCCCTCCTCTTTGTGCCCAGCCCTACCAGTGCCTCTCCAGGGTACCTTTGCAGCTTCCACCATGCGTGCCGTGGAGTCTGCCAGGAGCTTGGCAGCAGCCAGGAGCTTCTTGGAGTTCTCCATATCAATCTCTGCCTCGGCGTCCGACCTCATGGCGTTGACGAGGTCGGAGGTGGCCTGAGCCAGCACCCGCGCCTGCCGCACCATCTCACCTGCGGGACACGACCGTGGTGGGACCTCCTGCCTGCACAGGGCAGCGTGGCTTTCAGAACTCAGCATCATTCACAGACAAAACTGAAGTCATGTTTGCTGAGGGATTTTTTTTAACTTGGAAGTGATACACACGTAGCTCATAACTTGGAGGTTTTATAAACGAGATCTTTGATCACAATATAAATGGTGGAAACCACCACAGTGGAGTTTAAGAAAAAACTGGAGTAGCTGCATTCTAGATAGCAAGATAACCCCCCAAATTAATATTTTCATGTCATTTTGAACATGCAGTTCAAGGAAACTCCTGTTCCAGTGAAGACTAATAACTTCGCTTTCAAATCACAGCCAAGATTTCACTCCTTCAATAAGAATGACCCACCTTCCATCCTGTTCCTCTTTTGGGGAATTATCTTCTGTCTAATATGAACTAAATTAAGAACCTCAGCAGAAGAGACTTAGCACCACTAAGATGGGTTTGGCCAAAAATAAGATGTATATTTATGATACTGGAGTCATGCTCTGGTCATGGTGAAGCACAGAGATGGAACAACAGTGCTTCTCAAGTGGATTCAGACCCTTTCTAGAACCAATTCACTTGGTCACTAAAACATACACTTGGACTCCTTCAATAGACTGGAACTTTTGACTTTCTGTAGGTTACCAAATCAGGTTGGATGTATTTGGGTCTAAGGCCTCGTTCTTTTCCAATGCTCTTAAAAAATCATGGGAACAAAGACAATAACAGCTTTTCTCTCATGTGTAAAGGTGACTTGTGGGCATCAGAATTAAAAGCCCAGACTCCTCTGGTCAGGCATAGGCCAAGAAACTTACATATTTCTAGCTGTTATCAACTGTTAATCATTCCCAGTATGAAATTCTGCAATTAAAACTTTTAGCAATATTTGCTAACTCAGCTCCCAGTCCAAATATCTCCTTTTGAAAAAAGAAAAAAATCCCTTTAAATGCTCTTTCCTACAGTATTAAGTCAGTAAATCAAACAGAAACAATAACCTTCTTGGGTAATAATACAGCACTCCCAGGCCAGAGTCTCTTTGCTGGTAAAATTGCAACCACAGTAGTGCAATGACAATTTGGAAACACAGACTGGAATCTGAATGCCTTCTACTAAAAACCAGGTATTGCAAAACAAGATATTTGACTGGTTTTGACTTGACAGAAAAGAAATGTTATTCAAGATCAGCTCTTTCACTGCACCTCTCTGTACAGGAGCTGAATCACGAGTGACAGTTAAACACAAAACCTGACATGGTTTCTGTGCACATCTCCAGTAATTAAATTCCTTAGGATACCTATAAAGCATTAGGAAACCTTTTCCACAGCCTTCAATTTGAAGATTAGGAGTGGTTTAGCAAACTTTCCAATGCATTTTTGAAAAATCTTAATAGCTCATGTTTCTCATAAAGATTCTAGGGCCAAAATGCACTGAGGATTTCATTAATTACTTCCTTGCAGGATCCTCTGGAAGTGTCTGCATGGCTGTAATCACATTTCCTGAAAAAGCAGAAACATCTGGAAGTTTTGCCTCTTAAATGTAACAACCAAGACAACTTTGTTCATATTGACTATACAGGAATGCAGTTGTGACAATTCTTTTCTTTCCTGGCCCTGCATCGATACAACATGAAAGAAAATACCCAAACCAAACTATTCACCATAACTGGTGAATAAACTGATCCCACTTGAAATTTTCTATGAACTGTCTTGATTTCCTGTTAATACTGCCCCTCCATCCTGCTGCTACTTCACAACACTTAGAACTACTGATATTTCCCTGTTCTAAGTAATTTACTGGTTCTTGACTAAAAATTCACACTGGCTTGGTTAAACATTGGGGATCTCAAGTTTGGGTTGGTTCTAGAAGCTGCCCATTTTAGAAGCATTACAGAAAAAAAAAAAAAAAAAAGGCAGAAATAAGTTCCAAAACCTCCAACCAAACCTCTGCATAATAAAATCCACCACTGTGAAGTATTTGCCCTGGTGCCTGTCTTCATGTCTGGAGCTAGATACTACTACACAATCCTGTGAGGAGGTAGAGGAAAGACTACAGCAACCCTTTAGCATGATACTGATTGTCTTCACAGACTGTTCACTCTTGATTTAATATTATGGGTTGGATGAGCACCTCCCAGGAACCAGCAGCAGGAGAAGAGGGCTCGGTCTGGAGCTGTGCCAGGGGAGGTTTGGGTTGGATATCAGGAAGAAATTTTTTACAGAGAGTGCTCAGCCACTGGAATGGGCTGGATTCTCCATCCCTGAAGGTGTTAGAGACAGGCTGGATGTGTCCTCAGTGCCATGGGCTGGGAACCACAGTGGGGTTGGATCAAGGGCTGGATCGATCTCGAAGGTCTCTCCCAACCCAGCTGACTCTGTGACTCTATCACTCACTTGTACATCAGAGAAGGATTTTTACTTCCTTTCTTTGCAAGGTGCAGATCCCTGAGCAGTGGGAGGCTGCTGTTCCTTAGGGACACTTACCAGCATCCCCCATGGAGCTGAAGATGCTCTCTGTGACACACATGATGGTGTCTGTGGCCTGGTCGTAGCGCCCGATGGGCTCGCCTCTGCTGGCGAACTGCCGCACGTGCTGCAGGAGGTCGTTGAGCGCCTGGCTGACGATGCTGGCAGCGGCACTGACCTGCTTCAGCAGCTCGGTGTCGTCTGTGGCAGCCTGGCAGGCCCTCACACAGTTCTCCACCGAGCGGTCCACCAGCTTGCCAGCCTCGATCAGCTGTTCCTGGCACACCGGGGAGCTGATGGTGGGACTCACAACCTGCAGGGGAGAGGGCACAGAGCAGTCAGAGCGGGCTGGCTGGGTACCGGCTCAGTTTTGGGAATCCACAGCCTTGGCACCCTGGCAACACCACCAGCCTCACCTTGGCACAAGCCACGAGCTGGGAAGTGGAGAGTGCGCACTGTGTGGCAGCAGCAATGACCCTGTTCTGCAGTACCGTGTCCTCGGCCACCTGTGCCACGTTCTTGGCCTTCAGCACCAGCATGGCAGCAGCGTTGGCAACAGCTTTGGCCAGACTCATCAGGACATCCTGGCAAAACAAAGGCAAAACTTGTCTTATGAACAGCTTTGTTAAATTAAGATGGGGTCTCCTGAAGGTAAGAAGTTCTTTTATATGAAAACTTCAGCATGTTTTGTGTAGAGCAGCAGCCACAGCTACTGCTCCAAAACCCAGTGGCTTCCTGTTCTCAGCACAACCATTTCTCCATCTGCACTATGAAGTGACTGCACTGAAGGAGGAGGGACTGTCGACTTTTCAATCTGCTCAGAGTCCACAAGAAGTGCTTATCTTCACTTCCTGAGAACACACTATTAATGCAAAACCATCTGCAGTTCACCACTAAACATGTGATAAATATCTGCAATAAGGGTGACAACCTCAAGGACAAAACTGCTGAGGAGAGACAGGACTCATGTTAATAACCAAATTCAAGGACTTAATTGTGCTTAGCAGCACAAACAACTGCAATTCCCTTTTTGACAGTGCCCTTTCCAAGCACAGTTTTTCCTTGTCCATGATGTAAACATAGCCCTACAAATTATTGCTCCTAATCAAAACAGGTCTTCATTCCAGCACATTTTTCTCTTGTACCAAAATAATTTAGTTACTCTGAAACTGTGACATTAAAACACACTCAGGTGTTAATTCCTGCAATGAACATGTTCAAATAATTTCTTCCCATTTCCCCACTTAAAATCCCACATTCCATGTACCTGAGTTTTTTAGTGGGATGGAGTCTTCTTAATGTCTGTTCTGTTAAAATAACCTGTTCTTGGCATTGAGTGAAAAAACCCAGACACGTTTTTAACAGGGCATTTAAGAACAATGGTCCTAAACTGCTAACAGCAAACACTGTTAAGTCATGAGGTATTATGATTTTATAATTGCTAATACTACTAATCCTAAAGAGATTTTGTTTGTAATATAGTGATTTTTTTCTTCTACTCAGTCTGCCAGAAGGTTTTATTAACTTTTGGCTGGCACACATACATACAGACACAGCAAACATGTACAGGAAAACTACTCCATGTAATGAGGAGAAATGCAGTGCAAACAAACAGCTCTCCACAGAGCATGAAAGCATCTGGATGATGGACACAACCAAGCAGGGGTTCTTATGAAATCAGCACTCTGTGACTGTGTAATTAAAAACAACCTCAAAACGGATTAACCTCAATTAGTACAGAGAAGCTCCAGCATTTTCTAAGCCCACTTTGGGAAGCCTGGCTTTATGCAGAGACCTCCTCATCAGAAAGCTGCTCAGCTCTGACAGTGACAATCAACCCCCTCATTACCTGGAACCTTTCATCTGTTTCATTCTCTCCAATCTGCCTCAGCAGCTCCCCACTTGCTTGTCCGATGCTTCCAGCTGCAGTCAAAACTGTCTGTCGAGGCTGCAGAAGGGTGACAGTGAAACACATTAAATTCAGAGAAGATGAGCTTTGCTTGAAGTTATGGTTTCCTCCAAGAAATCCCACACGGCTGGGCAATCAAAACAGCCCCCACAAACTTCACAACAGAAATACTTCGGAAAAATCTTTACTTTTCCACGTGCACAACTGCACATCCACATTTCAGGGGTTTCACCTGATGTGTTCCCAGACAACATGCAAAGAATTTTGAAGAACTTGAACAGACTTTGCTGTCATAACTGCAAGGATAATTAAGGATGGACAGCCAATATGATCTGAAACACCAGGAGATTTCATGTTCTTCAAAACATAAACACCTGAAGAGATCTAAGGCAAACTGTCTACAGACTCCAAATCACAACACACCAGTCAAGGGGTTTTATCCTGGCCAGTACTACTCCCATTTCTGGAGAACTACAGCATATGAATTAACTTCACATTTTAAATATCAAAGTAGACAAAAAGAGTAAGGAAAAAAGCCATGAACGAGTATCTCTCCACTTCTTATTGAGTCACAGAACTATTTGAAATTTGTTTCTAAAAGACAACACAGTACCCACATTAATCAACTACTTATTACATGAATCAACCTCTGTACACAGCACAGAACATTTTGATATCAAGGTGCAAGACTTAAAGGCACAGAGACAGATGGAGGATTAAGAAGTGGTCTCAAGAGCTGCCTGCACAGGGAACATTACAGGAGTGTAGCACTGACAGGTGAGTGTAGAACCCAACCAGCCTCAAAAAACCCACAGCCATGCACTTCAGAGAGGGAACCTGAGGGGTCTCCATCTGCTCACCTCTCCTGAAGTAGGTTGCACAGCCTTCAGCAGGTCTGACACAGCACTGGCCAGGGTTCGAGCAGCTTTCAGGAGGTCTTCTCCACTTCCAACCTCATCATCCATGAGAGCAGCGAGCAGTTTCACACCTTTGGACATCTCAGTGAGGTTGGAAGAGATGGTTGTGATTGCACATCCCACAGCAGTGTAGTCAGTGTCAACTGGGTCCCCTGGAGAGCAAATGTTTTCTATGATCAGAATGCTTTAGTGGTTCAAATGCAAACAGGGGCAGCTGCCACAAGCTGCACTCTTGAGAGACATTTCAAGGCAGCCAAGCAATGCTTATTAAGAAACTTGTCACTTTAAAAAGATTAGACTGCTCTAAACTGTCTGATTTCTACATTTCATCTTCTAACAGAATTTCTCTTCACTCAGTGCAATTGCTGAGAAGTCCACAGTGCCAGATATCTTTCCATACTGGAAGAACCTACAGGAATACAGTCTTGGCCTGTTTAAGCCACTCACAGCTCCTTCAACTCAACAGTTTGCTGAATTAAAAACATCACCAATAAACACATAATAATCTAACAACTGTCAGTAATGCTTTCTTGGGGTGTGCCTGCAAACATCCTCTATTGAATAAGCAAGTTACATTTTATTTTCACCGATGGCTGTACCTTCGGTGTGAGAGAGAAACCGAAGATACAAAAACCGTGTTGGGAGGGACACCAAGTTTGTCCCACACATCAGTGTACACTACCAGGGTGTTCTACTGACGACTTTTCTGCAGCTGCCCCATCCTCAGTTCCTATGTGAGGTGATTTAGGCTGACAAATGTCAGGAGACTGCCAGGAAACCCCTCCCATGGAAGTTTACCTGCAGTAAGGTTCACGACAGATGCAGTTCCTGCAGTGATTGCATCAACCTGAGAGTGTATTTCATGTTTGGATTCATCAACCTTGTTCTGAACCCATACTCTGGATGCCTGAAGAGCAATAACAAAGCAGAAGAATTAAGGATTGCAGTGAGGCTCTGTAAGAGGGGATACCATGTAAATCTCCCATTCCTTCATGAACTTTTACAAGTGAACCAGAGCACAGCCAGCAAGCCCTTTCAAGTGAAATGTTAAAGCAAACATCTTCTTCTGCTGATTCCTTCACTACAGATTTGCTACCACACTTCAGCAGTTGCCCTTTTTAGGTAAATGCCATAAAGTGCATCCATGAAGGCCAAGCACTCTTGACTGCCAGTCCCCCACAAACAATAATCCTTTTTCTCTCTCCTCGTGCCCTAACCTGGACCAGGACCAACAGAATCACATTTTGTTCTTATTTTTCACGTGCCAGTCACTCCCACCATAAACAATGCCCACAGCTTGTGTTTAGCTGCACAGGTGCCCACGAACACAATAGCATACAAACTGGATTGTCTGAGGGATCAGGAGCACTCACCATGTCCTGCCCCAGGGGAGGCAGGTTGTCCACCTCGCTGAGGTCGGCCTGTGCCTGCTGCACCGCGTGCATGCTGGTGTTGATGGTGCCCATCAGGGCCTGCTGGGCTGAGGTCTGCAAGGCAAAACAGGGCTTGTGCTGTGTTCCAAAGGGCACTCCAGGCACATGTGACACGTGCATGAAGAGCCAGGGAGTGACCACAGTCCAACACTCACACCAGGCCGTTTCAGATGCAGCCTCCCCCTGGTGCAGTGCAGAAAGCAAATCTCTCTCAGTCTTTCACCTGTGTCATTCACACTCCTCTGAACTTCCACACCTTTCCAGCTTTCTCACATCAAACAATGACCAACAGACATACACAGAGCACCACAGAGCTTTCTTACTGACCTGCATTCAAGGAACATGGAAATTCAATGTGCCTCTAGGATATCCTTACTGATTTCCTGGGACAGCTACCGACGTAATCAAGGATGACTCTAAACTGTCAGCACTGTGGAAGGGTTAGCAGCCATCTGCAGGGTTTTAGGCAGAGCAGGATGCAGATTGTGTTGGGTGTCTGTGGCACAGTTTTGGCTGCAGGGGTGGCCTCTGTGAGCAGAGGCCAGGGGCTCTCACACTGGGCACACCAACAGAGCCAACAGGACACAGCTGAGCCCAGCAGCTGTGGCACCTCTGGGAAAGCAGCTGTCACAAAGGGCAAACCAGCACATGGCAGAGAGGGGAAAAACCAGTTCATGAAACACCCTTGCAAATGCCAGTGCCTGAGGGGGATGTGGAGGCGGTGCTGGGGCAGCAGAGCACAGGGACACCAGGGTGGAGCAGGTGTTTCCCTGCAGCCTGTGGGGACAGCCCTGTTGGAGCAGGTATTTCCCTGCAGCCCGTGGGGACAGCCCTGTTGGAGCAGGTATTTCCCTGCAGCCCGTGGGGACAGCCCTGTTGGAGCCATATCCTCATATCCACCCTGCAGACCAAGAGGCCCCACACTGCAGCACGTGGGGATTTCCCTGGAGAAACTCCAGCCTATGGAGAGCCTGTGCTGGAGCAGGGTCCTGGCAGCAACTGCAGCCTGGGGAGAACCAGCACTGGAGGGGGGATCTCCAAAGGGAACTGCAGCTCACAGGGCCCCACACTGGAGCCAGTTTATCCTGAACGACTGCAGGGATAAAATGCAGGACACACTGAAGATGGGGAAAGTCTTTATGTTGACCTATGCCAGATAAAGCTTTTCTATCTTATATATCCCCCACAGAAACTTCTCATTGAGCAGCAGGAGTGAAAAAGCAGCTGGGCAGGCATTTGGCACTTCTAGTAGTATGTCATGATTTTCATTGATTATATTCTCAAAGACTTTTCAGGGCTTTGGAAAGCCTTTTAATGTAAATGAGAAAACACACTATCTGCCTCAAGCCTACTAAAAAATTTCTAAATGGTGGGCTAGTGATAAGCTCAAGGTAAGCCTTTTCTTTAAAATTGCTTACTTTTAACAGTCTTTAAACCATTTTTCTTACCCTTAAATACTGGTTTAACTACTTAGAAGTAAAGAGAAGGCTGGAAGAGCCTGCTCTAAAGAAAACAAGGAAATAAATCTAAAAGTGATACCCTAAATATGCCAGGGACACTCAAAACTCATGTTTGGTAGGACAGCCAGGAAGTTAAAGCTCTTAGAAATCTGTATAAAACCATCTCCGACTCCTCGCAGCACAGACAAGTTTCAAACACAAAGGTTTCCCAGGTTTCCCACCAGAAAAGCAGGAGGTTGCTCACAAGTGGGGGCATGTGTCCCCTGTGCATCTGCCCGACGGTGACCTGCTGCTGGGGGGAGGGCATGATGCCCACGTTGAAGGTCTCGGGGCCGCTGGAGCCCGAGCGCATGACGGCGGGCAGCGCCACCGAGCCGTGCTCCACCTTCCCGGTGCGGTTGAACTGCTGCTGCACGATGGTGGACCTGCAGAAAAACCCACCAACACACAGTCAGGGAGCTCCTGCAACTCAGGGTCTGCCACCTGCTCTTCCTGCAGGATCTGGAACTGCATTTGACAGCGTCTGGAGAAGCTGGAAAAGTTTACGCTTTTCCTTTCTAACCATTTCCTAACATATTAGAAAAACAATCCAGGGCTTTGGGCAGATTTATTAATCTGCCTATTATTATATTGTTATCATATTCTTACTAAAATATTAATTTATAATAAAAATAAAACTATTCTTAATAAAAGATAATTATTAATAGCACTAAAGAGCAGGCACCAAGGAAAAGGCAATGTGCAGCTTTGGTACACATGGTACAAATGCTTTAACCCTTGCAGATGCCTGGCAGACAGAACCAGAACAGGCATAACAACTGCTTTGTTTCAGTTGTATCTTTGACTGATCAATAGAAAATAAAAGCATGAACCTTGTGGGGATGTCTTTGGCAAGAACTTCCTAGAACTGGGGTAAGAACTGACCTTCTTTTCTTCACCTTTCTACACAAAAGCACAACAGTACTTGTTAATAATCTGGCAGTCTATCAGGTAATGGGCTGGGGGGCAGGATACTTTCAAGAATAATAAATAAAGTTACTGCCATCCATGGTCATGAACTGCTTTGCCAGATGTGCTGCTCGTATTTAAATATGATTCAAGCTTTAATAGACAGAAGCGTTGACAGAAATTCAGGCTTTAACAATAACACTCTGCTGGGGGAAAAACAGTGACTTCAACTGTGAAAAAATCTTGTATTTATCTATCACAAGTTCTGGGCTTCTCTGCACAGCACTTAGCTGACAGTATATTCTGGAGGTGATTTGGAAAGGGCCATGTCAAAATAAAGCACATCTGAACACGTGTGACCCATCAAACGTTGAAATTACACATAAGGCCACATTAACTATCTAACAAGCCTATCTCATATAAACCCTATGCTTGACAATAAATCAAGTGGACTTTTCACATACACACTGCTGACACTGCCATCCTCAGAGGTCCAAGAGGAGACTCGAGTGGTTTATTACAGCTCATAATGTCAAAAATCTGTTTCTGTTCTTTCACTGCACGGCAGGATTTCACATTCCTTTTCAGGAGCATGGCCAGCTCACAGCTCTGCTTTTGGCTGTGTTCAGTTCCTCCCCATCCAAACCACTGCCTGGCATACCAAATATTCCCCTATCAGAACAAACCCTGACCCTTCCCCACACCAAATACCTGATAGGTTTGGCTGGTGACTAAGCCAGACACACTGTTATATATCATTATCCACTGTTATAACAGTGTACAACTACACCGACAGGAGTCACATTTACTGCAAACCACGGAACCAGCAGACACAAGCAACTCAAACCTTGTAAATCCTGCATTTTTGTACCAAGATCAGAAAACTAATACAACATTTTCAGCTCTGCTTGGTTATCCCCCTCTCCCCCCCAGCACTTTACTGAATTCCTTTGTTCAAGGGCCAAGTTAGCACAGACTGCTGGCTCCCTTAACCAACAATCTTGTGACAGATACCTGCTCTTCAATCCTTGAAGGAACCCAGGAGCCTGCTGAATTGCCTGAGGGCAGTACTTCCTTCTATTGAAATACTCTGTGGAAAACCACTCTTTAACAGCAATACCTGTCCTACTTCATTTGAAAAGAGCTGCTGCAGCTAAATGTGGCACTCAAGGAAAGAACATTTCCTGCTGGTTACACTCACTTCTTAGGTGAAACAGATTCTTCCAACATGGTTGACTCCTCATCACCTTCAAGCCCAAATCTATCTTTGCTTTGTTTCTGGAGGAAGGGGAAAAAGAATTAAGTTAAGCAATGTGCTGATTTTTCTTTATCTCCACCACTCCCTCGCCATTTATCACAAAGCTAACCAAAGAATCTGTAGAGCCTTGTCTGTGCTGAACACCAAGCTTTGGGCAGTGAGGGACAACACAAGCTGCAGGAAAAAATGTACCTACCAAACCACACCAGAGAAAATGAGTTGGAACAGCCCAAAACACAGCAAGAATTAACATTATGCCACTGAGAGCAGCAAACCATCCTCTGAGGCATTGCATCACTGAGATAATGTGGGCTCAACAACTGGGAACTGCAGCTTCTCATACTCACCACGGGTGTTTATTGTTTAACCTGCTCCTAATTCACTCATTTTCAACTGAACATGTCAGCAGATGGTAAAGAGAAAAAAATCAAAGGCCTGCAAATGGAAATCCACACATCTGTATCCTATTCTGTGAAGACAGGAGGCTGCTTTCATTTGGCATCAGAGAGCAAAGCTACCTCTGAATCAAGTTTTAAACCTTCTATAGGAACCTGCAATTTATTTGACATTTATTAAACCTGAGACTGACAGTCCCAGAGGGAAAGGCTCATCCTGGGATGAGTTCTGGCTGTCCTGCTCCACCTCTTCTTGCACCCTACACTGTGAGCACAGGCAATAAATTCCAACTTTCTCATTTCTTTCCCATTAAAATCTATTACAGTAAATAATGATGTAGGTTGGTTTACTACATATCAAGATGTTTATACTGTACCTTTTTCAGGATGATATCAATGTAACCTGCAATTAATTGAGAGATCTGTTCTCCTTCAGTGGTCTGTACTGAGTAATAGCTTTCCTGATATTCCCCAAAATCCTGAAGAAAAAGAGGAAAAAAAAAACAAAACCTCTTTGAAAATGCTAAGTAAGAAACAGTACTAAATAAGAGAGCATTCAGATTTTAAAATTGTTTGTATAGTCATTTTATTATATCCAACAGTAAATGAAACTGCTCCAAGGTTCTAAACCAGGTTATATGGGGGTGAGGGAGGAGACAAGAATGCTTTTTTTTTCAGCTTAATCACACATGTTCCATAAATTGAAATGCCCAAGAGACACTTTGTCTAATTTTATCAGACTTGGTCACTCAAGAATGGAGGAAAGTCTTTAGAATTTAATTCTAGAGCATAATCATCCATGCAATCAAATTAGATGCATGTGAATCAAGTGAATGTCATTTTCTATCCTTTGCCTCTTGCTCTACCACTTTAAGTAACCTTTTCATATCCAAACTGAATGTTGCAGTGGTCTCCTCTGGACCAAATAACTAACAAAATATCACGTTCAGGGAACTTCTTTCATAACTATTCAATGTGTGAGTGAACCATCTGATCTTGTTTATGCCACAAAGCACATTAGGAATGACAAACACCTTAACAGTTTACACAGCTGAGAATAAACATGTTTTCTTCAATGTTTCAGTAATTAGGCATAAACCAGATGCAAACAGTGTTTTCTGACAAGATTTAAACAGAACTTCTGAGGAACTGGCCTGTCTAGAAGCATCAAGCTACAGCTTGACCCTTAGAGGCAAATATGGGCCAATTTATCACTTGAGGACTTGGTTACTCCATATAACACTAGAAAATGAGAGAGAGAACAAGCTACATGACAGGAACTGTTCTGAGGCCATCTTTGCCTTTCTCCTTGCCACACCAACCCCTCTTCCTCTGCACCCACACAGCAGGATTACCAGAGTGAAGCTTTTGGGGGAGGCAGCCCAGCGTTTCACGGTTGTCAGTGGCCACTCCTGCAGCACCTCCTTGGTCTTCTCATCCACCCTCATCACCGAGTCCTTGGTGACACCCAGCAAGCGAGGAACCAGCTTGTTTTTGCCTTTCATTTTTTCCTGTAACGAGGTGTGAAAGGTTTGTTTTCCACTCAAACACAGCTTGCCACGGGAGAAAAGGAACATGGAAAATATCCACGAAGGGAAACAACGGGGCGCAGAGGATGACAATTTAAAACTCTTCTCACTGCCCCAGGGAACTGAAATATTTTAGTGATTGAAGTAACAAACGTCTGCTTAGTGTGCAATCAGAGGTAATCCATGACCAAGGGTGCAATGGGCACAGTGAGAGCCACGTTACCTTCACCAGGAAAAAGGACACGCCGTAGGTGCGCAGGGAGCGGGCGAGTTTCACGTACTTCACTTTGGCTTCTATCTCAGTCATCTCCCCACAGTTCTTGTGCTCCTGCAATGAGAGGGCAGCAGCAATTAGGTACAATCAAGGCTTTCTGGAAACCACAAAAAAGGGTACAGCTTTTATCTGTTTCACAAGGGTTAGTTAATAATCATTACAATGAGAAGATTTGAAAAAATACTGGGTAGAAATCTTAGCAAGACTTTAATTCCTCCCATCAGAGACCATAAACAACCTGTGCAAACAGAACACTTATCTTTGACCATCATCCATTCAATGTGTGCCTCAGATCAAGCACATTTAAACCACTTCTGACACAGTTTTAAATTCTGGCTATTCCTGCTATTTGACACTATTGGGTTTCACACCATTCAAGCCTCTTCGCTCAGTTCTTAAAAATAATTGAAATGTCCCAGTACCCAGATTTTCTTCCAGAAAGAGACTATTTATCCCTGCTTTGTGCCCAAAACTTCTGACTCATGAGAGCCTCACACTTTGTACTTGACCATTAGCACACTTGATTACTGGTATGTAATGACAGTTACCAATCTTATGGCTTCAAACTTCACCTCAGCACCTGCTCTCCCACCCCAGACTGTTCTGCTGAAAGTCACATCCCAATGTTTTGCTGTTTAAATGCTGTTTGTGGGGTTCCCTATCCCACCCCATCTTCCCCATGACTGTGAACTGCTGTTGCCACCCTGCCCTGGTGACTGATGGCAGCAGGGGGAGCACCAAGAACTTGGGAAACGCCTTCCTGCTCCGCTTGTTACCACCTGGACAGCCTTCCAAGGAGGAGCAACTGCAGCTCCCAGAACCCTGGGCATCCCAGGGGCACAGGCTGATCAGATCTGCCAAGCTCAGCACACAGAAAACAACCAGGATCCCAAGGAGCACCAGTACAGTCATTGCAGATGGAATGTTTGGTAAAAGCCACCTGCCAAACTCCAGAAATTTGTAATTTGGGAAACAGCTGGTTTTCTTTTCAAACTGGTAGCTCACCTCCTGTTGTATCTTTTCCCACCAACAGTGCCCTCACTTGTCCACGCACTGGGGCTTGTCATGACTCAAACTCCTCATGGGTCATATCTGACATGGGCAAAAATCCCCTGCTATGAACAGCAGGACAGTGATCCTCAGGAGTGAAAGAATCTGGTTTTAGCTTAAGCTGCCCCCAGCCAAAGGTGCTCAGAACAGCAGACACACTCACCCACAGGAAGTACTGCAGCTGCAGGCAGAACAGCCTTACTGAGTCCCACAGTTCTCACACTGGGATGGGGCAGACACAGCAAAGCACCTGACCTGATCCTGCTCTTCAATTCATCTCCCAAGCTGAGGCCACAGAACACTGGGGTATCCTACCAGAAACCATGGCCTGACTTCACCTGGTGACCTCAGAATTATCCAATTTACTGTTGGAAAGTTATTGCCAAAGTTATTGTTACAAGTTATTGCCAAACTTGTGCTTGAGTGGGTAGATGGTGGGTGCATTTCCAGCACTCAGAGATCACTCCAGCAGTGTCAGCTCCTTGTACCATCTTATACTCAACTACTCCAGCCTCCTACAGCTGTGATTCCCAGACACACCATGGAATCCAAGCATTAAGCAGCACAACTTGAGGCTCATGTCTGAACGAGGCATGGAATTCAAACTGGCTTTCCTAAATGTAGTGCAAATATCTTTACATTTCAATACAACTGACAAAAAGATCTTAAAACACTGAATGTTCACTCTGTCTTTTTAGCAATGTATATTGGATAATCATCAGTAAAGATAAAAGGTTCAGGATCAGGTATTTTATTTCTTCAGGATCTTTTAAAGAAATGAAATAGAAGCTGTCAGATCCTTTGCACTGGATTTTCTGATAGCCATATAATCAAGTAAATAATCCAAGTATACCCCTGGGAAAGCTCACATTTTTCTTACAAAGGCAGGAAAACTGAAGTAGATTTTTCAGCTTCCCAATTACCTGAAATATTCTCTTTTCAGCCCCTCTTTGTTTGGTATATTCTTTAGGCAGGAATTCTTTTAGGCTAGGAGGAAAAAAAAGAAAGAAATTCCATAGTTAATGGTTCCTTCTCGAGGAAGGATGTTTTCCACGCTTCTTTACTAGCAATAAGTCCCCCAAGCTTCCTAAAATGGGTGCAAAATACCTATACAAGGAAACACAACTGTCTAAAGCAGAGTGAGAGCAAGAGGTTACTTCATATAATGAAAACACCGCTTTAGTTACATCACCATGGAATACCCTCTCAGGTTGCTTTTATATTTGGAGGGGGTGAACACTGGATTATTTGTTTGGGTTAGTGTGCTTCTTTTTGTTTGTGTTTTTAAACACAAAACCCTGCCATTGCAGACAACCAACAGAAAGACTAAACCAGGATTTTGTGCTTTCTTCAGAAATTCTGGTTAGTACTGGGATCACTCCTGTTCTTCCCATACAGCTCTGGCATTATAAAGCAAATAAGAACAACTGGCCTTGCTACTCTTTCTTCTGCTGCTCTAGTAGTGACATCTCACTGATGATAATGAACTCTCTTCTCAGGACTCATTTCCACAGGCACATCCCAGGGCTGGGAAGGCTGAAGAGCTCTAGGTTTGATTTTCCAACGTGCCTGCAGACAACAAGCCAAGGTGTGCAGATCCAGGTGCTCCTTCCCACCTGCACAGGAACAGGATGGGCTCTTTATGAGATGTTCCCAGCAAATGTGATCCCTGTACCTCTGCAGGTGCCATGCAAAACTTCATCTGCACCAGGAAGGGCACGAGGAAGGACTGTCTGCAACCTGATAGTTTAAAAGCTTTCACAATTTACTTTGGCAGGAGCTTCAAGGAAATTGCAGCCACCAACACCAGAGTCTTAGCAAGGTGCAGGCAATGATCCCCATCTGTGCCAGGAATAATTTATCAGTGACAAAAAAGGACACCAAAGGTCTCTCTACATCAAACATATTGCAGACATGGCACACTAAGCTGAGCTGTTTCAAAACAGTTTTAGGAAATATTAGTGCCATTCTGCTGTGTGCTGTTTCCAGCAGGAGCTGACAGGCTCTCCTTGAGGGCATCTGCAGCATCTTGAGGCTTCAGCAGTGACTGATTCCTCTCCAATGCATTTCACATACTGAGCTGCAGCAGACAGTTTATAAACTGTAACTACTTCCATACTTGGAAAGAATCAATGTTTATGCACCAAAGAGTAGAACACAGTTGGATGAAACTTTAAAAAAAGCTCACTCTTTTTCAAGGGGAAAAAAACCCCCATAACAACAAATTGAAAAGTTTTTTTCTGAAAGTGTGAGAGATGCATTTTCAGGAAAAAAAAATAGATCAGCATTTCTCTACATTATTTATATATATTGTTCATAATGAGCCAGGATTACTTGGCTTGCTTAGAGTCACAAAATAACAATGTGAGACCTCACAAAAAGGCTGCCATGAAGGTTACTAAAGCACAACCACTAAATCATAAACATGGACACTCCAAATTAGAACACAATGAATGGGGACTTACAGCTCTGCAACAGTTTCCTCTAGAGGACAAAATCTGAATTACTTCTAAATCAGAAACCTTAATTTTATGAAGCTGATTACACACCAGGACAGTGAGCAGTTACACTTGGTGACCTGCAAAGTTTGAGTCTAACACAGGCAAGGCCCTAAATGAAAATAGAACAACAGCAGAGGGGAAATGCCCTGTAGAACATCACAAGGTTCTAAAGTTTGGAATTCTGGTTCAAAATGATTTCCATAGGAGAAACACTCTCTTTCTAGAATACAGTTCAGTTATTAACACCTTTCATTTCTGTGGGGATAAAAAAAGACAATGAACACTACGTGTGTGATGACTTCACCCTGTGATGGACTTCAAACTCTTCAGCATTGCATACAAAGTAGAAATATCACCCAGCCAGCAGTTTTAGTCCACCATAAAATACAGTTACTATGTGGGAATTTAAAGAGAAAAAAAAAATAAATCTTCACACTGGAAAGACCAAGCAGAACAGCAGAAAATCCCAGCAAAACTGAAGCAGCTGAATGCTGTGCAGCACTTTGCAATGGCTGCTTTCCAAATTAAAAACAGCTACTGCTGGGAACACCTAACTCTTGCAATCATTTCCATGCCACAGCATCAGCTTCTCCTGAGATAACATCCTAGTGGTTTGCTGCAGGAAGACTCCAATGAGTGGAGGGACAAATGGATCAATCCCAGAGAAAGACTGCTGTGTAACTGCTTCCAGTTCTGGGAACAAACCCCAGGAGAACAGGGAGGGTTTTACACTGGGCCCCCACAATTCTTAAGAGACATCAGTGGCTCCAGCAGGAAAGGTTCCTGGGCCAGCCATAGCAGACAGACTGTACAAAGAACAGCTGATTGTTAATTGGAACTGAAAGGTGTCTGTTCACAGAACTGAACTTCTACTTCAGGAATATTTTCTCAAAAGTGAAGAGTTTCAAACAACCAGTGTCACAGCTCTGCATGTGCCAAAGCAGTCACCACTTGGAAGTGATTCCCTGAGGTGCAGCAAAGCCCAGTCCAGCTCCCCAGGGCAGCCTGAGTCAGCAGAGAGCAATGCCAGTGGAACGGGACAGGAACCAAACACACCCCCACCGCTTTGTGCTTCCAATTAAGGTATTTATGAGCCTCCTATATGGGCAAGACTCGATGGACTGTGCAGTAAATAACTTTCTTTGACCTTCCTACAACATTTCTTTGCTCAGACTTCGGCCCTCAGTTAATTCCACTGCAGGTAAACCAGTCAGAAAATCAAAATCAGTAGAAAAATGGGACATCTAAATGTCAGTCAAACTAAACTTGCCCTGCTGAGAGCAGTGAAGTATCACAAAGACTAAAAGATGGACCACTTGTAAGCAGGATTTCAGTCTGTATCTGAAACAAGGAGCACAGTTCCACATTTCCATTCATGCAACACCAAGAGAAGGTGAATCTGAATCCCTGATGCCACTAAAGAGTTTGGAAAATGTAACCTCTAAACATAGCAACGTTCACTTTGTTCAAATGACAAGGCATCTTTCCATTCCTGTGCTTTTGCAGCTGATCAAACAGTGACATGCACTGATGGACACTGAATTCACACAGGGCAGTACTAAAGGCAGGCAGAAGCAAACTCCTAAGGCAGACCAAACCCTCAGCTCTCCCAGATTCCCAGGCAGCTGCAGAATCCAGCTGTGCACTTCACTGGCACCCTGGCAGCAGCTGGTGCCCTGTGCTGTCTAACAAAGCCACTGCCAGAGGTCCCTCAGCAGCTGATTCACAGGGAGGTTTGCTACAGAAAACACTCTGGATCTGATTACCTCAGCTTGGAGCAATAAAACTCGTTTACTCTGTGACAACTCAACATTAGTTACACTTGAGGTCACCCAAATTTAGAAGTTAGAAGTGTTTACTCTAAAAATCCAGGTTTGTGTTTGTGTTCTACATGAGGTCCAAACTGGATCTGTGCTTGGAAGCCTCCAAACTCACAGGCCTTCTCAAAGGAGACAGGATGGGAACCATTCAGAATGTCATCACGAGCCTAGAGGAGACAACAAAGACAAGTCAGGGACATCCAAAGCAACTGTTCCACCTCTGAAATTCCTGGAGAGCTTGAACACAGCCAGCAACACAAACACACTCTGTCTGAATGTCTTTATTCTTCCACTCTGGATGTGTTTATGACTAATACAAATACACAAAGGGCTAAGTTATTTCAGGGTGAATGTCTCTGGAAACTCTTTGAAACTGTGATTGTGATAACTCTGATCAAAAAGGGAACTTGGCACCCATTTTCCTGACATGTAAATAAAATACAACAGATGCACATCCCCTCCTGTGTATGTCCACACGTGCAGATACACATGTGGGTACACGTGCATTGAGAAGCCTGGATCTCACTGCCTCATAATAGGAGGGAAAATCATCTCCATAACTAGCACATAAAAACCAAATTACTGTTATAGATGTGGCAACAGCAGAAGGCACACAGTTTTTTTCCTCCTTTTGTGTGAACTTGGTGGTCATACAAGATGACAGATGTTACAGTTCTGGCAATAGAAGGCTCACCTATCCATAGACAAAACAAGGACAAGGCAGTATCAACACAGTGTGTCATAACTGTAGCCTGAAAGAAATATAAATATCCAAGTGGCAGGAGAACAGCTCAGTGTGACAGCCTTCTAAAATCCTTGGAAAATGTACTGCTCTTTTACCAGCATGGCCAGCTTTACCTTCTGCCTCAGAGTTTTAAAATGTAATTTAGAGCAACTCCAAGTGGAACATCAGAGCATTCCATTAAACTTTCAATTATATTTTTTTACTTTAAAAAAACCCAATTATTAAAGAGTTTTAAAGGCTGTTTTTTGTTCAGACTGCATTCCAGGCAACCACAATGGCACCTGCAGTTAAATAACATCTTCTGCATGAAGCTGTTGCCCTTGCTAAGGTATCTACAGGGGATCTCCAGCCCCTGTGACAGCCCAGGAACCTGCCTGGGTGGTTGCACGACAAGGTTTCCCAGAGAAGGCAGCAGGTACCATACCTGAACATAAAGCAGGTTAAGCTGAACTGGGTCTCTTGAATCCACGTTCTGGTCTGAATAAAAGAACTTCCTTCTCAACAGCAGCGTCTCGTTTTCATCGACGCCCTGCTCTCTGAAGGTCCTGCTGTGATCCAGCCAGTTCACTGCAACAGAGCACACCCCCCTGCTCAACACACACAGCTGCCACTGCCACTGTGGGGCACATTTGAAACCATCTTCCTGCAGGTACAGTTAATCTTTGTGTCTTAAGGTAGAACAAAAAAAACCTGGTTCTCGTGACTTAAAACAAATCTAATACTGTCTTAGTTCTTTGGCAAACTCCCTTTACAGTTAAAATTTGTACCTTCAAAGACAAAACTACCTTTTGATGGCTTTCAGAAGGCACCAATATTTAAATACCCAAATTCAACAAAGGGACAAAAATGACCCTTTCAGACTTAAGATGGAATATCCCTACCAAAAAAGTAACAAAAATCACCTCAAAACACCCACTAACTCTCACTGAGGCAATAACTCGCCCATTTACCCAGTTCTAAAACTACTCAGTCACAGACAACACTCTATATAAAAGGATGCAAAATGCAGCTTGGAATCAACTGAGACACACTGAGTAATTTAAAATGTCTCATTTTCTTGTTTAATATTAACAAAGAAGGATGCTGGAACACGTTACTCACAGTCATCATCTGTGTGGAGCTTTGCCTTCAGTTTTTCCATTTTCCTCTCATCCCGTAGCAGTGTCCTGTCTTTCTTTAGTGTCCCTGTACTCTCCTCTTTCTTCTCTTCGATGCTTTCCTGGATTAAGGAATATTCCTCATAATTGGTTATCCCTGGAATTATAAATAAATCCAGTGCTTGTAACAAGAAAAACTGAATATATTTTAGGATGGATTAAATACTTTTTTTAGAGATATTAAAGCGCCAATGGTTAATCCCAAATACCAAGGGGCCAGATGAAATGCCAAAACTGTGAATGGGCAACGAGAAGAATCCTCTACAACCTCTGCCAATACCTGGCCTTGTCCTTCCCATACATCATTCCTTTGCCACACGCTGCATTTGCCACTTCCAGAAAGGGATTTAGGGTTTTGTTGTTGTTGCCTACCAAGAGAAGCTGCCAGTTTAAGAACATGCTGGAATTTCCAAATTGCAGTAAATTGCAAAATGGAGACCCACAATGATAAATTCCCATTGCTGGGTGCCTCCAATTGCTCCCTGGGGAATGAGCAATCCCAGCTTGCTTTCCTTGCAAAGGAGAGGTGGCAGAGCCAACTGAGGAACAGAAACCATGGGCAAGGTATGATTTATATTTTTTCAACTGTTTAAACTCAACTCTTCCTGCGAATTTGACACAAAACTGAATCACGAATTGGTTCCCATCGTTCAGCTCCTGTGCCAAGTTGCTCTCATGTCTTGGTTCTGCCTGGGGTTTCTCTGTTTGGGAAAGCACGTTCATGCTCCACCAGACAGCAAATGAAACACTCACCCCCATGGCCACGTGCATGAAAATAAGGCAGGCTAATTTCTGAGCTAAGTTACTTACAGCACAGCAGAATCCAACACAGAAACACTCAAAATCAAAATACATGATTCACTTTGCAAACAAAGTAATCGAAATCAAAGTAAGGCCACTTGAATTCTAAATGCAACCTAAGCCAGGGTTTAAGATTTAAATGAATCCATGTTGGATGCACGCTTAGAGTTCAAATATGAATTGGTTTTCAAACACGTCTCTGGTTAGTTAAATACTGACACAGACTAGAAGTGACATCAATTTTGACCAGCTGCTCAGGATGGTTTCTATATGTTGTTTCACAAATTATATGGTTCTGTGATCAACTCTCAAAACAGAGCCTTAAGTTTAGGTACATTTCAAGATCAGCAATATTTATCTTTTATCCAATTAAAGCTGAGTATAAATTTAGTCCTATTCTCTACTACATAGCAGGAGAACATATTGTGCATGTAACATAGGATAAAAAATTGGCAACTGCACTGCCAGTTTATGGCAACTTTGTGCCTTCAGCTGCTCAAACACTGAAGCTTCAGGATACATCTAACCCTCTGTGGGCTTTGATAAAACCTGGGCAACAGATTTAAAAACTGTGTTTGCTAAACAGCAACTTACAACAAATTGAAATTTATAACGTATGCCAATTTGTAACCAATACACACAACATCCTAACAATCAAAATATGGCAGAAAACAAATTCTTAAGTGTGAGGGTCCCAAAATCTTACCTATCCTGCTGCAAATGGTAACCAGCAGCTCCCCAACTGTTTTAGAATCATCCACCATGACTGTTTTCACCGAGCCATCCAACATCCGTATTTTCTGAGGTCTCTGTTTCTTTTTGTACTCTAATATATCCTAGGAAGTAAGCACAACTGTTTCTAAATGCTTTTGGAAGCCACCACAAGCCAACCCAGTACCTCAGATTGCTAACCCAGGATTCCCTTCCCACCCTCCCAGCTGGATTTTCCCTTTGTTACAGAATTTGTTAAGGCCAACTTGCTCACTGAACAAACTCGAGAAGTGATTGCTTTTAGTTCTGCCAAAGTCACTTGGTAAGAATTTGTCCCAGCTGGCAAGAGCAAAACTCAGTGAGGGCAGAGCAGCCCAAAGTGCCTTTGTGCTGCAGACCCTGGTTCAGCAGTAAACAAGGCCTGCAGTGCCTTGGGGCTGGAATCCAGCTGGCCAGAACTGAGCAGGTGTGACCTCAGCATCTCAGTACACAAAACCCAACTCTCTGACACAAGGTCACCTCACACATAAGGCTTCTGACAAAGGTTATTTTTCAACTCCCTGTTAATCATTCTCTGAAGACACTGCTGACCACAGGAGCTCAGTCACAACTCGATGCAGGAAAGAACCCAAATGAGGCACAGCGAGGAAGAGGAGGGGGCAGCTTCAGGAACAGACTCAGGACCCTCCTACCCCTCCAAACACTAAACATTCCTGTTGCTACTTAGGAAAGAAGTTTTCTAAGAACATGGTGATGAAAGAGGCCACAGCCTTGCACCATACCCCATTCCTCAGCATGTAATAATCCAGTGTTCTTCCAGCCTCCAGCCATATACCTTTTCGAGGATCGTCGTCTGACAAGAACAATCCATAGTCAGAGGCTGTGAACAGAGGAGACAGAGACCACTGAGGAACATCACACCTAACAGAGCCAGCATGGCTTCTACTCAAGGCTCTTCAGCTCCAGGGTTCAGCCTCCACTACACTTACCTTCTGTTCTTGATGAAGCTGGACAGAAATCTGTTCCTGTGCTTCACAAAGCTCTGAGTTGGGCAGCAGATGGGAGGGCAGACCAGGCTTTACACAAGAGCTTCACTAAGCAAGAACGTGTCACACCTACTGTGTATTGCACTGGTAAATCCTTCCCTTTGAGACAACCTTTCCTGAGTGCTCACAGGTCCTGCTTTAGAACTGACTGCCCAAAAATACCAGCAGTTGGGCCTTAACCATAGTGTACTATTTCAAGCAGCTTTTCTATTTTCAAAACACAGTTTGCTTTCAATCTTCCGCATAATGAGCTTATTATAAACTTGGGAGTCTTTTTGGTAGATGACTCAGGTTTAGGTTCAAAAAAAACCCAAAAAAACCCAACAAGGCTTCTAGAATTATACCCATAACCAACTAAGAAAAAACTTGCATCCATTGCAGGTTTAACACTTGCCAATTGGCTCACTCAGAATCACGAGTAGATGATACAACTTTCACTAACACAGAGAAACAAAGCCAGGCTTAGGTTTCAAAGACTAAACATCAGGTACATGTAATGAAGGATCGTGACTGTCAACTTAAAGCCTATCCATATGCATAAAGAATTGATACAGATTATACTCCACAACCACAAACAACAAGTTACTGCTCATTTTTCTATTCATATTTTCTATTTGCAGTGCTACAGTTTAAGCCAATGACCAGCAGCTCTGCACTCAACCCTACCTTGTTTACCTTCAGCCATGTGTTGGGACCCTCTGATCAGAAAGTCAGGTAAAAACACCTACGGTTTTTTGAGAGTATTTCATCCCTAAATGCCAGGCATGGTAACAACTTACATTTAACAGCACTCACCTTAAACACATTACTCACGCAATTGCATGACAGACCTTACTTAATACATAGTGTACCTGACTTACAGATACCCCATTTCAGAGGAAGAATCCTTCCAAAAACAATTGAGTGAGAAGAAAAACTTTCCCTGTTGACCTTGACTAAAAACTCCCCTGAAAAATCAAGTGATCTGCACATACAGAGATGATGTTTATGAGTTCTTCTAACAATTGAGACAAGATTTTTGGAACAGCTGTGGAGGTTGAGAGCTGTGCATAAAACTCAATAAACAACCTGCTTTAAGAGTTACATTCCAGTGGCAATAAATACAGTGCAGCACCAAAGGGTTCTGAAGAATCCGAATTTTTTCACAGCTTTGACTACGCTTAAACCAGACCTGTTGTCCACAGTACTTCAATCTGTATTTATGTAATTTGCTCAATAGGTAGAGACAGCTCCATCAGATTACCATGTGGCAGCACTGTGGCATGCACAACATGGAGAGGCTTTTAGTTATTAACCACTCTCAAACGTTTCTCTTTGCACAGTTTGGAGATATCCAGCCCTTCTTTTGTGATTGACGCTGTCATTTACTGTGCTGAGGCACAAAATAAACTCTGCCCAGACTTCCTTAGAAAGCATTGCCACAAACACTGCTTTAAAAACATGGTAGTGAAAAAGCTGCTCTCCAAGCAGGGAAAAATCACCTTCCAGCCACACAAGATATTTATTTAAGAAGACAAAGTTCCACCAAAAAAAAAAAAAAAACAACAAACAACAAAACCAACAAACTTTTGTGGGAAAACTGTTGTAGGGACAGAAGGAAGAAAAAGAACTCAGCTACTTTCTGTCACTTAAAAATCCCTTTCTACCAAACCCACCAGACAAATGCAGGAACAGGACAGCGTGAAAAGCCCCGTGGGTCCACGTTCATTTGGAATTGAGCCAGGGAGATGACGAGGGCCAGAGGCAGGAGCTCACCTTGGCCTGTCTGAGCCTCGGGCACTCTCTCCCGGATGACTCTGCAGGCATCGTACACGGCCGTGGAGGGCTCGAACTGCATGGTCTTCACCACATTGCAGTGGCGGACACAGATCTTCAGGGACAGGGCCACCATGGTGCCCAGCACCCGCAGCCTCCTACTGCAGCACCTGCAACAGCAGCACAGGCATCGTTGCTTTGAGTTTTCCAGTCAGTGCTTTAACATACTCAACGTTTCATTAACAAATTAAATTAGTTCAGCAGAGCTGTATTTATTCAAATGCAGTTCTGTGTAAAGTCTCACGAGTGCCATGGAGTTAGGAACTCTCCAAAAATGCATTTTTGTGGTTATGCTGAATATCCATCTTCCAAAAATTTGTGTGCACCAACTTACACGTGGACACTTTGTCTCATATAGGTCAGATGTCTGATGTCAAAATGATGCACAGGAGAACAATATTTGGTATATTGCCAACATATTTACTGCTGACAGAAAATTCTTTTTCTCTCACCACACCTTTTTACCAGACCATTCAATTAGTTGGTAACTAAAAGCTTAAAAGAACTACTTCATCAAAAGTGGGATTTTCCTAGTACATAACTTCTCCTTTCTGAAATCCCAAAGGGTGCAACACAGTGTTGTGGTTTTTCTCAGGTCTCCACCTAGATCTGCTGGATGTTTTCAGCCTGTTGTGCAGCTACACAGAGCTTCAAGAATGAGCTATTTTTCATTTCAGTTCTGTTTCAGAAACTACACCACATTTGACAGCAGTTTTCTACCGAAACAGGAAGCTACAGATGCTTTTTGTATTGTTTCATTTTGTAGATAGTCTGGGTTTTGTCTCAAGTGTCTTCCCTTGCTGTCCTGACAGTCCAAACCACTCTTCCACAATTACACTTTCCACAATGATCTCCAAGAACCTTTCAGAACATAAGTCCTTTCTCCACAATCTGCTGGAATCCCCAAATAATTTCTGCATAAATTTATGGATGTGTTTTTAAAAATGACTGTCTTGAAGAGCTGGGATCTTGCTTTCCTCAAGTCCAGGGCCCTGAGTTTCCTGTTCCCTGCCAGCTGCCCAGTGCAGCAGTGCATGGTCACTGCAGTCCAGACTGGCCCAGTCTGGCATCCCCAGTCAGCTCAGGTTGGTAACCACCAGCTCCAGCACTGCCTCCCCTCGGGTAGGGCTGTCACCTGGCTTGGGTTATCCTGAACACCCTCCAGAGTGTCCCGGATTGCCTACAGCTCTCTGTGTCACCCTTGCAGCAGCTGGGGGGTGGCTGCAGTCCCCCAGCAGGATGAGAGTCTGGAATGCCTCCTGGAGCTGGAGCAACAACTTCACCAACAGGCTCCCCTTGGTAAACACCGACCTCGAGGTTCCCTTGGACTCTGATCCTCATCCACAGGCTTTTGACCTGCTCATTCTACAGGGACAGCTCTTTGCAATTAATCCTTCAAGTAGAGGGAAATGCCTCTCCTCCCCTGCCCCTCCTGAGCAGCCAGTGGTCACCTCCCCCCAGGCCCAGGATTCCTGCCAGCACGTTTCAGGAATGACAAACAGGCCACAGCCTTGCAGCAGCACAGGGCACTCCTGTCAACTCTGGGACACGATCCTGTACTGGGGAGTTTAAAACAACCAGAGGCCCCATTTCTCAACATCTGGAGTCAGTTCTTTTCAAAGTGCATTGAGAAGTTTCTCAGCTTGTTAATATTTTCACTTGGTGTTTGTGCACTACCTAAACCATAAAAAAAATGTGTCAGAAGGAACCTCAAAAGGAAGGCTGGCCCGGCCCCTTGCACTGCAAAGTGATGCATCCCTGGGCTGTCCCTGCCAGATGCTCATTTAATCCATTGTGATAAGCTCCATCAACCTGCAGTCCACAACATCCACAGGGAAGCTGCTCCATTTCTATTTTTGTTTTTGCTAGTTCTACATTTCTCCCTTACACAAGTTTTCAAGCGAGTTTGTCCACCCTGCCAGAGAATCTTTTTGCCTCTGCCCTACATAAACAGACATGCAAATTTATCCCTGACATCTTTAATGCAATTTTACAAGTTGAGAACCTGTTCCTGTGTCCTCCCAGTGACTTGACTTCTTTTTTTCCCAGGGACAAATTCAACTCCCGAAAAAAGGCACCTCAATATATCAGTAGTCTGGTCTCCTTCAACTCAGTGCTCTTGGTTTTAGAGACGCCAGAGGATGCTTTATTTGAAAAACAGCTTATGAAAAGAGCTCCTGACTTTTCAGCTTCCTCCACCACTGTGTTCTCAAACTGAAGAGAAAGGTTTTCATTTGCCTCCTCCAGATCCCCCTCTGGCTCTGGATCTCCCCACTTGGTTTTCAATAAGGAGTGGGCCAGGCAGTCTCCATCTCCTGGGTGACAGCCAAACCAGGACAGCTGGTTTTTCTCAAAAGAGCTAAGAACTTGGTCAAGAGAAAGGGCTGAGATCACAGAGAAAACAAGGGGGAAATATCTTCCATACATTGATTCACACCACATTTAAATATTTCTCTGTGCAAGTAATGGACACTTTCTGCTCCCCACAATCACTCAGCCTCTGCACCAGCTGACCAAATCCAGGAGGATCCTGCAAATGAAGAGCATTTCACATGCAGGGGTTTGCCTGGTGCTGTCTAATTCTCTGCAAGTGATGAAGGAGGACATTTCCAAATAAGCCTGTGACTGATCTGTGCTTTAAGGTAGGAGACTGGAGTGATAAATGATGGATCTGACAGGTTTGGGAGAGAAGCAGCAGCTCAGGGCTCTTAAAAGAGCCCCAGATCCTAAAGTGAGAGATCCCAGTGCCTGCAGGGATGGATGGCAGTGTGGATGTCACAGCCTGGGGCTGAGCCACCACAGTGCCCACGTTCTGGGAAATCTGGACAAAGCCAAATCATCAGCAGTGCTTGGGTTAAAATGAACAGGTCCCTGTGTGCCCACAGAGACACCCAGCAACAAAGCAAACCAGCACAAGTACCTCAAACACACGAGGTAATGTCCAAGATAATGAGACAGAAGGTAAGATAACAAGATATTATCCCAAGGCAAGGGCTGAAAAGTAAAACCTAAGAATGATTTACTGTTATAATTTATCTTCATTAAAAAGAGTTCTATGAAGTGCTAAGGGTTAATGTTTGCAAAACTAAACATCTCTTGATAGGTATTTTCAGTGAAACAATTTGAACATTAAACACAAAAAATGCTTTTTGATAGAACAGTAATAAGTATTAGATCTGAATATACAGATCTGAATGGTCTATTTTCCCTAAAATGAAATAAATCTGTAAAATACCTTTCTATTAATTTAATTGTTTGGTACAAAATAAGCCAGAAAACAGAAAGTAACTAAGGAAAGCAAGTCACAAACTAAGAAATCAAACAAAAGTTAAAATATATTTGTTTGAGAAATGTTCCCAAAGTAACAGGAATAAAGTTGATGCTGAAACACATTCACCCTTAATTTCCACTGGAAATTCATTTAAAATTGCTTTTTTCCTCATGGTGTCACTCAAAAGGAGCAAACCAGAACTACCCAACACCTGTCAGGACTGCCAGAGCTGAGGAACAGACTGAGTTCTTCCTGGCTTTCTGAGGGACATCGACATAACCACACAGTCAGCAGGAAATCTGCTTTTCAGCCAGCACAGCTGTGAGGGTGGGAATGGCAGGAATTAGGGCAGGTGGGGATGTGAGTGATGAGGGAGGTCAGTGCTCACTAACTGACCCTCTCAGTCCATACAGACTTGATCTGTGTATTTTGAACCAACAGAGAATTCAAACTCTCATTTCAGCATTTCTCTGCCTGTCATTACACATCCTTGCCAACAGAGTGTTTGAAGTGACACACGGCCCAAAAATACCTGCATTCCAAAATTAGGCACCTGTGGCTCAGCTCCCACTGTCCAATCCGGACCACACCCACCCAGCTCAGGGAACGTCATCACCAGCAGGCTGTGGCTCCCAGCAGAGCTCTGCCGTGATTGAGGAGAGCTCTGTCTCCCTGGAGATATTCCCTAACTGGTTCGTTCAGGCTTGAGCAAACACAAATCTAGGTCAGGAGACTGCCTAAACCAGCATGTACACATGTAGGCCTTGAGACTATGACAAAGCCATGCATTTTTAATCTACACTAACAGTGTAGCAAAAATCACTGGAACAGAGGTGCTCTATTCTTTGCAGTGCTCCCACCAACTCCTGCAGGCACTGGGCAAACAGTGACCTGTTTGCCCAGTGCCTGCAGGAGTTGGTGGGAGCACTGCAAAGACCTGACACGGTCTGCCATCCATGGAGATGGAACACCTGATCCTATGCAATGTGTGGAACAGTTGTGCAGTGCACTGGGGGCTGGTAACACCTCCTTAAGCAAAAGGCACTCCAAAGGACAAACCCAGCTGGACTACTATGGACACAAATCAAAGTGCCACCCTTCAAAATCAAGGATAATGGAGACACAAGGCAGGCAGGCAGCTGATTGCACAGCACATGTGTTCCTACAAACTCCCAACGGCACTTAGGTTGGCATCTTATGGCAGAAGAGGTGACACCTTCCTTTTTTCCAAGGAAGCCCTCTCTTTAGTGCTCCACTGCTGCCAGTTGGTAACTCATTTATACCACAGTGCTCTTACAGGTGCTTAAGGGCTGCTATTAATATGGTTTCTTAGAAGAGCAGGCTGACTTTCCTCCAGAACACTGCAAAACCATGACAGGGGGCCAAACAACCAGGCTGTGTGCCTGAAACACATCCACATGTCCAACAAGGCCTTCAGCATCAGCTCCGTGGTGGGCAAGGCCTGTGCCACTGCCCAGAGAACAGGGCACTGTGAAGGGGCAGCCCTGGCCTGTGCCATCCTACTGAGAACAGGGCACTGTGAAGGGGCTGCCCTGGCCTGTGCCACTGCACTGAGAACAGGGCACTGTGAAGGGGCAGCCCTGGCCTGTGCCATCCACTGAGAACAGGGCACTGTGAAGGGGCAGCCCTGGCCTGTGCCACTGCCCAGAGAACAGGGCACTGTGAAGGGGCTGCCCTGGCCTGTGCCACTGCACTGAGAACAGGGCACTGAGGGGCTGCAGGGACACCACTGATGCACAAACACCAGGCTGGAAGTTGGGCCTTGTCAGAAAGTTCAGGATGGAGCAGAGTGCACTGTTCTGGGGGTCAGAGAGGGAACAAAATAATACCTCAGTTCCCCTCCAGTAAGCTCAAAGATGAAGGCAAGATAAAAACCAATAGAGTAAAGTTGCTGTTCTAAATGGGCAATGAGCACAAAGATATCAATCTGGCAGGCCCAGAAGCAGCCTGACAGCCTCAGACACCACATACTGTCTGGGGTGGCAAATCAGAGCTCTTGAAGCTTGAACAAGCAGACAGAAAAGTACAATCCTTCCTTTCATCAGTTAGAATACAAGGAACTTCACACTGTACAGCACAGAACATTGTTTATTCCATTTGCAAGCATGCACAGACAATTAAAATGCAAGAACATGCCCCCTGTCCCAAGAACAGCCCTGCTCAACCTCAGTGGCTGAATACACACACCACTCGTGCTGATAAGCAAGTTTATGTTAAAAAACCCTCAAGGACCTCAGCAAAAACTCACAGCATTTATCTGTGGCATGCAGTACTGAATTTTACAAACAAACTATTTTTAAAAAATCCCACAACAAAACGAAGACGAACTAGGGCAAGCTTTGAAAGGGTACTATGAAAGCAGGCTGTAATCATTAGTTAGCATTAATAGATACCAGTTCACCCATTATAATTGTACAGGAACAGCATCTCTTTTGCTAAGAACCCAGCAAGGAAGTTCCCTCAAGCAGAATTATGTAAGAGACCAAAATATTTGGGTCTAATTAAGAGTTGTTTATAGGACAGTCAGCTTATTAGCAATTCAACTACAGCTGGCTTTTTAAGTCCAAAGGAATATTTGCAAACTAACTCGCTGGAATGTATCTTCAAAAGGAAGTATGAATTACAAAGGACTATAGGAGGAATGCCATTGTTCCAAACAGAGCTGGAGCAGCTTTTAGATAAGATAAGAGCTTGACTGAGTTTTAACAGAGAAACCAGGAGCCTCAGCAGTAAGAGCTCCACTGTGGCAATCCATGACAAGTGTCTCTGAAGAGCCTTCCAGGCTTTTGCTCTCATTTTGCAATGTTCCTGCAAAACATTCAACATGAGTTTCTGTAAAATCAGAAATGAATCAACAGCCTTTGTCCAGGTTGCTCTCCCAGTGAAGTGTCTCCACTGCAGACATGAGCCCTGTTCAGAGGGTCCTTAGGAGGACAGCAGGAAAGATGTTCACAGACTCCATGAGTATCATTAAAACGGTGTCTGAGATACAGAAGACACTTGGGTTTGCTGTGGGTTTGGTTTTTTAAAGGGGTTTCTTCTTGGGTTTTGGGGAGATGCTTTATTTGTTTAAACCAGAGAACTCTTCTAAGGCTTATCTGGGTCCATGACAAGCACTGCAACTTGCTTACAGTGGGATATAAATCTACATAGCTTCAAATGTATTTTCTGATCTCAACTCACCAAGCAGGCTGGCAGCAGGACTTTTAGCAGAATTTGCTGCAAGCAGAATGATTCCCTGTTGGATTCCTAATAGGAACCATAGAACACATGGTCACGGGCCTGGAGTCATCATGGAAAAAACCCACTAAGTGCTTCCCACAGAAGCTTTTCAGGCTTGAAGATACATTTTTGGTGTCACTTCTGCAGAGTGTTACCAGTGTGGAAATGGAACAGGAATTTTTCCCTGCAGAAACAACTGGACAAGAACAGTGATCCTGCAGTGACTCAGCCCAACCCAACTTTTTTTTCCTGCACAAAATGTTATTGAGGAGTCATAGCACAGGCTTTTTAGCAAAACACGTGCATGACAATTGACTGGAAATGACTGGCCCAAGACAACCTTGAGAAGGCATCAAGAGAACCATGTCAACTACTACACATGATCCTCTCTGCAGCTGTCAGCATTGCTTGTGGGGAGTTCCATGAAGAGGAAAGATGTCCAGGATCAAACAGTGCATCCAGTCCACCAACAACTCCCTGATGGCATTTCTTCACCATCTGCTTGCACTGTTATATCCACTGGAACTACCCCCAGGATTCCTGAAACAAAGTGCCAGGTGCCAGAAGCTACAACACAGGGCCCTCTGCTGCAGATCACTCAGACACCTCTGAACATGAAGGGTTTCTCAAAACTTCAACTGTTGCTCTCTTGTTCCCCCCCCCAGCAATCAGACTAAATCAGGTTTAAAAAACAGAAGTACATAAAAGAAATAGAGGAACAACCAACATCAACTCAAACAGCTCAACAGGTTTGGTTCCCCCCCCCCCCATCAGCATCATGGAGTTCCCTACTTTACACACTTCATGCTTTGCAGAATCACCAACAGCCATGAAAACAAAGGCTGAACAAGAACATCTTGCACCCATCAAATCAACATCTCCATCTCAGGCACAAAACAGGACAACACAGACACATGGGAGAGCTCAGGTACATCAGAGTGAGCGCTCCAAGCAAGCACCACATCATTCCTTCTGCTCCAGCTTTGACAGCACTCCATGCCCCCAAGGGAAACAGCTCACAACTACTGGATATGGAAAGATGGAAGTTACAAGTTGGTGTAACCCTTATAAAAATTTCTGAACAGCTTTAAGCTTGATGAAAACCCCGATCTCTGAAGAGAACAGGATGGAGCCCCAGCAGAGCTGCTACTCCTTCCACAGACACAGAAACCCCAAACCCCGCTGGACTCGTGTCAGGGTGTAACAGTGTGTGCCAACATCACAGGCAATTAGATTATCCTCAGCCTAGCACACTGCCAACTGTGTGCTCATCTAAGGTCAAACCTCCTCCTACCTCCAATGTGCTCACAAAGGGCACATCTTCCCAAAAAGCTCTAAATCAGCTTGGCAGACTTCAAACGGTTCAGGGGGAATTCAGATATTCTGTTATTGCTCTTAGCAAAGCCTGCTTCAATCTGCACCTAAAACACCTTCACTTAACCTTGTCCTTAGACATATCTGATATAAACTGACATGCTGCTTTAATTATAGGCTGCTTGGAAAGTTCACTAAAGACATTTTTCAAACATGGAGAATAGCAGGACAAAATTCCATTAGCGACCTTTCAGTATTTCGAGCACCATTTCCAGATGAGCAGTCAAAGCCAGAGACACATTTACAACAGTAATTGTGGACAAGGTCAAAGTAACTCCAACAGATTAAGAATATGGAGACAGATCTATCAACACTTTGCCCAAAGCCAGTTTCTCTGCTTTGTGGCATTCTCTTCTGAGAGCAGTAAACTATGGAAATGGTAATGGAGCTGGGAAGTTATCCTGGCAATGATTTTTCCTTGTTCTTTCTGCCACCTCTTCCATGTGCTAAGATGAAACAATTCAGTCATCTTCTCAGCTATTTGTTCTCATACCAATGAAAGGCACAGCCCTTTTTCCTCAGGCTTACAGAACTCATTTATTACATGATCACATTCCCCAGTCTCCCTGGAAACTGTTTAAAAACAGTCCCTGTGTGTGATGGTCAGGTTCATCTCCAGCCTTTTAATTGCAATATTTACTTGGCACTTCAATATTCATGAATCACATTTATTTTTCAGCTTGATTTCTCGCCTCACAAACACAGCCACAGCTGTATATATTTTACACATTCTCTAAAGAAAATTTTACACTAATATATATATACATATACAAGCAGCAGATAAAAGTTTTAAAATTATTGCAACGGGTTTGATGTCATTATATGCATAACAAAGGAAATTAAACAGGACCTTACCTCAAAATTAAACTTCATTTAATAGAAAATAAGGTTGGCTGAGAGTATTATTGGACCACGTGGGAGGCTTCCAGTAACCAGGTCTGTAACACAAGATACAAACAAGTTACTTTCTTATTCCCAGTCCACTCATTTCTACTTTCAAGTACCTTCTCTGTCAACACGCTGGAAAGGAAGCAACTCAGGAAGTTGTAAGTCTCCTCTTTGAGAGTCAGAACGTGCACTGCCAAAAACCAACAGCTTTGTGTTCAAGAAAACAAAATCCAGCCCAGGCTTCCAAATTACACACAGAGAAAAGCTCGTAAGAAATGAACTCTGAGCTTTTCCAGGTGAGTACTTTGAAACTGCCTGGTCAGTGAGGAAAAGGCAGCACAGGGTTGGGTGTTACCATGAATTAAACCATCCCACTGACCTCTCAAAGCATCTGTTCTGCATGAACTCTGCTTTTCCATTTTATCCAGTCTAAAGCACCACAGCAAGAGCCTCTCTGTCCAATCCCCCTTCCCAGTGAAACCCCTTCTGCCAGTGGGACTGCAGGGAACTGTCTGACTGCAAAAAACACAACTGGAGTTCTGCTTTGTGTTTAAAACACAACCAACTCTGTTTCAAGGCTTTGGCTGTTTTGAGGAGATGAGTTTTTTCCTTTGGATGTTTTCAGGCTTTGTTTTGCAAGACTCTGATGTCTTTTTTTTAATTATTATTATTTATTTCCCCCCCCTTAGCATTTTCAGTTCTCACTCTAAACAAAAGCTATTATAGCATCTTGGTTTAATAATCAGGAGGATGGGCAAACATTGTACAGCACCATAAACTGCAGTTTAGCAATTCCAGACCTCACACTGCTGTGAATTAAACCCCACCTTCTCTCTGAGTACCTTGAAACACTTTTCCAGGCCCAGCCTAATGTCTGGCCTAGATCCTGCTGCTCACAAAGCTTTATGTTCCAGACTGCAGCTATGGCAGGCTCTGATCCCACTTTCACATCTCTTGCAGCACTCTCTTACCACAACCTAAAAATTCAGATGATCCACAACAGCTCTCCAGATCTGAAACTGCTTTCTGGATCAATTTAGAAAGACCACTTTGAAGTTGCTCATGCCCACAGCTACCCAGCAGGGAACGCCTTTCAGCTGAGCAAAACCTACAGCAACAACAAGAATTCCTGCAAACAATCACCAACCAAAGCTGGCAAGAACATTTCTGATAGAACAAATTCATCACAGGGTGTTTTTCTTGTCTTGGTTGGTTACAGAAGTGATTTTTTTTTTCCCCCCTTTCAGAGGACTTTTTAGTAACATCAGCTCTATGCCAACACAACTACAAAGTGCAGGGTAACAGATTCTGCTGCAGGTCAGAGTAAATGCAGTCTGCCTTTCCACACCTGAATATATCTTACATTTCTAAAATTTGTTTCAAATGGAGCTCTGAAGTGTTTCAGCCACTGGCACCTCACACCTTTCTTCATTTTCAGCCCTTTGTTGACAAAGACATCAGAAGCCCTTTCAAGACCCCAAGCACTACACTGGAAGCATCTTCTCTACTCAAACCATCATCAGCTAAGGCTGACACTGGACTTGCACAGAAACCTGAGTGCCCGAACCCAGCACATCTACGAGACAACAAAGCCAGAGGATGCAGCAGACAGTGAAGGGCCCATCCCAGGACAGCTCCTCTCCAGTTACACCTCCCAAAGGCACCCAAATAAACCTCCCAACTCAATCCATGCTGTAAAATTTACCATCGTGGTGATTTAAACAGCTGGGAAACTGCTTTGAAATTTCTCTTTTCAAATGCAGTTCTAGAACAGAACTGTTGGTAAAAAAAAAACAAAACAACCAAACACAAAAAGGACTCCCAGTTTTTGTTTCCAAGTTGGAAAGCAAACATGGGGAACTGGAAATTTATTTCTCTGGAGTTTATCAGGAGGGTCTATCTACTCACTGCAGTGTTAATCACACTGGGAAGGAGGGAGGTGAAGGAACTGCTGCTCTCTCAACATTTTACATCAAGGGAAGGAACAAAACAATTCATTTGCACATACTACCAGAGCAACTCAGAGAGTAGAACAGCATGTTTCAAAATAAAGTTTTATTTTAAATAGTAGATTTTAAACTATCAGAATATCTAACAGTTGAAAAATGAATATATCTTGGGTAGTCTGAGGAAAACAAAAGTTGCTGTATTATGATACATCTTAAGGCCAGCTTGAACAAATGTCACAGTGGAAACAACATTTATTTTTCAAGTGGGTTAATTCCTGCTGAAGCAGCCATATTTTTTTTTTAACTTATCAATAGGGAGATAAAGAGAGCCTAAAAAAACCTATTAAATCACTGTTAGTTTATTCTATTGTCCTCAGTTCCTGGAATGTGGTCAGAGCTGGAAGCAGACTGCCCAAAAACCCCCGTCAGCACATGGGCTGCCCTGGGCCTGGGGACTGCCACTCCTCCCCCTGTGGCAGGGGCAGCAGGGAGAGCAGCCAGCAGCTCATCCTGGCACTGCACAGACTCCAACAGGCCTTCCTCAATATTTGGGCTATTTCTTAACACAGTCCCTGACTCCCCCTTCTCTTTTCTCCTACACTGCTGTGAATGCTCGTGGTTCAAACGTCGGTGATGTTCTTTACAGCACAAAAGATGAAGAAAGAAAAGCACTCGAGTAGAATATACCTGCCCAACTCCACTGCAGGTTCCTACACTGTGAGTTACAGGTAAATTTGCCCTTTAGAGAGCTTTCCCAGGTACTCTGCATTCCCAGAATTCTTGGTGCTAACACAGCTGAATTCAGCAGCATCTGGATTACAGGCTCACTGGGACTAAAAGGATCACTCCCAGCATCCTCCCATACTATCTTTTCTGCATGTGGAAGATATTCCTCCCCACGTATTTCCTTTGGGTTTATCACGTGTTTTTCCTGGGCTGTGCTTTGTGGGGTGTTTTTCTTTGTTTGTTTAGGCATTTTGGATTGAGTGGTCTGTTTTTGTTGCTGTTTCCCAAGCATGGCTGTCAAAATCAAAACCAAATCCAAATATACAGCCCATTCCACAGAGCATGGATTCCTGTGTTTTAATGCTGTTGGCATTCACCACCACACTGCTGTACCACCCCAGCTAAATCAATCTGCCAATTGCTTGACACTTTAAAGCTGTAAACAGGGGGATTGTTCCTTCCCCCACCCAAAACATCAGGAAATGTAGTTCTGTGATGGACTTGCATGCTTCCAAACTTTATGTTCCCTGCACATAATAAAGGTATTGAATGGCCATGTGAGGCTGGTACTAATGTAGATGTCCTGTGCTGTGTGACTGCTGTCAAATCCTGGTTCCTCCTTGTCTGTCTCTATTACTTTCCTCAAGACTGCTTCATAAATGATCAGAACTCACCTCCTGGCACGAGTTATTCAGCATTCAGCCAAATCAGACTATCCCTCAGGTGAAACTGCTCTCAAATGCAATTGTTCCCCTACAGTTGGAACAAAACCATGAGGCTGATGGAAGTGGAGCTCAGGCCAGGCCTCCTCTGTGCCTCCCAGATGGTGGGAGCTCATCCCTGCCCGGGCTGCCAAGACTCACTTGCAGCCTCCAGGGAGCTGTTCCTGTCAGCAGTTACCAGGTCTGAACTACTGCTTTGCAGCTTCCATTTGCCAACCCCCCCAGCCACCTGCACATCTGGGATAACAGTTCTGGGGAGGTCTGAAGAGGCACAACAAGTAAATTCTGCAACACAAGAGCAAAGTCTGGCACTGATTTCTCCTCAAGGCTTCGTGTTTGTGCAGAGCAGGAATAAAGTGCCTGTTCTGATCATTTACAGTCAACTTTACTCTGCTAAGTTTTCACACCCATGCAAATCCCATCTCTTAGGTTGTGCTGCTGAGCCAACTTTCTGTGATGAATGTTCACCTCTTCTCATGAACATGAACTTCTTGCCAGGCAAACACTCCTTGCCTCCTGTCCGGGGCTCTCCAAGGGCAGTCCAGAGTTTTCCATAAAAGAGCAGTTATTACTCAAACTTTACTCTGAACTCCAGCTTCCTCTCAGTAAGTTTAAAACAAAAGGTTCCAATTTCATTCTCTAGTAGAAAGACAGAATGTTGTTTAATGTAAATTGTACTCCTTTTAAGGTAGGCCAAGAAGGTTAAAAAGTAACTTGCTTCAATTTTATTATTATTATTGTTATTACTGACGCTACTACAGAAAAAGCTCCAGCAAATATTCACACTCAGCCACGCTCGGTAAGTTCTTTAAAACATGTTTGCCCAGAACAGTTGGTGTTCTTGGTACCAAATTGCAAAGCCTTTCCTATGATGAGAGAAACTAAGTTTGGGTCTTCATTTACTGCAAAACCTCTGGCTCTGGATTTGAGTGGAGAATAAATCCTTTAAAAACATAGCTAAATACACCAGACACCATCGTAGAGTAATTCAGAAATGGCAGGTGAAGATGTCCCCAAAAGCAAGGACATGGCACTTTCCTCTCTGGGGTACCATTCACCCTCCTGACCTTTCAGAATTTGGGATGCACGTTAACATTATCCCTCATTCCCAGGCAGACCATCTGCAAGCAGTTTAACCAGTGTAAACAAGATGATAAACTGCTTTTCACGAGAACAGCCTTAGAACAGCTGCAGTTCTCTGCTGAGCAGTGACCATAACTCCACAGCATCAGGAATTGCCCAGCACAGGGCCTGTTTTCTGAGGATGCTGTGATCATGGGCACTCAGAATATACAAACATGACCTTGCACTCCAGCCAAAATTCATCAGATTTCTCATCCATTTACACTGACACACATTACAGCATCAGGTAGTCAGCAATCTATTGCCAAATGCCCTGGTTCAGTGGCAGCTCCTGAGCCTCTGCCCTCCTATGACAACATAAATAAAACCAGTAAAGTTTGCATCATGTTTATGAGAAAGTGTGAATTCAGCTGTCATAAGCAACTACCATAAAAACAGGAATATGAGAACCTGCACTTTGCTTTTAAGTCATGAATCACTGAGGTCTCAAACATTTCTCCCAAATAAGCATGTTCTAGAGTGGATTCACCTTTCCCTTCAAACTGCTTCTCCAAAAAGGCTTATCAATCC